CCACTGAATTATTAGATAAAAATGCCTAAAAAAATACATAACCCTAATTAATAATCCTTAATTAATTTAATATAAATAATAATACTATATATTGATAATTAGATTATAAATGGAGTAACTAACAGAAAAGTTTAAATGATTTGATATTAAATTAATAAAAAATGAAAATATATATTTGAATGAATTAGAAATACAATTCGATTTATTATCTTTTGCAGATCAAATAGTTCATAATTATTAAGAGTTTAATGAATAGTTCGATAAGTAAGAGTTTAAATTTATATAAGTAAATAAAAAACATCTAGCGGCGATATGAGAATGAAGTAAAATAAATGGAGAACGCAGTTATAACGTTATTTAATTTTTTTATAATCCATAAGACAAGGCTTAATCATCTATTCAAAATATTTAAGCATTAAGTAAATTGGTCCCTATACCTTTATTTTTGGTATTTGGATCATAAAAGAATTCTTTGTCTATATAAGAGATAATTAGAACAACAACCCAATAAAAGCCATCTATGTTGGCTACAAAAATCTTAGAATAGGAATAAGAGTTTTACACTTCAAATAATCAAAATTATTTTTTAGAAATAAATGCTTAAACACTGTTTATATTCATAAGAAACATGTTCATGCATCAAGCTAAAATTTTAAGCATTTGTAATAAGCACAAAAATTCATTTAATACCTCCTCTCTGATGTAATAGAGAGATTATTTATTTAATAAGAGAGGATAGATGAATAAAGAATAAAATTATTGATTTAGATTAATCAAGGAATTATAGAATTTTGTGAAGAAAATGATACTGTTGAAGAAGCCTTAATCAAAAAATTTAGAAAAAAGAAGGATGTTCTTTCAACACTATTATTAGAATTGTAAAGAATGTTCTCTCGAAAGACCTAAAATTTTAGATTTAATAACGTAATTAGTTTGTTTATTTTAAGTTAGATTTTACGAAAGGCAAGTTAAAAAGTGGAGTAATATCTACAGATGAAATCATGCCAGCCTTGCTAGCCTTCGGCATCTAATTATTTCATTTCGAGCTAATAATCATTTAATAATAATGCCTCGATCAATCGCTCTGAGCACAAAGAACCTCATGGAGATACGATGTATTTCTTTTATTAAAGAAACTGACTAATTTTGATGATATGCAAGAAATAGTATAGAAGGATTAGTGTTATTCATATCAGAGTATTGAGGTAGAGAGATGAATTAAAAAAATAGTAAAACTTTATTAAAAGTTAGCCAATAAGAAAATAGAACAATAAAGAATCTAGATGAAGATGTGTTCTACATACTTAATCCATAAAGGAACAATCCTAACAAAAAATCAAGAAATTAACTAGGTATTTTAAGACATATGAGGATCAGTAAACTTTTACTCATATTTGCATAGGTGCAACAAAAAGTAACTGTTCAATTGATAGGAAATGAAATCTGAAATTTGGAAGATTACTTGTCCTATGTAACCTAGCAAAGTGAAGGCTTGCAAAAATACATTCGGAAAATTATTCATATTCATCAGATAAATAATAAGTTGACACATAATCTCAAAAAAATTTCAATCTAGATCATTTTAAACCAATTTGAATCAACTACCTAAAAATACTTATACAATAGAAGATGCGGAAGTTATTTGGAAGAAAAAATATAGTATAAAAAAAATTATGAATGCAATTTCAGTAAACAATGGCTAGAAGGAGAAATTTGGGTTTTTAGAAGTAATTTGATAATATAAATAATTAATATGGATAGATTAAAAGATATCGAAAGTATGGCGCATGGACATGCTGGTGCCTTGGCTGGTCTCTTTTCTACTTGCCTACTTTATCCTCTTGAAAACATCAAAACAAGAATGGCTGCATCATAATAAAAAGAAGTCATACAAGAGGTCATTATTAAAGTTTGGGATTAAGAAGGGCTTTGGGGATTTTTTAAAGGAGTTACTCCTTTAGCATTAGGCAACTATATTTCATATGGAGTCTACTTTTTTTGGTACACATATTATATTTTATGAGAAGGTATGAGTATTTTAAACATTTGTTTAAAACAGATATTTCAAATTCATTTGCCTTAATCAAACCATCATTAGCATCAGCTATTCTCACAACATTCGTAACAAATCCGTTTTGGGTTGTGTAATCGAGAATGACAATCAGCAAAGATAACCTTAATTTTTTTTAGAAGACCAAGTAAATTATTGAAAAAGAAGGATGGGAGGCCTTAATGAAGGGTTTATAGGCCTCGCTTATATTAACAATAAATCCTATAATTCAATTTGTTATTTATGAAGCATTTAAAAGAAGATTTTAATATGCAGAAAATTAAGCCTTAGTTAATTTTATTGGAGGAGCAATATCAAAAGCCATTTCCACAATTTTAACATATGTTTAGAATTTATAGTTTATTATTAGCCTTATCAACTTCTGAGGACAAAAACACATATCAAGAAAAATAGTTCAAAATCATATTTTTCAGCAGCTGAAAAGATCCTAAAAAATGAAGGGATTCAAGGATTATTTAAAGGTGAACCATTATCATTTATTATTTAGGATTGACACCAAAATTGTGTTAATCAGTATTAAATTCAGCATTTTTGCTTATGTTTTATGAAAAAATATATGAAATCATCAAATAAGGAATAATTCTTATCATAATTGAAATTTTGAAATATCGCAAGAAAATAAGAAAACTTTAGAAGTTAAAATGATAAACGAAGATTGATTTATTTATGTTTTTTATGTTATTTAATTCAAGCAATTTATTAAAGTTTTTATTTGTATAAGGAGTTCAAAAAAACTCTGGATGGGCATTTTTTTGGATTCTTATCATCAAAATCCTTTTGTGTAGTTGAATTAAATTAACCATCAAAAGCAGGAATCATTCTAACATTCTAAAAATATGAGTTGTTAAATTTACTTATTCAGGATCAATTCTATTTAGCTTTCCAGTTTGATAAGGCTTGTAAAATGCACTATTTGTAGATTAATGAATAAAAGGCAATTCTGGTGATATTGGACTTTTAAAGCTGCTTTTATTTGCAGTTGTTAGAAATTCTTCTCTTGGAATAGGTTTTTTATAAAAGTTATCCTGATAGGTTGAATGTGTAGTCATAGGAATATCTACTACAGTAGGATGATGAGGAGGATTAATCTTAAGAGATGACATTCCACCTCCAGTGTAGTCAAGCTAATAAAAATCTCAATATAATTACTCTGTATGCTGATGAACTACTGAATGGAATCAAAAACACTTTTTGTTCAGGTTTTAAAGATTCTGCTGGTTTAGCATCAGCGTGAGCTTAATATGTGCTCTAAAATTGAATTAGTATTTTAGTACCCTTTAGATGGTATTAATATCCATGGGTAACTAACTTTTGTAAGTTACATTGTGATCAATGAGAGGAATTTACTTTTATTTGCCATGGGCGATAAAATTCCTTTAATATAATGATTCTTATCCTTTCTTAAAATCATTTGACAAGAGCATCTTCGGGCATTTACATTATCCGCAAATACATCTACCACAAATACAATCACCTTTGAGATGATTGAAGAATGCTTCATTTTTATCCAATAATTTTCCAAAATGAGTGGACAATAATTAACTCTAGTAATTATTTGATTAGAGTGTGGAATAACGTGAATTGTTTTGGTAATCTTATTCACTCATTTTTTATAAAATGTAATAAAATATTTATGAATGTATGTTCGTTTTTATAATTCACTTTGTGTTTTGTTATTCAAAACTTTATTAAGAAAGATTCAACTAATCTTCCAAAATCTTCTTTTTCATTAATTTTCTCATTTTATTACAAGCTCTTTTCCAATTGCCCTAATTAATGAACGAATTATAAATTATTGTGTATTTAACTTTCTATTTTAGATTCACTTATTCCTGATTGTTAAATAATCACAGAAGAATTTTTGATGCTATCTTCTAATAGTTATTTAAATTAATCAGTTTTTAAAAGTTACAATGCATCCTTAAATACCTATTTTTCTACTGCCTTTTTTTATTCCCCATTTCTTTTTATAGGTAAAACATCATTAATTACAAGTTCATATTCATAAATTGGCTGATTTTAATCAAATTTATTTTTAAGTTCTTAAAAGTTTAACTTATATATATATTCTGGATGTTTATCCATAAATTCTTTGAACTCTCCCTTAAAATTGTCTTATTTTGGTAAACTTAATGATTCATCCTTTATATAGATTAGTTTTTACAAGCTATTTTTTTATTAAATCTTAATAAAGAGTTATCAACAGCTTTCTTAGAAGATTTAAATCCTTTTTTTTATCAAAATATTAAGCTCCAATAAGAGCTTTAATGGCTTGAGACTGTATCTTAGGGTTATTTCTATAAAAATCAAAGATAAAGATTACTTCAAATCAGAGTTGACGTTGATAGAAACAAGCATCTCATCCTTTAATCCTAATTAGACAGCAGCATCAGCTAAATTCTTTTCAGACAATATTAATTGTTTTTATTTTCTAATATCAGAGTAGGATGTAAATGTTTTATGATCTTTATTGGGTAGACTATAATATATATAAATTCAGTAAGACATACTCTTGAAATGTAAAGAAATCATTAAAATAAAAATCAATTAGGTCGGAACCCCATTCAATCAAATTTTCATTATTACCATATTTTAAAGGATTATCTTTATTCCTTGACATATATTCCTGTTGATATTATTTAAATGTCATAGCCTTCTTAAATAATTCAGGATATTAAAATTCTAATAATTTCTTGAAAGCCAAGTCCTTTTTGTTAGATTGCATATTAATATAAATAAATTTAGAGTTTAATTTAATCAATCATATTTTCTATGATAGATAAAGAAGATAAGCAGAATCAATATGAGAGATTAGATCATTTGAAATTCTTTCGATTTCATCATAATTGAATAAGAAAAACTAAGTTAATTGATAAGAAAATAAAATTACTTATTAATTACTCTTCATAACTGTAAAGTGTCCTTCATGAATTGTACCAGAATGTACAATCATGACTGAAAAATAATATTTTGTATCTATAATGTCTGTGGTATAACAACAAAAAGAATTATTGCTAAAATTTATACTTCTTAATATTGAGTTCCATATCTGTTATGACTGGTATTTAACTTTCTTTTTTTACAGGTAGCTCTGAAATCTTTTAGAGTTCAAAATAAGTATATTTGGAGTACTTGTAATTTTGATTCCTCTTTTAATTTTTTTGGATGTTTATTTACATTTTGAACAAATCCATTCGCCATCAATGATTTCATCTACAAAATAATTGAAGAGACATTTATTGATAGTAAGTTTTATTAGATGAAATTCTTACTAAGTAATTATATGAAACTTTTTAGTATATAATAATTTTTTTACAATTGGGAAATTTTATAGAGGATGTAATTTGACCTCGAAATAGCTCATCAATAGTTGTTTTAGTTTATAACTGGTTTGTAAGAGAGAGTTCTTCTCTAAATTTATTAAAAATAATAATAAGAGTTCAGAACTATCAACAAGAATGCTATTACTGATTTCTCCTGAATGGATTAGTTCATCCTTTATATAATTTAAGTAGGCAAATGCCCAATTAAATGAATTTAATCAGTAAAATTCTATCAATTTCATAACTAATTCACACACTTATTCAATAGTTTTTTTGATATCTAAAATGGACCTCTCAACATTTTGGGAACTTAAGTCCATCTTATTATTTTTACCTTCAAAATTAGTTAAATTTTAAGAATGTTAATCCTAGTCTAATGACACACAAATTTAATATTTGGTTTAAATAGGTTATTACTTAATTAACTAATTATTTTGGTTTGCTATTCTTTTTGCTTTTTTCTTACCATTGCAGCAAATAAAATTTATTAATTTATTATAAATATCATTTTAAGGATTAAAATGTTGCATATTACGAAATAATTAATACTCAAAAAAAAAAGATCAATTAACATAGACAAAATCCTCATCCAAATAGGTAGATAGACAATAGAATAAATTATATTCATATATTTTTACTCATATCAAATATATATAACGTGTTCCTCTCTTTTTATTACATTGTGCTAAATTACATACTATTGAGTGTCACTCCTAAATCATGCGTAAGTTATTCATTCAAAATCAATAGATAAAAACTGATAACAATTCAGTAAAGAATTTCTTTCTCTAAATTATCTATTGTAAATATAATCACCAATACTATTATAAATTTTTATCTCTTATAATTTTCAAAAATTGCCTAATAACTTTTTTTACTATTCCATCACTACTAATTTGGTAACATAACATACTTCAAACCCGCCTATAATCCTACAATAAATAGATAGAAAAGATTTCTTTAATGACATATTTAACTATGTTCAAAGAAGTAAGTATTAACATTAATGAATTAAAATCAGATTCTCATCAATGGCTGTATTCTTATTTTAGCATTTTTAATATTGAATTTCATTTAAACAAACATAAATAATTAATATTTTCTGTATCAATATGAATTTGTTATTTATTAATTAGTTATTTTCTATCTTACTAATTAATAAATCTAACAACAAACTATCAAATTTGATTTCAAATTCAACAAATGCTGTATATTATTCTAGGTTCTATCAAAAAGTATACTTCTTATCCCTATCTTCATTCAATCATAATCCAGAGAAATTGGGTATTTAGAAGGATTTTCTGAATAAATTTTAAATGAAATTTTACATTTAAAAAACAATTATATTTTGAGGAAAGATTTAATTGATAAATATTAGAGGGATATTTTTTTATTTTAATTATCTGAATTATTCATTTATAATTCTACATATAATCCAAGAAATTAAAATAGTCATCGCTTTAATATTAAATGAATCTATTAGTATTTAAAAATGTTATTTATTTATTTTTATATTATTAAAATTATCCTATAAACATTAAGTTTAATTTTAATATCAATTAAATAAATTGTGCATCTATAATTTTTTTAGAAAGCATTATGTTTCTAAATATTCGAATACTTAAATTAATAAATAAGCATGACAATAAATCTAAAAATAATATAGAGGCATCAAATTTTCCTCAGTTTTAGATAATTATATATTTAGCCTCTCTTTTGATATGAATAGTTAATCTTCTATTAATCTTATTGATTTAAAAATGATAAGATGAGATTTTATCTAGAATTTAATATAAAGAAAATTAAATGTAATTTTAGGAAGAATCGATTTAAATAATCCAATAAACCTTTATGATATATTTTATGATAAAATGGTCGACTAAATTTTTATTAGGCATTCTAATTCCAATTATCAAGTTTAAATACTTTATCAAGTAAACCTTTTTCGAGATGAAATTTTTGTTTATTATCGATAGATTTGTCAGTTGAATTGATATTGATGATATTTTTCTTGATTTTCAAACTTAGGAATAGAATGAAAAAGATATTATAATAAAGTTAGAAATATCAATGTATTAATTTAGTAAATATATAATCGAATATTTTAAATAAAAAAAATTGGAATGTAAAGGAAAGAACTTGAGAAGCATCTGAAGGAGATTAAAGAGGAATTAAATTAACTGATACCAAATTATCTAGATGAAGGAATATTGATTTACTAAGTGAGTGCATGAAATATTTCATAGATTGGTAGCAAAGTTCAAATTGAATTATCAGAAGAATTCAATATTCAATAAGATTTTGAATTGAATTTTAAGTCAGTATTTTTAGAATTCATTTTCAATTTACAGAAACAGAAAATGATTTAAAAACAGATATTCAATCCACCAAAATCAATTAGTGATTTATTTCTAGGTAGCTATTTTAATTTAGATGATGTGCCAAAGATTCATAGACATCCTATCTTAAAGAATATAATCGATCATATAAATTAGCGTATAAATCATTTCTTTCAAAATCAAATATCAACATTGAAATTTTTGATTGATTAACAAAAATTAATTGATTCTTATATTACAAGATCATCACCAATTGTTATTGATATAGAAATTGATTCAAATTTAAAAACTCCAGAGGAGTAATAATAGAAAGTATTAAAACAAGAATTAGAATTGATTCAACTAGCATAATATCAAAATCCAACTTAAGAGCAATTGAATTGTCCATATTGTGTTTGTAAGAAGAGCAATTAGACTGTATTGAAACAATTAGCATTGAGATGTGCGATTTGTAAAAACTATTTTCATAGTTCATGTTTACGGATTGAGAAACCTAAAAAAGTGTTTGTATGTCCAGAATGTATACTAATTGGAATAGATCCATTACATGAATTAAAAGAGTCAATTTTAGATCCTGTAATATTTTAATCAGTAGAAGGGATGGCAAATTAATTTACATAAAAATTTTAGATGAAAAATAGATTACCATCAGAGCAATTAATAGAATTAAGATCTATTAAGATAGATGGATAATATGAAGATATTTCATGGCCTGATTTAGGAGATTTATAGTTGAATGGGAAAAAGCTTCTAGATTTTAGGCCTTTAGCTAATAATAGTTCTTTGAAAAAAAGAAAGGATGAAAAATTGATGCTTAACCTTGAATATGGACAAGTTAATATTCTAACAATTAGAGAATTAAATGGAACATCAGAAATGAAAGCTTATCGAATAAATTAAGGAATTCCTTATATGTTAGGAATATTCCAAGTCAAAGTTTATAAATTAAGTGAATTTATTAAAAAAGTCAAAATGGATTAAAGTTGTTTATTAGGAATAGAATAAAGCAAGAAATTTATTCAATTGTCATTTTTATAAAATTAATTTGATGAAGTGACAATGGAGAGTATTAAGGTTAGTTTGGATTGTGTCTATGATCTAAATTAAATCTAGACTCCAGCAAGAGGCAATATTTGTGAACATATTTAGTGTTTTTCATTAGAAAATTTAGTAACTATGATGAAGAATGTTACTCCTAGAAAATGGAAATGTCCAATTTGTAAACAGATGATTCTTGGATTGTAGGTTGATGCATATTAAATGTGCATTCTTACAATAATCAAGTAATACAATCTGAAAATAAATGAAGTTTCATTTAATTAGTTTGTAAGCTGAGTGCTTAATTCTTTAGGGCGAAGTAGAAAATCCTGAATTGAGAGAATTATTGAAATAACAAGAATCCACTCTTCCAGACTCTACTCGTAGCAATAATAATCGAGTTATTCAATTAGAATAGATCTCACAACGAATTTTAAAAATCTCCAATCAAGTTGTAGCAGAACCCAAAAATAAATATAAACCACCACCTCCATTACCAGAACCAAAACCAATTAAAAAAATAGGTAATTCATTTTGTGATGCTATTCTCATTGATTGATTATGTAATAAAAATCATAGATTATCCTTTCTCTTTTAAATCTCAATTTCATAATGATGCTCTTCATCTCCATCCAAACCATAATCTATCTTTTTCTTATGACAAACATAGAAATTATATATAAAATAGCCTAAAGCACCCAACAAAATCACCACTACTCCATAAACCAAACTTTGACTAGGCCCTATTATGATATCTAATTCAACCTTCTTCTTCTTATTAAGAATGTGCTCCTGAATTTTCTTTTTAAGCTTTTGAATTCTCTGTTTGAGCAAGAACAATCGATAATGCTAAAAACAATATATATTAATTCTTCATTTTTAAATTAAAGTAATATATTCCAAATTTCCATCTTACAAACTCCATCCTCCATCACTAACACTAATTTTCTACACATTTTCATTTCCTTTAATTCTTTCCTCTTTTGTAAAGGGAACTATGAATTAAGTGGATTCAACAAACAACTTAGCTATATATATAAATAATGATAAAAACATTATTTCTTAAACAATTCTCTCAACTTTGGATCTTTTACTTTTATTGATTCCATAAACCCTAATACGCCAACATCAAAGAAATTTTGATATTTCTTCTTTCCACACAATTTATCAAATTCTTCAAAGATTGGAATAATTTTTACTTTTAATTTTTAAAAAGCTATAATTTAGAATTATATATATACTTTATAAGGGATCTTATTGAATTTCAACAATCATATTATCTTTGGTAATAACTTATTTAATAGATGTATCTGTAATTGTTGTATTTAATTCAGAAATATTGGTATCTTCTTATTTATCTTATTATTCTTAATATTATTCTTATTATTATTCTTATTATTAATCTTATTATTATTAATCTTATTATTCTTATTTTTATTAATCTTATTATTATTATTATTATTATTATTCTTATTCCTATTATTCATTTTCTTCTTCTTTTTCATCTATTTTTTCTAATCCTTCCTCTTTTTGTTTTTCTTCTTTTTATTTTTATTTATTATCTTATCTCTCTAAATATTCATCAACATGTATATGATAATCAGTACCATTATCGAATTTTTATATCATATGTTAAATATTGAATTCTGAAACAGTTACAGCATGAGATACTTATTATGTATTTCTCACTTTGAATAGTTATTCATTTTCTGGTTAAACACTGGTATAGATTCCAAATGAAATGTAAGGAGATACAACAATGTCTCCCCAATAGCCTCTTACCAATAAACTATCTTTAGTTTATTTATGTTTTCCTGGTAGATAACCTGCCAATGTCCTATTAGGTGTTGGATAGCTTGCATATCGTGATTCAAAGGCAACTCCAGATTGTCTCCATTCTCTATAATGAATGAAGTGAATAATGGGTGCAAAATCTTTTAAGTTCATTTAATAATCCCAATCAATCATATTAAGACGATGATCAAATCTGATGCCATAATGATGTCTTAATCTTTAATCTCTCAATTTTTCAATTTTGAATTCTTGATATGAATACCATGATCTAATAACTTCAGTCATTTCATCTCTGTCTTTGAATTTTAATTCACGAAAATCAACTATTTAATTAAGTGCCGATGTAAATTTAGTTTCCTTAGCAATTAAATCATCTAAAAATGGAATGACCTTATCAATATAATTGGTTGTAGATTCCCTTAAGAAAGTATTTCCAAAGACTTCTAGAAACATATCACTTCTTTCTCTGTATGTAAAATTCTTGGTGTGCATTATCAATAATAACAATAATGATCTACATACAGTTTCCTTGTATTTTTCATGAATATAAAAATTAAGCTAAATAATAAATTCAAACTCTATACTTATAAATCATCTCTATTATGATTGCATAAACATGTTTCAAGAAAATGACGTAAATCACTTACTCCACTTAATAATATGTTGATGGTCCCACTCATTTGAGGAGTAACAAGATTCAATTATTTGGAGTGTCCCCAAAATTAAATGAAACCTAAAGATGATGAATAATCACTCATTTTTTATAATTAATAATAATAATCACAATTATATAAATTATTCTAACCATTATGCAACTTATATTGTATTCTCTATAGGTAACACTTACTAAACTATTGCATTCAATTTTTCATGAATTAATTTACCTTCCTTCAATTCCAACTTCTTTATAATTCTTGAACTCAGAAACATATCAATAGCTAATATTTGATTTGTGTTATTAGTGATATGTTACATTTTCAATATAGAATCTTCAAAATTATTATTAATATCCTCTAAATGAGTAGTTTGAGGCATAGAATCACATGATACAGGATGACAATACTTCTTATTTTTCTATATTAAATTGCTTGCTTAATTAGCTAGATATTAATAGCCAAATAAGGATTACTCATCTCTTAAATATTCTTCATAATATTCCTATAATTTAGTCAATTTTGGATTCATCAATCTTTAAATTCTTCTCTAAAATACTAAAAATAGAATAAATACTTCAGTGATTGCTCCAATCTCAGAAACAGCAATGGCTAAATAATCTATTAATAACAATTCAGTTTCATTATTGTTTTATTCATTATAGATGATATCTTTGATTATTTATGAATTGTTATTAAATTCAAATTCATAAGCTCTTTAACCTATTTCTTATGATTCAATCCGATTAATAATGAATTTAATTTAATCTAATGCAGCTCCAATGACTTAAGGAATGCATCTTGTTGAATAAGCATCTTGTAGTATATTATGAGTGATTCTCTTCAAACTTAAATTTAGATCTGATTCTTCATCATCTACAGTCAATAGATTATATAATTCTTAGGCAACTTCCATCTAACCTTAATGCTATTTGACTTCATTTACTAATTAAGTAAATGCACAGATGACTCCATTAGTAGCCTCAAAAGATATAGAAGTTGTTATGAATGCCATTTTAATGCACTTCAAACTTCTATGTGTATTGTATAAGAGAGTAGCAAATGAGAGGGATTTAGTTAATATAATGATGATGGTATCATATTCGCTTAAGTTTTTGAGTGATTATAATATGGCCCAGTTTACACTTCCATCATAATATTATGTATTAAAATTAGATGATGGTAAGTGTAATGTTGTTTGAGTATTAAAGAGTTCTTTGAGTTATCTTAATACATTTAGACTGACTCCACTATTTAGAATTAAATTGTTAATAAGCACAAACAAAGTAATTTTAGCAAGATCTTATTGCAATTAATCTACAGAATTGCATTCTAATAATTGCTTTAATTGTTTGGTTTCATAATTTTAGAGATCCTTTATAGGTTAAGGCATTTTCTATCCAAGAAGAGTATTGAAACCATATATTTATTATTGAGTATTCTGGATAAATTTTAAGAAGGATTCTCTTGATTATTGTACTTATATTTCATCGAATTCAATCATAACTTAATTTGAGAGGATATCTCCAATAAGGTTTAGAGAGTATTTTTAAGGAAGTGAAATAATCATATTTAAATATATATATAATCATTTATTAGCACTAGATCTTGATTATTAATATTGTTTATAGCTTTATATTGCTTAATCAACATTGTATTATGGGAAGTAATCACTAAACTAATTACTCTTTTCAAAGGATTAGTAGAATTCAATATTAGGCATTTCCAGAGGATTTCTCATAAATTATTTAGCAGTTTCACCTGTAAATTTTGAAGAAGTGATACCATATTTAGATGGTGGTTTATCTTATTATTATTGTTGTACTTAATATTCTCCTTTTTCAGATTCAGAAATACATGAATTAGATTTACGATCAGATCTATAAGTCTTAGTCTACTATTATTATGGTGCAGTTGTATGATATTTCTAATATTTAGATGGAGTATGTGGACCCTCACTTTCAATTTGATTCTGTATCCTCTTCTAATGATAATATACACTGTCTTGCAATTTTGCTTTCTTCAATTAGATACTTATTAATTCCTCTTTATCCTTATTTTACATAGCATTATTTGTTTTGCTTCCATTACTACTGTGTGGTAATGAAAATACATTTCCACTAGAATTTTTATCAGAAGATCCATTAAAATTCTTTCTATTCACTGATGCTTCCTTCAATAATTATGCATAAGAACTATGTGAAATTCCACTTGGAGGTTGTTGAATATATTGTACTGGACTTATATTTGGAATATCCATTAATTAATGACCTGGTTGTTATTGAGATTATAATGATTCTCGTAAAGATTACTATGAAGCCATATGAGGAGTATGTTAAGATTGCTATAATGAGTTTTATCTTTCAGTATATGGATTTGTTACTTCACGCAAATAATGCTATTGTTGAATACTGATAATCTCATCTTAATGGCGATGATCATCAGATATATCAGATTCAATATTTAATTGTTAATAAAGTAAAGCATTTTCTTCTATTTTCAACATGTATGATTTACTTCTCTTTTGTTTCCTTTTGATTCTTTTGATTGGATGTCTTATTTATACATCATTAGATTGGATATAAGAAACTAAAAAAGATTTCTTAGGAACATAATGTACATGATTACATTCATCAATATCATGAAATTTTCCACATGCATAACAACGCATCAAACAATAACTATAAAACTCTTGCATTACTATCTAATCTAACATCATTTTGTATTTCTGCTTCTCCTAATAATGATGTTTTATGCACTCCTAAAATCTTTCAAGATCCAATTAAGCAATTTATGAATAACCTATTGAAGTTGCACATATATTTGAGTATGAATTCTTGAAGAAAGCCTTGTTGTTAAACATTTATCCTTCACTTAAATTTTTTAATTTGAATTCACAATTTTGTGTTGTTCCTTCTGTTCTCTAAGAGATTCTGACTTCTCCTGACATAATTAAATATAATTGCTAATTTGAAGTCTATTAAAGAAGTATAGTTTGATTAGGATTATAAGTGTATTCTTAAATAAGGTTGCAAATTTCCTTAAGAGTTTTTTCTGAAAATGAAGACTTAAATATGGGTATTGTAGATAACATATGCATATATCTTTAATATCTGAAATCCTAAACTTAAGTTTGAGGTAAATAGTCTAGGAAATTGAGATCAACTGTTTATTAGCTATTTAATTTATTTATATATGCATTAATTTATTATTTGGTATTATTTTGAATTGAAAATTGATTCAGTTTCCACTTGTCTTTTGTATTGAATCTTAAAATACAATAACAATAATATATTAGAATGAGAATCCTTACAATGTAAGTAAGAACATTGGCACTCTCCTATCTATAAAACAACACAATGAACTCATCAAAATAGTTTATATGATTATCTTATTATAATTGAATTATAGACAAAGCTATAAATTAAACGAAATGAAATTCTAAAATATAATAAATATATAATGCAACTTTTCCGTAGAGTATTTACAATTCATATAAAATTCTCTTGATTTTCCAAATATTAACAAGATGAAATAATTATATCACATGTATATTTTCTGATAAAAAACAAAAAATAATAGGAACTACAGCCAAGACATCAAATATATATTAATATTTACAATATCTGGCAATTAGATCTTGTATTCTATTAATTTCTTCTCCATCTTTGAATTGAATGAAAAGAATCTAATTAAAAATATCTATTAACAAGAAAGCCATAAGAATGACTTAATAAATTGGTTGCTTATAGAATCCATATTCTAAATCGACTAACATAATTGTAATGAAAAAACTTAAATAAGCACTATATATAGCACTACTTAAATAATAGTATGTATTTTATTTTTTAGGTTTGAACCATTAAAGTGAAGATACATTAAAAGAGAATTCAGCAGCCTTATCTTAAAGGTAATTTAATTAGAATGAAGGATGAGTGACACTAGTTTTAGATGTCATTAATCTACTCCATTAAACATTACTATAAGAGTTCTATGGTTTTTCATCAATAATTAATTCTGCATTACTTACATTATTCTTAATTGTTTTGTTCATCTTTTTTGGTTCTGGATTTATTTACATTGATTATTCTTTGATGCTTGGTTCTTCATTTATTAAAAGCAAATCTTTCAAGTCATTTTGAGGAGGTTATTCTGAGGCTAATTATGGAGTTACACTAGTTGTAGGAGGTGAACGTAAGTTATCTTGAGGTTGATTAGATGGTTTTCGCACTTATAGTTAATGTGAGTTAACAACAGTCATTTTTTACACAATTGGTTGGATTTACATATTGATAGAATCATCCATGGATATTGACATTGATCTAGATGAGGAACCTTATTATCCATTCAAATGAGGTTGTATGAGCATGAAATTTGGATATTTAAATTACTACTTGAATATACAATAATGGCATAATAATAATTCCATCTAAAATACATGTATTATTTTAATTTAGATTATGAAGAAATATCTAATAAAATATAGACTTTAAGAACATCATTTGATTAGAATTTGATTTCTAATTCAAGTTAATAAAACAATTAATTATTCAAAGACTTATAATGTTATTAATTACCTAAACATTATAATCATTAGTATAGATTAAATATATCAACAATTTCAACGTATCTTATGATAATTGAATTGATTAAATAGTATAATTATATTGATTAATTAGTATAATAAATAATTATCAATATGAATCTTAGAATATTTTAGTAATCTAAGAAATTTAACAATAAAAGAGAGAAACCTTTTTAGATTGATTTCATATCTCAATTAGAAGATTATATTCAAAATAGTATGATGGATCAATATTCTTCTTTAACAATGTATATAAGATGTCTTTCTTATTAAAATGTATAACTATAAATCATAAGTGGAGTAATAGAATGTAAAGAAATTACAGATATATAAGAGATATCTAATAAAGAATGGATGATTTAATCAAAAATTACTACTATTTCTTATATATATTTAAATTTCATATTAATTCAAAATGATGAAAGTTATGAATAGAAATTCCTAGATAGTTTTTATAATATTCATAAAGTTCACATTAACAATCTAATAAATTCTTTATTGAATGATATTATTAGATTGTTTATAAGAGATGAGGAATATTTGATGATGTAATAACATATTTAAAAGGATTATGAAAATTAGAAGTTTTAGATTGATTAATTAATTAATATTCATTATTACAATTTAATTTAATTCTTCAATTTTAACAATTAACTACTTATAATGCTAATCCACTATTATTATTATTATTCATCTTGGACAATTAAATAAAAAATGGAATCATGAGTTTGGATGGTCTAGAATTTTTTTGATTTTTACAATAGAATTCAATTTCTATAATTCATGATCATCTGCTTATTTAATTGATACAATTTGATTAAGATCAATCACTTCTGTAGGATTATTGTATTATTATTACTTTTTAAAAGTATATAAAGTAAAATTAGTTAATACAATCCAGCGTCTAATAAATTAAATTATTGATATTACTTATGCCATTTTTTAAGAAATCTTGATTATTTATCCATCCAACCTTCTTTCACTATACATTTTAAGTCTTCAAATTAATATTTACTATTTATCTATTAATTCATATAAGACAATTTAATTATAATAAAAATTCATGTTAGCTTAACTCATTACACTTAATAATTTAACATCAGAATCTATAAACATATCTAAACCTCTTTTTAAATTAGGTAGAGATCCAACAAATGATAAATAATTTACTAATAATAAAATAAGTTCTTTCCATCTATAGATTGAATATAAGGAATCTTAATTTACAATCCTAGATAATTCTAGTAATGGTACATTTATTAATGGAAAAAGAATTGGTAAAGGTAATTAAGTAATTATCTAAAATGGAGATAATATACATATTTTACCAATCGATCGAGTATAACCAAATGAAATTATAGGATTTGAATTTCTTATAGATAATAAGATCAAAGATTCCCGATCAAATTCTGATCAAATTTAATCTATAAATCATAATAAATCTTAAATTATCTCTTAATAAAATAAATAGATTGATGAATTGGCAGATGAACTTCTATGTAATATCTGTAATGAATATTTGTTTGAAGCTGTCACTATTAATCCATGTAATCATTATTTTTGTGGAGCTTGTCTATCAAAATGGTTAGAAAAATAATAACATAATGATTGTCCGAATTGTAGAACTATAATTAAATCTATTATGATAGCAAGAATGATGAATAATTTAGTTGAAATATGGTTAAAAAGTAATCCATCTTAAAATAAAACAAATTCATTAATGTCTAAAGATAATCTCATTTATTAAAATCCCAATTATTATCTCAACTTTTAAGAAGAATAAGCAAAAAAATAATAAAAAGATATGTCTGATGAATACTTAAGTAATGATGATAATTTTGATGATAATAATCCTCATCTCTAATTTAATCCAATTATAATTCCTAATAATGCTTTCCTCTTTTAAGCATAACCAATTTAAATTTGTAAAAGTTGTAATGGATAAGTTTGGAAACAATATTAATGTACTGATAATCAAGTTCATATTGGATGTTCATCATGTGGTCGATTAATGCCTAAAAGATTACTTAGTATATATATAATTTTAATATTATAGATGAGGATGAGAATGAATAATTATAAATGATGTGTTGTATTTGCAAAGTTTATGATTGTAAATTCTATTATGGAGATTGCAATAAAGCAAATTTAAATAAATTAATGTTAGTCAAAGATATTCGTGATTTAGTTTAAATTCCTCTAAATTTCATTAATAATGTAGAATACATAAGAATTATTAATCATCTTTAAGGAAAGTAACATTCTACAATATTTGACTTTATGTTAGAACACTACATTAATAAAGGAGACTTTTACTTTTAATAAAATAAATCAACTTTCAATTTCCCATTACAAGATATCAATGTTAAAATTACACCTAACACTGTAATACTTATATTGTATTTAATTATTAGCCAATATGTTGGTAATGTCATAGGAAATTAATTAATTTCATAATTTTCAGATATGTACAATGTTGGAAATATGATGAAGCTTTATTCTCATCACCAGATTGTTTTTATGGAATTAATTGTAGAACTCAACATAGAAATCAATATCATGCAGACAAATATAATCATGTTTGTGAATAAACTAAATTCAATTGAAATTAAATTAAACTATTTATTATTATTATATAACCGAAATGAATTAAATACAAATAGATGCATTAAGTGAACTTACTATCAATCTTTTGAATGTATCTCATATATCAATATTAGACTCTAAGATTAGAACTTAGACCAGAATAGAGTACTGTTGAATCATTTCGAAACCTCATATTATTATTTCAAGGAACAGAAGAATGGGTCTAAATTAATAGTGTATAATTATTAACTATAAAAGACAGCTCCATGGAGTAGACTAGTTTAACAATTACTTAAACCTAAAAGATTGATAAAACTCATCTAAAATCATTACAATTATGATCTTTCATAAAATCTATATCTCTTAAATTATGAAATATTAGATACTTAACCTCAAAATGAAATTGAAGAAATACTCAATAGAATTGTTTGTGCTTTAATTAGTTATCATTATTAAGTCACAATTCCTGATCCTCCTTAAGTTAGTTAAGTGAGTAGAATTACTCAAGAAAATTCAGAATCTTCATTAATTATTGCAGAATAGACACAAGTAAATCATATCACAACTAGCTCTTCTATATCTACAATGATCCCACTTGAATTTCAAAATGAATAATATGGAGAATCATAAAATACAACTAGAGCTTAATTCATTCTTGATAAATTAAAACATTAAATTAATAATAGTGTAGTAGGACATTACAATAAGTTATTTCAATATTGATATGATATATAAAATACTCATTTAAATTATTATATTAATTTATGAAATAGAGATTTCAGAATAAAGTTTGTCTTGTCACAGCATCCTCAACTGGTATTGGTTTAGCAATCAGTGAATAATTTGCTAGAGAAGGAGCTACTGTTATTATCAGCTCTAGAGATAAAAAACATATTGATGCAGCAGTTGAGAAAATTAGAAATTCTGGAGGAAAAGCTGAAGGATATGCATGTCATGCTGGCAAGATTGAAGATCTTTAAAAAATGATTCAATTCATCAAAGAAAAGTATGGTCGTCTAGATATCCTTGTACCTAATGCAGCTGTTTCTACACATTTTGGATTCGTATTAGACATGACACCATAATAATATGATAAACTATTTGAAGTCAATCTCAGAGGAGTATACTTCTTAATTCAAGCTGCCTATCCTTTACTTAAAGTATTGATAATATTCATTATATTAAGGAGACCTAAGATTCCAATATTGTTATTATATCATCTATTGGAGGATATGAATCAGAAATGGGTCTGGGAATGTACAGTGTTACTAAGACAGCTTTATTAGGAATGACTAAGGTACTTAGCAAAGATTTAGCTCCAATTAGAGTTAATTGTTGTGCTCCTGTATTTGATTATATTTATTTATCAAGGGGTTAATTAAAACTAAATTTAGTTCAGTTTTATGGGAAGGAAAAGAGTAAGCTGCTGCTGAATTCATGAAAGTGGAAAGACTTGGTGTACCAGAAGATATAGGAAATGCTGTAGCATTTTTAGCATCATCAGAGGCTAGTTATGTAAATGGGGAAACATTAATTGTAGCTGGAAGAGCATCTCCTAGATTGTGAGAGTCTAAGTTATTAAATTAATTAGTCAAATTATTAGATTCTTTCGAGTCTCAATTATTTTTTACACTGAAAATATTGCCTCTTCTCTAAATTACAAATCAACTTCCATTAGATTTTATGGAAGACTTTCTTCTTCATCTTAACTGCAAGCTTCTTCATCCAATCTAAATGATTAAATTCTTGTTCTTTAAGCCAATCTAGCTTTAAAAGAATTTGCCTAACATACTCGTTTTAATTTTTTTTTCTTTTGATTGATTGTATTTGTTGTACTAATATTGGATATACTTTCAAATATGACTCTTTATTCCAATTCTGAATCAAAAATACTCTAGAAAGTATCTAAACTATCGGATTCTTTTTGCATTTACTGATTTGATATAGAATAATGATTGAATGAAATTCTAATACTTTTAATTTATTGTATTGATGGTTCTTATTCTATAAGCTAGGAATCAAGTGATCTTTAATTAGATTAATTAATCATTATAACTATTAATTATAGTTTTTACAATATAATAATAATAATAATAATAATAATAATAATAATAATAATAATAATCTACCATTAAAGATGATATTGAAGAATATATATTAATATTTAGTTATAGAATACCAAAAAGTAAAATTAAATATATAGTTTGATAAGAAATTTATACATTCAAAAATGATTCAAAATTATCAATTTTTCTAAATGAGGAAAATCCCCAATTTACCATTGTTTTTCTTAAGCCATTTATTTTTTTATAATATATTATTTAGTAATTTTGTATTCCAATTATCCACATTATGAACTTAGAATCTTTAAAGAGTATGATGATGTCTCATTTTAATTTAATTCTATTGAGATATTCTATAGTTTATTATTTAAAACATTGATTTCATGATCAAAAGAAATAGAGATACTTCTCAATTTATTAATCTATTCATCAATCTTTTCTTAATATTCTCTAAGCAATTATGATAAGATAGGCACATCATCATAACATCTTATAAAAAATATATGTAAATATTTATCTGTTAAATTCTGAATAAGTTAATAAAGTTATTTCTGATCTAAATGAGGATCTCTTCTTAAATGAATTGACATATTTTATTTAAAACTTTATATGTTTTATATTATTTAATTGAATACTTTTGTAAAAAATTATTAATGTCTTAACTTTTGAAAAATTTATAATTACAAGAATTTTGTCTCATAAAAAAAAGTATAAGCTAATGCAGTTATAAAAAACCTCTATATAAAATCCCAAAAATCATTTATTCTTTCAAATTCTTCAAATCTTTAAAATTTCAAATCATCAAAAAATTTATTGATATCCATTTTTTATAATCCCATAAGCATTGAATATTATGAAGCTTCTCTTAAATGAATTTAAAGTTTATTATTAACAATCTTAGAAGAAAAAGAGATTACTAGATTTAAATGCTAAAAACCATTTGATCTCTTGAATATAAAAATTCCTAATTCCTTTGTAGGAATAAATTAATAGTATTAATATATAATACAAGAGGTAATCTAATTAAATTCAATTAGCATTTATTAAATCAATTAACATGGTAGAAATGTATGATATAACAATTCACTAAGAGACCAAATATCATTCTATTGAACTAATAAATGCAAATTAAGTGGGGCTGCTTTTAAACATTCTGAATTGAAAAATCCTTCTAATATTTCGCTCTTTATCAAATAAATACGAATGAAATCCTCCTCCTCTTTCATAAGACAATTACCAATTATATTACTTATAAAGAATTAACCATTTAATAATTTCCCAAATTATAATGCAATCTCAATATCAGTAGGTGAATAAGTTAATTTTTAGATCACTATTTATTTTGATTCATCAAGAGATACAAGGATTCTAATCATAATATTTAAGTGTTCTTTGATCTTTTATTTAAGAGAATCAATTAAGATTGAAAGATCATGCTCAGTTAATTAAATCTTTTAAAAACTATGTGTTCAAGAAATTATACCTAAATGAAACACCACCTTCAATTTTGTTTACCTCATATTTAATTTCAGTCATCTTGTCTGTCACACTATATGGAAACTGTCTATAACATATAAGATCTTTTGGAAATTCCTTAATCTTATTCTCCACTATAGCAAAACCATCATCTATTATCGATATTATCAACTAATGATTCCAATTATTCAAATTAGTTTTCATTAATAATAAAATAATTTTTTTTTATGAATTTCATTAATTTATTCAGTCAATGCTGACAATTCTTAACACAACTATCTTTGTTCTTAAATTAATTTGTTTATTTAATCATCATCAGAATCCATTATTTCTTTCCTTTAGGGTAACACATATTTGTCATATTGATTAACCCACTTTTGTAATTTCCCCTCTGGTATTTTATACATTGTAGCCATCTTCTATATTTCCATTCTTCCTGGTTCAGGTCCTAATTATTATAATAATTTGATTCTATCTGAAAATAAAAATTGAGGTTTTGTTTCCATTTACTAAATATATTAAATACATATAATATTCTCTAATAATTTTCATTCTAAAAAAAAGCATTATAAAATTTTATCAAATATATTAAAAATGTATAATTTTTAACCTAACCAAAAATTAGAAATTGATGGTCTAAAATTAGGTCATCAATTTGAATAGAGATTATATTAAAGAGAATATGACTCTATGAAAATGATGCTTGTTTAATCAGAAAAGGAAAAATAACAAGCTACTCAAAAATATAATCTGTTAAATTAAAAATATTAAGAAAAAAAAATTATTGATATTTTAGATGAACAATCATTATAATCTCAAATTAAAAATGATGGAACAAGACTATTTAAAGCAGCAAAATATGCTATTTTAGGTTTAGAAAGAAAATTAGATGAAATAGAATTACCTAATAAAACTGAAAAGATTACAGATAAATCTTTAACAAATGATCCTAAAATTTAAACATTTTAAGCTTAAGATTCACAAATCAATGCTCAATTTACAGAAGAAGAATAATCAAAAATCTATTAATCCAAAGAAGATAGAAATTATTCTTAAAGTCTCATTAATTTTATGAATGAATTAGATGAAGAAAGAATAATCTATACAACATAAGAAAGACTTCCTAATTATGAATAAATACCTTCTAAATAAATTAAAACATAAGGTTAATCTGTTACAGTATCATTTCTATAGAATAATCAACCTAAAAATAAAAATTCAACTGATACCAAACTCAAATAACTTAATGATAATGCTTATTTTCACTTTACTGATGATACTAGTCGAACTGAATAAATGTTTAACATTGATTAATAATTAGAAACACTTTTAGATGATATTTAAGGATTAGTAACCAGAACTTCAAAATAACCTGAATAAACACTTATAACTCATAAATTAAGACTCTAAAATGAAAAGACTTAAAAACCTACACCAATTTAGAGAATACCAAATTTTCAACCTGTTAATTTTGCATAAAATTAAACAAAATAAGAAGAACAATCAATTCAAAGAGTAATTGATAGTTCTAAATAAATTGATAATTTAGACCAATTAATACTTGATCTATGCAATTGATTATATTTACACTTCTTTAAAATTTAGATTTAATTAATATAGTGGGATTACTTTACATTAATTCTTTATATTATTTTTATTAATTGAATTAAATCATTTAATAATATTGATAATCTTTAATAAATCAAACGTTAATTTTATTATGTTTTTTAATAAGTCTGAAATTGTAAACTTAATTCTAAAATACTATTAGAGTATTACCTATGATTAAGAATATTAATATGTATAATATATATTTGAATTTACAGTTAGGTTGTATGTATGATTTATAGATGATAAAGATTCATTTTTAGTGATTTATATATATGATTCTGTCCTGATAAAGATAGACTATTTAGAACTTATTTCATAATTAGAATTCTATAATTCTTTTTGTATACAATTTACATCATTTATTATAGCTATATATTTTTTAATTTTATCATCATTTTATTAACATTAACGATATGGTTATTATATATATATATATCGAAAACAATAATTCAATAGAAAAATAAACAATTAGTATATAATAATTTCAAATGTTATGTTAAAAAGATGCTGTTACCATTTTAAATATTATTATATTTAATATATATAATTGTTCATCTTCAAAAAGTAAATATGATTGTTATATCATGTTAAAATACAATATATTTTAGATATATCTAAATCCAATAAATTTGATCGCATTTTGTAAAATGTGAAAATAAATTAAATCATATTTAACTACATTTTAATATATTGCATTTAGAACATTCTATATATTTCATATTAAATTGTATATTGATAATATAAATGATAAGAGTAGTTCCTTTTAATGATATTTATGGAATGCTAATAGGTGTCTATTTAGAACGTTTATAGGTGTTTAATTAAGAATTTTTATTAATTTTTATAAGAAAAAATGTCAGATGATGAACGTTTGTCTCTTCATTCTTATGATCCTTTATAAGATGGGAATGATAATGATGAAATAGATGAATTTTACAAGGAATTAAGTTATCAATTTTATGGGGAGGAGAAAAAAAAGAAAGTATCACTTTTGATGTCAGGTTCAACTTAAGTAACAATCATATTAAAAATTTGTAGGAGACTAATAAACCTAGTAGAGATACACTACCTGATGTTAAGAAAGGTTTCTTGTTTGTGAAGTCATCCTCAAGTCGTGCAGGCAGTCCAAAATGTGGACGTAATTAGGTGTAAAGGAAATCTCCAAATTAAAAGTTATAGAGTAGTCCCACTACTATTAGAATGATTTAAACAAAGAAACTAATTTAATTATTGTAATCACCTTACAATATGAAAAATAAGTAGAAACAAACATTTTTGAAGAAATAGATTGACATGATCAAAAAGATTCAAGTATAAGAATTAAAGGAACATTATTATAAATGAGGTTTTATTAATTCTGTTCTCCTTATTTTAAATATATTGAAGTTATACTTCTTTATCAAAATATTTATAATTTTAACATATGGGAAAAGCACATAAAACTAAGAAATTTGCAACAATCAAGCGCATGATTACTAAAAAGGATCCAAGATGTTAAAAAAGACATCTTGAACAACCTAAAGAAGAGAAAAAGAAAGGTGTTAATGATGTGGAAATAAAAGAATTGTATTTTTAATCTTATTACATTTTAGACCACAAGAACCAAGTCACTTATTTTTTAGACATAATCCAGCTCTAGGACCTCCATATAGGATTTTACTTGATACAAATTTTTTAAATTTCAGCATTTCTAATAAATTAGACATTTTTAAAAATACAATGGATTGTCTTTTAGGAAAATGCATTCCATATATTTCTGATTGTGTTATTGCTGAATTAGAGAAATTGGGACAAAAGACAAGATTAGCTTTAAGATTGTCTAAAGATCCTCGTTTTGAGAAGTTGACTTGTGATCATAAGGGGACTTATGCTGATGATTGTTTAGTGAATAGAGTGAAACAACATCGATGTTTTATAGTAGCCACTTGTGATAAGGATCTCAAACGTAGAATCCGTAAAATTCCTGGTGTTCCAATAATGTTCATCTAGAATCATAAATATACAATAGAGAGAATGCCTGAAGCATTTGGTGCTCCAAGATGAATTGCTATTATTTTTATTAATTTATATAAATGGCTGAATTAACAAAAGAGGAGAAGAGAGAAAAAAGTAAATAAATGAAAGATAAGATGAAATATGTAGAGTAATAAGCAAGATTTAGAAAGGCTTAAACAGAATTAAGAGATAATGGATTAGAAAATACAACAACAAATACTAAGCGTGAAATAATGAAAGCATTAGAAAATGAAATGGATGATCAATAATTAAAACAATATTAAGAACTTCAAAAGAAATTAGTAAGAATGAATTATTATGGATCATTTTTTGGATTAACTAGTGCAGCTATATTGCCAAGAACATTTAGATTTTATTAGAAACTTGGATTAGTATCAAGGTAATATCTAAAAATATTGTATAATTTAGAGTCACTGTTTGTGTTAGTACATTTTTGATTACTTAAAAGGGAGCAACATTTAAATATTTATGTGATGTAGATGATTTTGAAGTTGATTTTATTGAAAAGCATAAAAGTAAATTTTTAGAAACATCTTTTGAAAGTTGATTTAATTTTAGTTTTATTATCTTTTAATAATTATATGTAATATTATATTCCAACCAAAGATGTTTTGGGTGCACTTTCAGAAGTATTTTCAAAGTGTAATTACCAATTTGATAACTCTAAACCTTCTGAATCATTTGATAAACTAGCATCCACTTTTTAATCTAAATTGGATACTAATAAATTCAAAACCAATTTAGATAAGTACATTGAAAAGGTTAAATGTATAAAATAAACTTGATTTTAGAAAAAATTTAATCAAAAGATGAAAATGATGGTTCTATATGTCTATCAAGTTAATATAATGATATATCAAAATAAAATGATTAACAAACTACAGGATTATTAAATTCAATTAAATCAAAAGTAATTCCTGAAACAATTGATTAATAAATACAAACTGATACTATAATGTCTTTGTGTAATTTGGAATCATCTGTAATATTAATTGATAATGGTTGTTAAATAAAAGTTGAATAAATTGAAAATTTAACATAAACAGAATATGATATGATTGATGCAACAACCAATACTATAATTTATGAGGATAATACAAAAAGAATGGAATAAAATTAATTAAAATTATATAGTTAAGAAGTTTCAATTCAAATTTATAGTGATTATGTTAAAATAAAATCTTAAGATTTTTAATGTCAGGTTGATCAATAGTAAGATGATTCATAAAATATTGTATTAAATTAAAGACTTGAAAATAATAGTGATTAATAATAGTAGAGTTATCATTCATCTGATTTGATAGACAATTTATAAATAATTCATGATTAAATAAATGAAGAATTTATAAAATGTTAATGTGGTAAAAGTATCTTTATTAATAAAAAAAAATTAATTGATGTTGAATGTTAATATGATAAATCTCTAAATACATAATAAACAAATATAATAGATATGGAATTTCAAGAGAGATTTAAGCATATAAGAATTAGAAGTAGATGTATGAGTCAAACTAATTAAAATAATGAAAAGATATAAATTAATGATGAAGATTAAATCACATTTTTAGAAAATGGTAATTATTTATAATATATAATTTAATAGAATTATAATTAAAAAATGAATTATTAGAAACTAAAAATTAAGTTATTTTCAAATTACATTCTTAGATTGAAGATTTACATAAATTAATTAATGATCAAAAGGATAGTGCTAGAAATCGCAATGATTCAGATTCAGATTTATCTAATGAAAGTGATAATTAGAAAATTGATAATTTATTACAATAAATACAAACTGATGCTGATATATAACATCATTTGACTAAATAGATGTTATAATATAGTGAAGAAACTAGAAATCTTGAATAATAAATAAGAGAACTTAGAGATTAAAATTAAGATCTTAAAGAAGAACTTGATAAATTAACTATTTAAATTACAAAATTAAAAGAATAATAAGCAGAAATGGAAGATAATAATGCTAAAGAAATTGATATTATTAATGAAGATTATTAAGATAAATTATCCAAATAAAATATGATAATTGATGACTTACAATAATAAATTAATAGTTTATCAATTAGTCCAATGGGATTACCTCAACTTTCTATGCCTTAAACTATGAAGTATATGAGTTAATAATAATTCTAAACTGTTGGATCTGATTCATAATAATCTAAAGGATCAAATTGTAAAACTAAAGAGGAAAAACAATAATTAATGAGAAATATTAAAAGAATGACTACAATGACAGCAGGATTGATGTCAAATAAATAAGACTATACTACTTTGGGAGTCTTAGGTAAAATTGATCAATATAAGAGTTAATAAAAATTAGAATCCTTCAATAAACTTAATTGATTGTTAATATATTTATTATTTAAATTTAATAAATAAACAGTAAATTAATTTTAATTATTCATTTATAATAACACTATAAAAATTATATAGTTTAAAATGGAATACTTTTACTATTTATTAAAATAATTATTACTAATTAAATTCTTATATTTTTATTGTATCTTTTTTAATACTAGAAACACTTAATTACTAATTTATTATAATTAATAAAAATATTATATATAATTACAAAATAAAATCATAAATTGTATTTTTAAGTAATAATTTGAAATAATATTAAATTAATTAATTTAAAAATATATAAGCTATGAATTTATCTAATGCATCCTCTTCAAGTGTGAAATTTTAGAGTGCTAAACAATAACAATAGGAATCAATTAAGATTAAAGAATAATAGGATTAAACAATAAATTCTGAAGGGGACCTAGAATCTGAATTTAATTAGGATGAAATATATTAAATATAACAGAACATTCAAAAGAGCTAAAAATTTGAAACATCTGAATAGGAAGTCATATCTATTGAGGCTAAAAAGGAAATAACATAAGTTGAATAATTGAATACAGAAATGTAAGAAGAGAAACCTTTAACTTTGAATTTTGTAAGTATGTCTTCAAATCAAAGAAATAATCTTTAGACTTATAAATCAACAAATAGAAAACTTATTCCAATAAATTAACATAGTTTAAGTTAATCAATTATATCAAATATAACTTTAAATAATAAAGGAAAAGGATTTCGTAAAATAAATGCATTCTATTATGATAGAATAGGAGATTAAATGAGTTTGATATTTATGGAAAACAAGAATATAATAAAGTTTTTAGCAAGAGAGACTGTAATTCCTATTTTAATATCATTTGTTATTGAAGTGTTAATTTTAGTTGTTTAGAATGAGATTGGTGAATATTGTTTTATTGATGGGATTGTTTGTTCTAATTATTGGGTTAGATTATGGTCATTTTTCAAATAATTGATTGTAAGATTATCATTAATAATAAACAGCTTTTTAAATTAGGGATAGTATTTTGCAAAGGTCATATATTGTACAAATTGGTATTAGGAAATAAGTTAATACAAGTAAAGAATGGAAGACCTTTAATTGAATATTTTGTTTTAATAATAATGACAGTCTTAACAGATTTTATAATGATATTTTGGGTTGGATTCAATGAAGATTGGCTATTTATAGTTTATGTCTATATAATTGGTTTTGTTGTATTTTTCAATACATTTAGAATGAAGACATGGCCAAGTTAATTTTTAAAAGGTTTAAGTTATTTCTTATATGATATAACAATAATTGGTTTGTTATTGGTATGTTTTAAACTATTGCCTTAAATAAAATAATCTTTAAGAGATCATAATTCTGTGGCATGGCATGAATATTATATGTTTTTATATGCATTTTTAGATTTGGGAATGGAAATCATTATGGATTTATCATTATCATTAACAAAATATAGTGAATTATATATTTATTAAGGTTAATTGTTGATAATAGGTACAAGAGTAGGAACATTAATTTAAGGAGACATGGCAAGATTTGATTATTGGTTTTGCTTGTTTTTTTTGATAATATTTAGAATTAATAATATATCAATTGTATTTACAGTATTTTTTAGAAGAGTGATATATTATGCAACTCCAGATAGTTTGAAACCATTTGTATCAATGGAAGAGACAAATTTAACAAGAAAAGGTAAAAATGGAGCATATTGGGAACATTTATTTTGGATTGTCTATTTTTATATGTTTATATTTTCAGGAAGAACTTTAACTCATTGGATTTTTGATAAATCTTATATATTAAATGGGAAATTTGAAACTAATATATGGGATGGATATGATAAATCAAATTATATGCCTATTATTGTATGGACATTTTTATTGATACCTGAATTTGTAGGATATAAATTGAATAAATCTAAGAATTATGATAACATAAAATTGTTAGGAGGGAATAAATTAAAATTTTATGAAAATCTATTCATAAGAATATTTGGAGTATATTTATTCAATTTTGCATTGATGAGTAATTTAATTTGATATTTACATGATATATTTTTATTCACAATTTCTCCATTGTAACTAATAATCGACTTCTTTTATCAACCATCTTCTATTCTCTAAAATCAATTAATTCGAATCCATCCTCCTTATCTACTTTCTTTTCCATTCCTTTAAATAAAGGATACAAATAAACAAGTCTACCTCCTCTTCTTAATACTCTCCTTGCTACTTCAAACATTCTTTTATAGATGGCAGTTCTATTAGCTTATAAATCCTACTCATTTCCATCTTATTATATTGATGCTCTTATTCCATAAGGAGGATCACAAATTATTGCATCAAAAAATTCATCCACTCTGGGATTGAAAGTTGGTAAATGAACATCAGTTTGTATCAAATTTGGGATAGGAAGATTGTATTGTTGAAAATTCAAATTTATGTAAGGTTTAACTTATTGATATTTTGGATCTTTGAGATAAGTACTCTTCTTATTGATGTATCCAATACAATGCCCTTTCATTAACTAAGAATTTAACTTATATACATTACATATCCATCTATTTCTGAACCAAAACATATTGCTCCAAAATGAGAACAAGCAACTAAAGAACTGCCTGTTCCTGCAAATGGATCAAATACTAAATCATTCTCTTACACTTAAGCTTAATTGGCCATCAAAAATGCTAAATCATGAGCCAAAGAGACTGGACCTAAATATATACGATTTGGCAATTCATAGTTTCTTGCAAAATTCTTTTCTCTTCTCTTCTTTTTCTTTGTCAAGGTACAACCAGCAATATACTTGTGATCTTTAGTTATAATCAAATAATATAGTATGTCTGGTTCTGTTAAATTAATGGTATTTTAACAATTAAATCCCTTTTCTCCAAATACTTACTCCATTAATTCAACTCTCTTCTCTTAAGTGATTTTGAAATATGATGTAATAATATCACATTTACAAGTTAAATTTGGATTTTAGATATATTGCATAGCTTAAGGTAATATATTCTTAGTTAAATCATCTAATGTATTGCCTCTACTGATTGTATATAATATGTCATGAATCAAAATGGATCGATTCAAAACTTTTGGAATTAAATCTAGATCCCTCAATTATACATCCACAAAAGGATAATTTGGTAGTGTTTAAGATGTAATTTCATATTTCTTTGGAAACTATATTATAGGGAAATACTATTTGAACAATTCTTAATATGGCAATCCAAAGAGTTCAAATAGTTGAATTGCTTCCTATATTCCAAATTCACCCATCTCAATTGACTAATTAATAACTAATGTGACAATGTGTTCTTATTCTTGAATCATAAATTAAATATCGATATAAATTATACTATTAAATAATTTATAAGTTATTAAATTTAATATATATCAATCAATGTTCTAATACACCTTCTCTCCAAATTCCATCAATTTATTATCCATCTTATGTCATAAACACTCCTTTCCCCTCAATCATACCATCATTAAATTACCCTTCATAACATTCTCCATTGGTTAGATACAATGTACCATTTCCTTGCATCTTCCCTTAAAAGAACTCTCCTTCATAACTTAACCAACCATTCCCTATTAAACTAAGATCTCTATAATCAAAAGGATCATTTATTTCTTCTGCACAATAGTTGATAAGTTTTCCTTATCCATGATATTGATTGTCTAACCAATATCCACTATATACTTCATTGTCATTTTAATCTGTCAATACTCCAAATCCTTCTCTTGTGACTGGCTCATATCCTTATCCTCTATAAATGTATCCATCTTCATATTATAAGGCTAAATCTTAAAGTTACTTTTGTTCTTCTTATATTTGTTATGGTTTATTATACTTCTATACCAAATCCTTAGTTTTATCGATTGCATCTTGGAACTTCTTTTCTAGATCATCATCCTATTAAGATAGAATTGGAGGTTGAGAGTATTATGGTTTATGTTAATATTATGGAGTTGTTTGATAATTAGATATAGATTATGGAGGTGGTTTGGATTAATTAGATTAAACTTATGGAGTAACTGGTTATTATTAATGAAAGGATTTTGAAATTGGTTATTATTATATTTGATATGGAATGGAAGATCTAAAATTCTGTTATTGTTAATAGGAGGTATTATTTAATACCATTTATTAAGATGTAGGTACAATTGTTCTAGTTGTATAAGATTGATGAATAGAATTTCCATGTCGAATAGGGATTATTGGTTAAGTATGATATATTCGAGTTGTGGATATTGGCTATTGTAATAGATTTTATGAAAGTACAGAATGTTTTATTTGGATATTTTATGGCTTAATAATCATTTTAACTGGTGGTTGTATATATCTAATATAGGTTGGTTGAGGGGATATAAGATAGAAGGAAGTATTATACATAAAAATAATTTTTATTGTGAAAATTACAATGATCAAAATAACCTTATTCAATCTAGTCTTCTGAAGATATACATATAACCCTTATTTAATGCAGGCTCAGCTGATTTGGCAACCTTAGAATCATTGTATAGAATCCATTCTCCATTCTTTTTAATGTAAGACACATAATGTCCACAATGAACAGATTTTCCTAAATGAACTATACAAGCTAAAAAATATAATAGAGAAAGTTAATACCAAACAATTCATATTTGGATGTTTGATTTTCAAATTGATCCTACTTCTATTATTATTTCTCTTGTGGCTATTTCATTTCTAATTCTAAGTCATGATTAAATATATAATCCATAGCTCTCTCTAAATTATTATCCTTTTATATATAAATACTATAAATATACTGTTTTAGATAATGCAAATCTGGCTTAATCTTGATTGAATCCCATTGCAACTATTTATTCCACAAATTCTTCACTTATTTAAGGACCTTGTTGTTTCTATTATAATGGTTAATCTTGAGTTGGATCATCTAAAGATTCCATAATAAACATCATAGCAGCTTCAACATCATTCTTATATTTAATTAGTGCTCGTTTACATCTATTTTCACCAAATCCCATTCCCATTAAAGTTTATAAGTTATCTTCTGTGTATTCCTATACATTTTACTCTTTTAAAGCATCTATGTCTTAGAGAACGGGTTCTTTGAAATCAGCCAAATCATAGAACTATTAAATCTTAATAGAGGCATTCAATTTCTTAGGAACCCAATTCTCTTAGACAAATCTTATTACAGGTACAAATAGATATTTTGGGAATGTTTTAAAGTATTCTTATTTAACAAATACTTATAGAGATTAACATTTAGGACAGAACATATCTACACGTTCTCCTTGTTTTAATAATTATAAAGACTTTTCAAATGTTGTATCATACTCAGGTAAATCATTTAATTAAAATGGTTTAATATCTTCTGGTTTCATTGTTTTAATTCTCTCTTCATATTTTTATTTCTCTTGTATATGATAGAGATCAATTTAATCTTAAGTAGGTTATTCAACAGGTACTTTAAATTCTTAATTTTTAACAACATTAACTTTATGTCCTCCACAATTAACACATTTTAGTATAGTTGTCTAATCATATGAGAAAATAGATGATAATTATTATAATTTAAATTATTTTTCTGTTTTCTAAAAGAATGAATTTAATAATTGCCAATATTCTAATGCATCTTATTAATGATTAGATAGAAAATGTTAATTACCTTTAGCAACTAATTATTTGAAATCATATAATCTAATTCCATCTTAATAGAAATCTTTTTATGCTCCTTCAGTATCTAAAGCAGATTTTGATACTTTCTTGATTGAAAAATCACCACTATTTAAACCATGATTAACTTTACTAATTTAACATAAAACACAATTATATGGTAATGCAGTGCAAATAAATTAATGATCAAGAGAGTATAATTATTAAAATTCAGGTATGCTAAATAATACTTAGACAACTGAATTCATATAACATGTATTTCCAATATTATCAATTCCTGTAAATTCAGGTCCAAAAATAGGATCTAATATTTAACCTTCTTCTATTAATTTACTCAATTACAATGTTAAATTAGCATCCAATGTTAATTCAGCTATTGTTTTTTCAGTTTTCACTTATTTTTCTATTTCAATTCCATAATTAGCCAAATGTTCTTTAAGAAAATTATCTATAACTTCATCATCACATTTGTAACAATATACATCACCTTTACCATCAGATGTAATAGTTCCTAATTTAACTACTAAATGATGTTAATAGTCTTTAGAATGATCAACTGCATGATTATTTCCTCCTGATCCATCATACATCTTTCTACCACAACCAACATGTCCACAATATAAACATAACCACAAATTAGATGATAAATGACAACTTCTACATTTTTATAAATTCTTTTCAACTAATGGTATCTATTCCATTGTTAAAGTATGTTCACATGGTTAAGCTGTATGTTCCCATTAGGCTATTGCTTATCTTTAAAATGCAGAATTGGCTTATTTAATTGATTAGACCAATCCATCCAATTCTGGAGAACTTAATATTTTCTAACATTTCAAACATATCACACTTGTTTCACTTTACAATTATGGAATATCTGCTATTACTAATTTATTTATATCTTCCACTTTCTATTATGGTTATTCAATTTCATATAATCTAATATTTAAAACAATGAAATGATTATGTTAATCACTATGTTGAGGACTATGCATTTCAATACAACCTCCATTAAAACATTTCAAACAAACTTAAATACCATTTTCACTTTTAGCTTCTACAAAACATCTAGTACATTGATCTTTATATATCATTTAACCCTATACTGACCAAGTGATGTGTTATTCATTAATATGTTCACATATACTAGTCATTTCTATTTAAATTAAATAATTAATTTCTCATTGGGATTACTTTATTAAACTTTATTTGAACTTAAAATAAATATAAATAAATTGAATGAATAATTTTAAATTTGATTTTAATGTCTTTCGAAAGAATGAGACAGAGTTTCAAATCCTTCTTAGGTTTAAATGCTAGTCCATAAATTGATTAATCATCTTAAGTATCCATTCCTCAAGAACTTAAATCTTCAAACTCATAATGCATCATCAAAAACAAATTTGTTCAAATTGAAAAAAAACAAGAACGTCTTAATCCTTATAAGAAATCTCTTATACGTTTAAATGAATATTACAAAACTATTGTCAAAGGAACTGATTTCTCTAAATGTCCAACCATCCAATATTAAATTAATGAAGATGAAGTAATTTTGCATTCTATTAACTTTTCAAGAAACCTGCAATTGATCATAAAACATGTAACCCAAGATGGAAGAGGGAAGATTAATCTTAAGATTGCTCATCATATAGATGGAGTTCATATAATGAATTCCCTAATCCAACTATATATAAAATTTAATCTAAACCAACTAAAAATTAAGTTTATGATCCCTCAATACTCTCCTAATCAAGAGAAAAATAGGCATCAATCAACTTTTAAAAGAAATAATTTCTATCTTATTTAGAAGATAAACCTATTAGTGTAATTAATGAGATTCATCCAATTGAAGACAAAAAGAAAAAGTCATCATAAATTTCAATTAGAAGAGCTGAGAGTTTCCTCTTTGATGATCAAGAAGAACCTATATATGAAAAAGGAAGATAGGCTGTTTAAAAATCAGATAACACAATTAAACCAAATGAGGAAGATAATCAAAGTGCATCTGAAAATATTGTAATAAAGAAATAACCATTATCAAAATTTTGTTAAATAAAAAAATAAGAATTTGAATTTAATCCAAAAATTGAAACACCTAATTCTTCAATCCTAAATAAAGAAGAATAATAAAAACCATTAATTCAATAATAATAAAATATAATTAAAATTCCAGATGAATAAATATAATAATAATAAGAACCTATTTAATAAAAATAATAAGAACCACCTATAGAAGTTAAATAAGAACCTATCATTCAATAAAAAACAGAACCATTACCATAATCATTACCATTAACATAATAATCTGTCATAGAAGTTAATCCCTTTACTTCTAATATAGAAAGTCCTCTATTTAGTGCACCTTGGATAACTAATTAATAACCCATTATATCTTAAAATTAATCAACATTTAATCTATTTCAATCATAACCAATATAAAATTAATTTCAAACTCCTTTTATTACATAATAACCATAATAATAACCTGTTTTCCCATTTTAAAATTAAACACAACCATAATAAAGTGTATTTACTAATGAAAACTTTTTCTCTTAATAAATTTAACCATCCTCAAATCAATTTATGAATAATTAAATTAGTTAGAATGTCTTTAATTAAAACAATTCATTCTAAACTTAATCACCATTTACATAAAATCAACCCTTTTAATAAAGTTAATCATATTCTAATGATTTATTTGGATTGAATCAATCAAAAACTATTAATAATAATAATAATAATTTCTTATTTTAAACTAATTCTTTGGGAGGAGGATCATTTTCAGCTGATGATTAAAATAAACCACGTACCATTGATTTATTTTCAGCATAACCAGCTCAAAATTCATAAACATCTATGATGACAAGTCAGGCTCCAGCTAATTTATTTGCTTTAGATCAAAATAGTCAAGCATAACCACAAACTAATAAAGAATCTGATAGATATAAAAACAAATTTAAATAAAATACTGTTAAATATAATACTGCTGCATAAAGAATGGAATGAATAATTAAATATTTTTCATATAGGATAAAATAATTGCTTTGAGAACATAAAAATACTCAGAGTAGACTATATAAGTAATTACTAAATGAATTTAATTTAATTTCATTTTTTTTTCTGAATCCACAAAATTTCCATCATCTTATATATTATTTCCCCATCCATTAAATATACATCTCAAATAACCTTTTCTTTAAATATCCTTATTTTAATCATTTTATTAATCTTAAAATATTAAAAAAAGACAATTAAAAAATATATATTAATTAATCTCATAATTCTTTCAATACTTTATTGATATATATATATATATATAATTAAGAGGTATTTAAAAAAATTATTAAATTTTTCATCTGCAGACATTTATTATTTACTTTTATTAACCTATAATTTAAATTTTTAATAGCATTTTGATAATCTTCCATTTATATTTATTTACATATATATCAATCAATTTCATCAAGTTGAGTTGACTGTCCAAAATTACCAATTGTATTAATTTCCACTTATTCACTTCCATGTTCACTAGCTCCATCAACACTCTTCTAATCACCCTCTATACTTCTATGTTCACTATGTCCATCTGCAATTCTTGAGGCATTTTCAGATTGATTATCTGATTACTTATCTGAGTGTTTTTCTGATTAGTGTTCTGAATGCTGAGCAGATTATTGAGCAGATGATCTAATATCACTAGTATTTGATTAAGTATTATAAGTTGATAAATGTGAAGGTTCTTCATTATCTGAAGCATTATCTACTTATTATAATTATTCTTATTATTATTCTTATTATTATTATTCTTGTAATTATTATTCTTGTAATTATTATTATTCCTCCCTATATTTACGAATCATATCTTTAAAATTCTAATGTTATCTCATATGTTCTTCTTCTTATTCTTTTTTATACTTTTATCTCTCTTCTCTCTCCATATCTAATCCTCCTTTTGAAAAAGCTTCTGCAAATCCTTAATGTTTTATATATAAAATATTTTACTTCTTTCATCATCAAACACAGGTCTGTCGTCTAAATACTTTAAGGTCTTAATTCTACTGATGAGAGTTTTTCGATAATGTTATATTTACCTTCCAGCAGAATTGTTCTAGAAATACAACACTGATAATTATGGCATTTTTAAAAATATTTCATCTAAAACATTGGGGTCATCTATTTTATTATCTGATACATCCAACACTGACAAATTTGGTAAGCAAAGTAATCCTTCCAAATCACTTAGTCCATTCATTCCTATTCTATTTCTTTTTATTTGAAGAGTCTATAATTTTTAACATTATTCTAACCTATAAATATGTAAATTTACTATTTATACCCTTCAATCTTGGTTATCATATTGTCACTTAGATTTAAATTAATTAGCTCTGTTAACATGTGCAAGTTTTCAATTTTTCTAATAATGTTTTCTTATAAATATAAACATTTCAAAGAAGTCAAACAATCAAGTCCTATTAGGATACATATATCAACATACCTTCAATATTGTTTAGACCATTTCCCTCTAAATAAATAACTTTTAATCCTGTAAACTCTTCAAGATTCTCAATCTTATCAAAACCTTTGTAATGCAGATAGAGACAATCATTGAGCTCAGGAGTTGTGTAATAAAGCTTAAATTCTTTTCTTAAAAGCTTTTTCAAGTACTCTTTGGTAATTCTTCTCTCCTCCTGTTACATTATTTAATAATAATAATATTTATAAGGTTATTGTGAGAGGCTTTAACAAAATTAAGAGAGGCTAAGATGACAAATTCTTATTATGAAAATTTAGTTGATTATTAATCATATTACTTCATATTTATAGATCAGGCATTTAATTTTGAAATATAAGAAATTAAATTATTTTCATATAAATGGGCGACAAGAAAATCAAAATAGATGAATACAAAGAGATTCGTTTAGGTGGATTTCAAGCAAGATCGCATAATTGGTGGGAAGAGGCCAATCCTGAAGAATCAGAAGAAGAAGAACAATAGGGTCAAGAATGGAGGTATTTAGAACATCATGGAGTTTTGTTTCCCCCATTTTATAAGAGACATAATGTAGGTCTAATTTATAATGGCAAATTGATAACATTAACAGAGGAATAAGAAGAACTTTGTACTTATTGGGCATAATCGATTGGATCTCCATATGAGTTTAAGGAAATTTATAGGAAGAATTTTGAATCACTTATGCAAACAAAATTTGAAGGGTTTTAATTGGATAATGCTGATTTCACTAAGATAAAGGAATATTTGGAATAGCAAAGATTATTGAGATTAAATAAATCAGATGAATAAAAAAAATAAGAGAAATTAGAAAGAGATTAAAGAGAATTATTTTATGGATATGCTTTAGTTGATGGTTGTTTGGAAAGAGTAGGTAATTACACATTGGAATAACCTACTTTATTCAAGGGACGTGGTGAACATCCAAAAGCTGGATTATTGAAAGCTAGAATATTTCCAGAAGAATTAACAGTAAATCTAAGTACTTAGGCTCCAGTACCTTAATGCAAATTGCCTGGTCATTCTTGGGGTAAGATTGTGCATAGAAATGATGTTACTTGGTTATTTTCTTATGTGGATTCAAGTATCAGGAAAGACAATCATAAATATGTTTAATTTGCTGCCACTTCTAGATTTAAATAGATGAATGATAAAAGGAAATATGAAAAAGCAAGGAGATTGAAGAATTGTATTGATTAAATTAGAGAAAATTATACAAAGAAATTATAATCTGATTCAATTAAAGAAAGATAATTAGGAACAGCAACTTATTTGATAGATAAATTGGCATTAAGAGTAGGAAATGAGAAAGATGAAGATGAAGCAGATACAGTTGGTTGTTGCAGTCTAAGAGTAGAACATATCAAATTGAAGGAAGATGATGTAGTTGCCTTTGATTTTTTGGGTAAGGATTCTATGAGATATAATAATGAAGTTAAATTAGCACATTAGATTTGGAAAAATCTTAAATTATTTATTAAAGGAAAATAACCAGAAGATAATTTATTTAGTGATATAAGTGTTGATGATTTGAATGATTTCTTAAAAAAATAAATGGAAGGATTGACAGCAAAGGTTTTTAGAACTTATAATGCAAGTTTTACACTTCAATAATAACTTGATTTAGGTGGTACTTTAGATGGTCATTCAATTTAATAAAAAGTAATATTTAATTATATATTTAGGTTGATTTCTATGATAATGCTAATAAATAGGTTGCTATCTTATGTAATCATCAAAAAACTATTTCAAAATAATTCGAATTAACTAAGAAGAAAATCAATACTAAATTAGAATGCATGAAAACATATATACAAGAATTGGAATAACATTATAAGAAGAAAAATCCAAATGAATATGAAGAGGAAATTTAATTAGAGGAGGGATCTTAGAAGAAGAATAGTATCTTTATTAAGAAGTTCCCAGGGTAACATGATAAGATCAAATAGATGATATAGAAGACTTAGGAAAAATATTAGAAGGAGTTGAAAGGTTTAGAAAAGAAAGAAGAAAATAAGGAGATTGCTTTAGGAACATCTAAAACAAATTATAATGATCCTAGAATAAGTGTGGCATTTTGTAAAGTACATGATGTTCCAATAGAAAGAGTGTTTTCAAAGACTTTAAGAAATAAATTCATTTGGGCTATGGCTACAGATTCTAATTGGAAATTTTGATTATGATTAATTGTCCATTATTATGCATAGTTTATAATTAAAATAATAATACTCAAATTTATGAATACTAATATTAATTAAGACTTTTAAAAGTTTCAGATTGTAAATCAATAAGAGAAAATAGATAATAAATCATTTAGATGTTTCACTATCAATTTTGATTCATCAATATTAGTTGGATGTACTTGGACAATCATTTATATTTATAAAATCCAAAATAATGGTCAGATTATAATGACTTAAATGATTTCAGATTAAGAATTACTTATAAATCAAGTGAAATTTATGAATTCAGGCAAAACATTCATTACTATGGGATATGGTATAAGTTTTTGGTCACTTAATGAAAATAGCCTTTGGGAAAGATAAAATATGATTTGTTTGGAATAAATAATTTAATTCCTAATATTTACAAAAGATGAAACAAAAATGATATTTTCATAGGAAGGATCCTTGCATTTTTGGAAAAAAAGAAAGTCTAATAACTTATGGAAAACTCATTTCTATTTTGGTTTAAAAAAAAAGACTACGAGTTTAAGTTTAAGTAAGTCAGAGAAAGAATTATTAATTGGAATGTAGGGTTTAATACTTATAGCAAGAAGTTATAATGGTTATAAATGGCATATTTCATATAAGATAAGAACAAAATATTCTACTCTATGGACAATGGTGAGTTTTTTAGATTAAGATATGTTTGTAACTTAAGCTAACAATTGTGAAAATTTAAAACTATATCAATGGAATAGGTGGTATAAAAAATTGATAAGAGTTATTAATTTAAATTTAGGAATGAATACTGACTTGTGTCGTGAAAATTCAATAAGATTTGAGTAGGAAAGTTAATTATTGTTTCATAAATTTAATAAAACTTTACGAATATTTAAATTAAATAATAGGGAATTAGATTTATAGTAATCAATAATATAGACGAATTGTGAATATAGTTTTTATAATTCTAGAGATTGTAAGTTTTTAATTGTAAGAAATTGGAGGGGGAAAGGTTTTACTACATGGTATAGATGAAAATATAGGGTAGTTCTAGCTTAGTGAGTTTGATGTTTTTAGAATGAATATTATGTTTAATATTAGATATATATATAGGAATAAATAAAAATAAATGATAAATTTATCTGACAGAGAAAAAGAGTTGATTGAAGAAATATGTGCAAAAAATGCTAAGTCAAATAAAAAGAGTAATTAAATAGAATAGGGAAATCAAAAATTAGTCAGCCAATCAAGTACTAAAATTTTAGTGTCTCGATTGGAACGTAAATTGAATGAAGTATTTCATATTGCAAATATAGACATTAAAAGAAGTCGATGAATAAAATAGTGGTCAAATTAATTTCTAACAATTAGGACGATTATTTACATTGTTAGACATATTCCAAGCTATCTCGTACAATCAAGATTATCAGTTAGAGGCACAAGGTCTCAATAATCCTATGCAAAAGTAACACCAAATCTTTAAGGTAGACAATAAGAAGTAGATTTACATGAGAAAGCATTTGCAATTATTTCTAACGATGAAGAAAAGGCTGATATATAAGCAGCCTTTTGTCTTTTTAGAATCATCTTGGATCCCAATTAATTAGAACCATCTAAATGTGCTATTTTAATTAAAGAGTATTTAGAGAAGATTTCTGAGAAAGAAATTGATTATGAAGCAATCTTTAAATTTTGCTCTGAATTTTAAGTATATCAAAAAACTAGATTATCTGGTGCTAAAATAGGATATTTAAAAGCATCTTTAGCATAAAATCTAATTGAAACTTATGAAAAGACTTTGACTTTCAAACCAACAATCAATCCTATTAGTGAAGCTTTGTAATAATAATCAGGTAAAAAGGAAAATTAAGAATCATCATCATAAATTTCATAAGGTCTTGCTGAAAGTAGAATTAATGAATTATATAAAAAAAAAGAATTATCCAATCAAAAGATAGAATTTTTAAAATAAGAAAAATTTATGAAAGATATGTAGGAATGTACATTTAAACCATAAATTATTTCAAAAAAAGAATTACCAAATGTGATCGATAGGTTATATTAAGTGAAGAATAGATAGGAAATAGAAGAAAGAGCTAAATTGGCTGAACAAGAGAAAGAAGAATCAGAATATAGTAAATGTTCTTTCCATCCTCAAATTAATTACTCTATGCCTGAATCGCAATCAACTGGAGTAGGGGGATATTGGGAAGCAATAGAAAGAATTAGAAGAGCTAATGATAAAAGACATTTATAAGATCTCAAATTGAATCATAAACCTAGTGGAGAGAACTATGAAAAAGTTAAGAATCAACCATTCTCACCTCCAGAAATGTTATAGAGAAGATAATTTAAAAAATAATTACCAATCCTTTATATTGATATAAAATTGGGACCTAGAAAGGTTGGACGATTAGCATTGAGAAGAAATGATAATGTTGAGGAAGTAGTTTAATCATTCTGTAAAGTTTGGGGAGTTGGTCCATAAGATTATGAATTATTGGTCAATCAAGTTAAGGAAAATCTTCAGAAGTAAATATTTATTAAATTATTATAGTGTCATACAAGAAACAGATGAGTCCCAAATTTGATTATGAATATGAATACTTATTTAAATGAAATATATCAGATTGAATTTTTCATAATATTGCATTTTATTTCGATTGTAATTATGGACCCCATAAACCAAAATAATAAGCTGTATTTGGTTGGTTCCTAACTTAATCAGCTTAAGGTTAGTTTTAAGGTACTTGATCATTATTTTAAATAGGTGTTTATTAATTATTATTTTATTCTAATTAAGTATTTGATAAATTCTGATTTAATTATATGGAAGGAACTTCATTCTAATTTATTTGTTATGGTGATTAATTTTCATATGTTTATGATGATTACTATTATTATTATTATTGATTTGGCTAGACAGAAAGACTGATTGCCTAGTTCTATGAAGGATTTTATTGAAAATATGGATTGGTTTGTTAATTAATATACTACTATGGTTATTAAATTCCAGGTTGAGTGTAATTTGTTTAAGGTTATTGTTAATACCCCATATTATAATTAACAGGAATACCCATTTAAGGTACATTTTAGAAATTCTACTGTGGATTCTGTTAAAATTATTGTTAACCTTAAGGATTCTACTAATATTATTGATAACCTTAAGTAGGCTATTAATACTGTTGATTCATAGGTGGCTATTAATATTGTTATTGTGGCATCCTATAAATGGGTGCCCCTATTGGAGAAACTTAATTTCGATTTTACGGAATGCCCCAAGTTGTATTTCCATAAGATTATTACAACAACTGAGGTTATTGTACATAGATAACACTTGGATCATTAGGATCAACAAAGGCCTAACTTTATGTTCTTGCAAAGTTTTCCATCATACGAGCATCAGGAACTCGTTATCCAGAACCACGTGATCTTCTAATTTATGTTAATACAGAAAATAGTATCCTTAGAAATCTATCACACCCTAGTATGTTAAATGATTCCTACCTCCTGCTTTGAACCATAATTTAAAATGAGTTCTTCCTGGTAATAGATTATATAATGGATCAACATCCCCCTCTAAATAATTACTTCCTAATATTGGTTGCCGAAATCTCTCAGCACTCAAATAAGCCAAGGGAATATCAAAAGACTTAAAAGATTCCCTTTAAAAATTGTCATTTACAAAAACAATTCTGCATGTTGTGACAAATACCTAAATTTTAACAATTACTTACTTTTCCTTTTGCTTTAAATTTGCCCATAGTTTCAATTTTAAATTATCCTTCCATTTCATTTCTAAACAATATAAAAAACTCTTGGTCCACTCTTAATGGAACCCCAGTTTAAGTGATTGGTGGATTTAAAGCCATATTATTCAATTATTATTATATATGTATATTTTTTTCAATAAATTATTTTTACACTAAAAAATAATAATAATTAATTAATTTAAATAAAATATATTAGAATTTTTACTAATAATTTCTAAATATATTAATATATTAATTGATAGACATTAGACCATTATATTGTTTTATATGTAATATAATATATTTATTATTGTATTAAGCATCAACGATTAGTTTTTGCTACTTTTTCAAGTTCATCTCTCTTTTTAATGGTGTATGATTTTTATCCATCTTCATTGGCTGCTGCAATAAGCTCATCAGCAAGAGCTTCTGCAATAGTCTTCATTTTCTTGAAAACTGATTCTCTTACACCTTTTGCTAAATTGTGGACTGCCTAAATGAAGTATATTTTGACATAATTACTTCATTGACTCTTCTAATTGGAGCAACATCAACAGCTTATTATTTAGCAACACCACCTGTGCCAACCTTTGTAAAGTCTTCTCTGGCTCCACCTCTTTGTACAGCCAAAGACAAGACTTAAAGTGGATTTTTACCAGTCAACAAATGTACAATCTCAAATGCATGTCTGATGATGGCAACAGCCTTTACTTTTTTACCTGTATTACGTCCATGGAACATGAGTGCACCAGCCAATCTTTCTACAATAGGACATTATGCTTTTCTAAACTTCTTTCGTTGATATCTATTTTAGAATGAAAGTGATACCTTCCAGCAGTATGAGGAACAAAAACTCTAGATTTTGAAGTTTAGACTGCAATATAATCTTTGAAACATTAATCTGTCACTTGAACTTCATCATAATCCCATTTGCCAAATAGTTTAGGTTGATTAGCAAATTTCACAGTCACTACTTATTCTTCTGCCATTTTTAAAATAAGGATTTATTTTTAATTTAAAATTCCTAATACTACAGAGATTCTATGACATTGAAGATAAAATATATATAAATATAATTAAATAATACTGTCAAGCAGGTAATTGAGCCAATTACTTAAGTCTATCTTATAAATTTTTGACTGATTTCTACAATTCATCAATTTCTAGATTTTATTTTTTATCAATATCATTATTATCTCTTATAGAATCCTATATAGAAGCAGCTGTCTTTTATGATTCTTCTAATCTAGTTTAAATTGTTTTGATTTCATTGTTAATTTTAAGATTTGAATCCTCTAAATCACCTTCTAATTTTGAATTTTTTTAATCAATTAATTTAAGTTCTTCTTATAATTATTAAAAATTAGAATTGATTGCATCTACTCTTTCTCCAATAGTTAAAGTTTTATCATTTACTTATTCAACATTTTAGGTTATTATTTAAAAAGTATTATGAATTTTTTTCTATTCTGCATTTAATAATTCAATATTTTTATCTATATCTTATTATTTAATCATAATAGTTTCATTCTCTTTTTTAAGTATTTCAATATCTGTTTGATTTTCATCTAATAAACTTTTATGTTAAACCTATATATCATTTATTTCTTTGATATTAGTATTAATTTATTGAATATCTTATTTAATATTTTCAACTACTTAATTTACTTCCTTAATTTGATTCTAATGGTCTTCTTTTATCAATTATTATTATTATCTATATTGAATGGAACATATAAATACTTCAACTCTTAAATACTTTCTGCCATTAATTTTAATCCTTTCATTTGAGTCTATTAATAAGACTCATTTTAATCAAGAATAAGTTTTGTTTTTTCTACTACTACTTATTGATTTTCTTCAATTACTTCTCTAAATATCCTAAATTTATTTGAACAATCTTCATCTAATTTATTAACTTTATCCTCTAAAAATTAGACAGTAGCATTTACAGCTTCTAAAATTTAATTTTTTTCAATTGATATTCTTTCCAATAAATGTGTTTATTAATCTTCTATCACAGTTTAAAAGTCTTATCTAATCATATCAATATTCTATTCAATAATAGTCTACCGAGAATTAAGATCTTATTTCAAACCTTCATAGGCTGTTATATGTTATTTAAAGGATTCACCAAATTTTGAAAATATCACCTTAACTTTTTCATACTTCTAAGCAGATGTCTTAATTGCCTATAAATATAATTAAATTAAATTTTTACTTTATTTATTTCATCATCAATATACAATGATAATCTTTCTGCTTTTTCTGCTTAATCTTTCTCTAATTATTTAACTTAAGTTTATAATGCTCTATTAGCCATTTCAATCTAATCTTTTAAACTATTTAAATCCGAAACAATATCACTTGCAATGGCAGATGTTAGATTCTTCAATTCAGTATCAGTTGATAATCTTGTTTAAACTTCAATTCTTATCATATCTGTAATCTTTTCTGTAATATTAGCTTGATGGGTTTTGAATAATTCATTCTCTTATTTAATATTCTCTTATATTTTTAATAAATCGCCTCTTAATTAAACCTCATGTGAATATCTTTAGGCTTCTTCATTTTATATATTTACTAGTATTTAATTCACTTATGTCTCAATAATAGTTTATAAAGAACGAATGGCTTCATCCTTCTTTTATGAATCAATTCTTTAAAATTATTCTAATGATCCTAATTTTTAAATCACTTCTTCCCTTTCATATTATAATCTCTCCATATTAATCTAATCCTTTAAACTCCATGCTTATTTCATTTCTTCTATAGTTTTAACTCTCTATTCATGTTCCATAACAATTCTATTAATAACTTCAGTTACTCTAGTATCTAATCTTTAAGTATAATCTTATTAAATTAATTATAACATTCCCTTAAATTCTTCTTAGATTCTCTAATTAGCCATATCAACTCTATTAATCTATTCATGATCTTTTAATTAATCTTTCTAATCCAATAATTATATAATCATACTCCTAATGCTAATAAATTTGCCTCCAAAGCCATCACTCTCTTCTCTATTCTTTCATTTGTTTCATTAATAAAATTCATTCCAGAATCACCTCTCTATGCTACTTAAATCAAAGCTTTCTCCCCATTATATATCTTGCTTTCCATCCCATTAATTCTTTACTCAAAATGTTGATGTGAAGTAGAAAGTGATTCCTACAACTTTTCTTACAATTCTCCCAATCTCACCATTTCCATAAATAAAGCTTTGGTCTTCTCTCTTTCCTTTTACAGATGTGAACTTTCTTCTGTTATTTTTTCTTGTAACATTCCTCGCATCTACAATACCTCATTAGTATCTTTATTTTAAGTGTTCTTCAAAAAGTACAACAATTCCTTAAGATTTTATTCTTAGATAGCCACTTTAGAACCCAATTCACTCTTTTACCTATCTTATGCAATTATTTTTGTTTCCAGCGAATACATCTTATTCTACAAATCTTCAAACATTTAGTTTGGCTATTACCATTATATAATTAATACATCTCCCATTTATCCTCTTGTCCTTACTTCTCTTTCCAGGTCAACTAACATTTTAGAATTCCGCTTAACTTCCTGTGTAAGTTACTTTTCCAACATTTACACTTAATCCTATAATTAAGCAATCCTATCCATTTAAAACTAACTTTATTCCTAATTCTCAACAGGCACTGAAGTATTTGCAAAGTTTCTCCTTGATTCAGCTGTTCTTGTAGGTTCATTCTTGACTTCTTAAGACCGACGATAATCTGGTGCTTAGAATCTAGATTCTCCTGTAATTGGATTTATGGCTTAACGACCTGCCTTTATATTAGATATCATAATCTTACTTAACTTAAACTCATTTAGAATATTTTGTATATATAATGATAATTAATATAATTTTTTAGATAACTAATTAAAGCTCTTCATAGTTATTAATTTCAAATGTAATATTATCTATTTTTTAATAGCTATATTAATATATTGAATGATTATAATAAATTCATTAAATTCAAGCATCTTCATCATCTAAATCATGTCCATATTATCCATCATCATCAGCAAATCCTTCATCTATATCCTCTTTAATTTATTCATCATCATCATCATCATTCTTCTTCTATTTTGAATCAGGTTTCTTTTGTTCCATTTTCTATATTACTTACTTTTTATTTTTTTTCAATGCATCCTTAAAATTATCTGGTAAATCAGTTTTACATCTTCCATACTCATACTCTACTTCTACTTATTCATTTGTTTCTAATAATATCAAAACTCCCTTCCCATGAAAAGTATCCTCTCTGAAATTTCCTACATATTAAACCTTCTAATTACTATAAGTATACTTTCCTTCCAATGAAGCTAATTTTTTATATATATATATTATATACATCTTTATCCATTTTAAAATAATCCCCTATATTCACTTCCATCCTCATAAAGCAATACTCCATCTTTTGCTTTATTATTTTCAAATTCTCCTTCAAATGTTAATTCTCCAAAATATAACTTTCCTGATACTCTTTTGAAATCCTCAATAATGCCATCATAAAAATGATTAGGACCATAAGAAAAAATCCCTTCTCTTGGACTATTTTTGGCAAATTAGCCATCAAAGTAGGATTTATTTCTATAGAATTCTCTACCTTCTATTTTTTCACCTAATTTTAGATCTCCTTCAAAATTAATAACTTATCTCTTTCTTGGTAAATTTTTTTGATAAGTCAATACATAGATGATTTCACCTTTGCCATTAGGAATATATTTCTATTGATCAAATTCTCCAATATAAATATATTTATTCAATTCAACAATAATTTTTGAATGATTTTCAAATAAATTCAATAGAATATATGATACAGCTTTTTATGTCTTCATTTCAATTGTCCCATCCTTACTTAACTCACCATTTTCAAATATTCCATAATACCATTAATCTTCAAATTTCCCATATCCATATCCATGAGGTATAATCTTATTATCCTCATCTAACTTACCAAATCCAACATATTATTAATCAACATCAATAGCTTATTAAAAGAATGGATATTCAACTTTTAATGGATTATCTGGATAGCAAATCAATAATTAGAATATAGATCTCTTTTACTGATCCAAAGATAATATTTAAGATAAAATTGGTAATATCATTTTATAATCTCCTTCAAATGGCTTTTCAATTTTAGATAAAGAATTAATCTATTTTTTTAATTAATCTTTGAATTTATCGAATTTCAATTAATCTTCTTTAGATCTGTCAGTTTTTTGATTTTCTCTAAGTACTTTGAGTACTGATTGTAATATATTATCTTTGAGTTATCCATCCTCAAAAAAAAAATCAGCAGAATTAATCTTAGTAATAGCACATAAGACAACCAAACCAGCTTAAAAGGAATAAGTATAAATTAAATTTGCAAGGGATTTATCCTTATAAAAGTTGTCTGTACTAGGTGTGTAAGGTCTATGAAATTTAGATCCTTTGTATGAAATACCCATATTTGAAATAACAAAATTTTTACCATCTACAAATATATTTTATGGGGCAAGATCTAAAAATTCAAAAGTTGAGCGACCTATTAATATAATGATAATATTATACCTGTAATAAGTAGATTCTTACAAAATGTAATAAGTAATTCTAATGCTTATTCTTAATTTAATTATTCTTCTTGATCTAATCTCTTTTTCAATGCATTTAATCTGTATAAAACATATAAATCAGATTATTTATCATTTATCTCTTTTTCTGCTATCATTACTATTCTAGTGTTATATTCATTAACACATTCCAACATTGCTTTTTATAATTACAAGACTTTGGTTCTGAATATATCATAACCTAAATTTTCATAAATCTAGAGTATATATTTCTATCCATCCTTTGCATGAGACATAAGATAACAAATTGATGAAATTCCCAAGTAAAAATCTCGTCCTTTTCCTATTACACTTTCTTAAGTGTAATTCTTATTTATGTAACTGGCATCAACTACAATTGAATTGTATTATTATAACATTAAATTAAAAATAATATCAATCACTAAACAAGATAATATCAAAATCATATTAACAATCTAAGATTAACATAATAAGGAATATGATATATTCATATTAATTTAGAACAAAAATTAAATCAAGATTTATTGACTAATTCAGGATGCTTGAGTTTTATATGTTAGTTTAATGAACCTTCACTTCTAAATATAATATTATTATTATTACCCATATTTCTTACCACATCTTGATAATGGACATTCAAAATTGCGTTAAATTTCACTGGCTAGACTTCTCAATCTTTTTTTCCTTTCTTCAAATGACTAGTTATTTCCATCTTTCTAATTATAGTATGTTATATTTTTACTTCTAATTGTTCAAGTTTTTAAAGTATTTCAGTTTTCTCTTTAAGAAGTTCCTTAATCTAAATAAATTCTAAGTATATGTCTTTACTTTTTTTCTTAAATTGATATTGCAAAGATATTACTAGATATATTCACCTTAATAGTAGTCACCCATCAATTTAAATTTAATTCTTTTTAATATTAATCATATTTTGCAAATCATAAAATATATAAGATCAAAGCAATATGTTTTTTTACACATTCTATTTCCATTTTCCTATAAGCAATTAACATAATTATTTGCTTATAGGAATATTAATTCAAATTCAATCACATCATTTCTAACTTATACTTATTAAAATACTAGAATTGAGATTTTAATCTATATAAATATGTTAAATATGAACCTTGTAACATCTTCTTATTTACTTTTTTAATTCTCTAAAATTATAAACAAATTCTATTCATTTTTAATGTATTAAATTTTGTATATAATTCTTCTAATGGCAATTCATTTATTTTATAAACATAAACACTCTCTTGAATTTTAAGTGAATAGTAATATATAAAAGTAACTATCTTGTGATAGGTTTAATTTTCAATTTATTTGATCATACTCTAAAGTATAGATGATTGATTATGCAAATCATATTATAATTAATTATTTAATACTTTTTAATTTATTTGTTATGGCATCAAAGTACTTATAAAAATATCCAGTTCCTGAAAATTTTCACTAAATTTTGCATGATTTTACAAGAGAAGTATTTAAATAACTAAATATATTTTCACAGGTTTTAAGGGATTAACCAGATGATATTATAAAATATGGTATGGAATATTTTGAATCTATGAGAGATGGAAAACCATTTAACTTTTAAAGCAAATACAATATAGCTAAAGGATAGGCAATAGAAAAGAAATATTAAACAACTAAACCTAAAGATTACATAGAATAAAGCAAAAAAGTTGTTGATATATCCAATTTAAAATAAGATGTTGAAAGAAAATCCTCAGCACCTGCTGTCTCATCTGTGAGATAACTTTCAGCAGGTTCTTAAGCTAGCTTTCCAGAAGAGAAGAAAGCTGCTGTAGATTATGTTAATGAACTATATTAAAAAGTTGAACATGATATCGATTAATTTGAATCTGGTAAAAGTGAAACTTAAAATGCTTTTTTCTAACCTCAATTTGTAATTATAATAAAATTATAATTAGGATGGTAAAGACTTAGAAAAAATAATAAAAATATAAGCTAGTGCCAAAGGAATGTTAGTTAGAAACTAATTAAAATAATAACAATAAGAAGGTAATATGATATAAGAGGAAGAAGAAGAAGTTTATGTATAAGTGGCATAAAAGCCACATGAGGATGGTGAAGATTAAGATAACCTATAAGATGAATAAATTGAATGAATAAGTAAAACGAAATATATAAAATTTTGTTTTGATTTAATATAATTTTCATTTAATATTTTAATTAATTCATTTTTCATTATTTCTTATTATTAGTATAGTGTAAGTAAATTGATAAAAAAGAAAGAGAAAACCTATTGAGTAATACTCTTGAATTCATATATACTTAAATGATTAAATATCCAAAAAAAATTAATTTTTAGATTAATGTTATACATTTTATATTTGTAGATGTCCTAAAATAATAATTTAATTGAGATTGATCTTTTTAACATTAGAGTTTAAATATCTATTTAATTAAATTCTATCATAAATAATTAATTATTTACATATTTATTAAATTAGAATATAAGGAATAAGAAAGTTATCTATCTTCTTAATTAATTTAAATAAACTTATATAGAATAACAATATGATTTGGCTTCAATATCTTATCATTATCTTAGACTATATAATTATATAAATTTGTTGATTAATTAAAATATTAGATTATGAGTTTCAAGTACAAAATTTCATTTTTAAATAGAATAATTATTTGAATAAAAGATGAGAATGTAAATTATGATCAGGTAGTACATGTGTCATGCTATAATTCAACAAGATTAAGTTAATATTGATTATTGTACATATATTAAATTAATTATTTATGTAAATACAAAATAAAATTGGAGAAGGATTGTTCGGTCAAATCCACAAATGCTTAACTGTAGAAGGAGACACTTGTGCTATAAAGATTTATAAAGAAGGATGTCCCAAAAAATTAAGGGAAAAAGAGATAAAGATTCTACAATCAATTAGTCACACAAATATTTAGAAAATTGTGAAGTCAGATTGTGAATACAAATGGTTTATTACAGAACTCATGAATTAAGATCTTTATTCAGTAATCACTAAACGTGGCATTCTCTAATAGATCACTATTAAATAAATTCTATTACAACTATGTAATGGATTGTCTTACTTACATTCTATTGGCTATGTTCATAGAGACATCAAGTTAGAGAATGTAATGGTGAGTAAAGAACCTAATCTAAAAATTATTGACTTTGGTCTATCTGTCTATATTGAGTCTAATAAACTATATCCAAGACATTGTGGAACTCCCACCTATATGGCTCCTGAGTTAAATTTAGAAGACAAACTAATTATGGGAGAAATTCTGAAGAAATCTGATGTGTTTGCACTAGGTGTATTAATTTTCATTCTTTGTTATGGCTGTCCTCCTTTCACCATAGCAAAATCTATTGAATGTAAATTTTGGCAAACCATAGAATAAAAAAAATGGTAAACCTTTTGGAATTACTTTGACAAAAAAATTATTAGATCAGATTAACATTTTAAGGATTTGATCTAAAATATGTTGGATCCTGATCATAAAACAAGATTCAAAATTGAATAAGTCAAGTAACATTAATGGATGAATGATGAAGGAAATTTAAATGAACTATTATGAAAATTTAACTAATTATTGTAAATATTATATAATTACTATTATTATGGATTATATCAATATCATAAATATATAAATTTTGATTTGATAATCCATTAATAGATAAACACTCTATATTAATCGAACATTAAGAGATTAATCAGAATCTATAAAAATTGATAAAATAGTATATTCAATTAACATCTGTTCCATCAAAATGAAGTGTGTGAGTAAGTGCTACTTCTGAATACAATTAAATAATATTTCAAGTATGTTTATAAGATGAATGAATTTTATACAATAAATTATTTTCATTTTAAATAACAAATGATTAATAAATCTAATTCTAAATGTGAAACATCTTCTATGAAACATCAAACTTAAGAAAATTCATAAAAAACAACTATTGTTATAAAAGAATAAAACAATTCATCTAGACAAACTTAAGAGAATAAAAAAATTTAATTTTTAGTTACAAATAAGTAACAAGGTTAGTCTGAATTAGATTTTTAGTAGTTTATGATAGAAAAATTGAATAAATATAGAAAAAATATTAGGAACCTTGATATTCAATATTAAATTAATCATTATGATTATTAAGTGTAAAAATTAGATAAGAAAATGGAAAAATTAGATAATTAAGTGTAAAAATTAGATAATTAGAGTATGCAAGAGTAAGGTGTTCAATTCCCTAAATTATTAACTTTATCGTATTCTAATTTTTCTGAAGAATATAAAGTGCAGGAATAAAAGAATTATGATGAAATACTAGAATTCGATAAACTTATTATGAAACTTAGTTTGGATACAATTGAGATTTATGATTAGAAAGGAGTGTTATAAGAAAGTAAAAAGTCTTTACCATTTTCAGATACACATTAATCAAAAAGTATTAAGTATAATCATATTTTTGGATAAAAGGATTTTAAATTATTATAATCAACTGGAATGTTTGTTACTAGTAATATTGTTGATTCTTATGCTAATTATTTAATGCTTGAGGATGAGAAAGTATACTTTAGTTTGAAAGCTGAAGATCGTAAGAAATATAAAAGAACATACATTTTTTGTTCTGATTACATAACAAATTGTTCAATTAATGTTGGAAACAATAAATACAAATGGTTAACGTTATTTTATGAATAACTTAATAATTTTGAATCAATTTAATATTAATTTTGGCATATTTATCAGAATATCATTTTTGTGGTAAATCATAATTTCCATTGGTTTTGTATTTAATTGGATTTGAAAAAGGATATTATGGAAATTTATGATTCTATTCCTAAAAGTCTAACTGCATATTAATGTTTCTAAGTATTATTTTAAACAATTTTCAGTGAAATAATGAAAATCAAGCCTGAATTTAAAATCAAAATAAATAAAGAATTTTCACAACAAAAGGATAGTTATTCATGTGGTTATTTCTCTTGTATAGCATTGAATTATTTGTATTATAAATAATAATAAATGGAATAATAGATTGAAAAGAAATAAAGATAGAAATTTATTAGTAAAGATGAGATGAAATAAATCTTAAGAAATTTATTGATTGAATAAGATGATGATTGATTATGTTGAATTCTAAATATTAAAATTCTTATAAATTTTACTAAAATGAAAACTCCCTTTTTTATTAGGATATTATGTTATAATTAGAATAAAATAAAATATTTCTTTTAATAATTGATAATTAGATTTATTTCATATTTTTTGCTTAACGTAAATTGAGTTAAATAAATGCAGCCCAAGAGATATAAATAAAACAATTATCATCTCTAAAATTTCTTTGGTAATAATAATAGAAATAAGTTATTGATGAAAGTATGAACTAATGTTATATCCTCATAATGAAATTGTCAAATATATTTATTTAATATTTTTAATCGAATAAAATGAAAAGGACAATTAGATATCATAAATTCTGAATAGAAAATATTAATTAGTTAAATTATAAAGCATGGGATAAAGAAGATAGAAATTATTTATAGTGTAAAAGAATAATCAAAAATAAAAAAACATTTATTTATGTTAAATCAATCATGTTCTTAAAGATAATACTTAAATATTCAGTATAGATAAATACTTATAATCTTACATTTTTGCTTAAAATTGATATCAAAATTAAGAGAAATCAAGATAATTTGCAAATCAGGACCAATACCAGGCTATATTAGATTATAGCATCTAACTCCTATTTTTCTGGAATGTTTAAGCAGAATTTAGTTATATTTAATAAAAGCCCCTTTATCAATTTAAAAATCTAAGATTATAAAAATTGAATAATAAAATGGAATAGATATGTATAGATATCACATAATATGGGAAATATGATATTGATTAAACGAAGATTAAATAGTTTTAATAAATATCAATAGAGTAAATGTTGGAATTTTGATTTAGTAATTGTTATTTTATGGCAAGAGTACTAAGTTGATGAGAAATGGTAAGTTAGATGGAACCTATTATTATAGTAATTGTATGAGATATATTAACAATTCTATTAAGAAATCAGATTTAGTTAATTTTTTAGCTTAGATTCTATTTTCTGAAGATAGATGGAGAATTGCTATGTATATATTTATATAATTGGAGATGAATTATTTTTTGATTATGGAGATAAATTTTTTATTAAATGGTTTAAATGACTTTAATAAATTATGTGACAATTACTACAAAAAATGATTACTTATCAATCAATAAATACACAAAGTAGGCTATTCTAGTCTGCTCCATTTAGTAAAGAGTTATATTTTTCTTGCTTAACCAACTATTTTCTTTAATTCTGGATTCCTTTACAAAGGACCATTCAAATCTGTTAAACCAGTACTCCAAGGGTATGCACCATGAGTAAGCAATAATTTAACTATCTCTTAATGATTTTCTGTAATAGCTATACTTAATGGAGTTCTATTCATCAAATCTAAAGCATCAAAATCTGCATGATAATGCAATAACATTCTTACCATATCTAAATATCCATATTTACATGCCCAATGAAGAGCAGTCATATTATAATAATCATATTAAAACACCAAATAAGGATGAGTTAATAAAAAACTTTACATCTATTCTAATCTATTCTATTTAGATGCAAATATAAATTCCTTAGAAAATTAACTCGAAAATGCTTTCTTACTAAATACTTACTTCTATATCACATCAACTATAGACAATCCTAAAAGTTTAATCTTTTTCAAAGAACGTCTTAAAAGTTCTATTCTTCTTCTATTACGTTTCCTATTACTTTAAGCAAAGAATTTCAAATTAGTTGCATCTATATTAGGAGTAGACTTAGCTGAAATTTCATGTATTCTCAATTTCCTTTTCAAACCACCTTTCACCTCTATTTCCATGTTTTCCCGATTAGGTCTTATCTCTAATTATTATGACTTTAACTCTCGTACTCTACTATACTACACTGATGATTGTCTATCAAATGCTTTTTAGGCTGTCTACGGTTTAGGTTCAATCAGTTTGTAATTTGTATTTGGATTTTATTACATAAATAGTTTTCTATTCTTTTTATTTATCATCAAAGGTGAAGGACTATTTGATGCACAAATCTTATCAACGTTTTTAAAGTCTACAGTATCATATTAAACAATATGTTTAAGAGAGTGATTTCTCAAAAATTCTCTAATCTATTCATCTGATGGTACATTAATCTTTTATTTCTTTAATAATGACACCATTTTATTTGGAGGCAACACAAAAAACTTGTAATCGTAATCTAAATTATTCTACTATTTAATACCTTTTACAGCCAATCTATGTTTCAATTGTGGAAACCAAGGCTTGGCAGTATTTATTGTACACTTATTTGGAGTTGTTTGCTTGTCAATAATTCTCTTATAATAATCTTATTCAAACATTTAATTTTTACTATATAAATGCTCTAATTAAACAATATTATTATAAATCAATTTTAAACTATTCAATATAAAGTAATATATATATAAGATAACATATAAAAATTTTAATTATTCATGTTATTATTATATATATATTTATTTTGTAATTCTCTATGTTATTATGATACTATTTTATATTTAAGTATTTCTAATTATTATAAAATAAATAAATACATAAATTTAGTTTTTTAGAATCAATCCCAAAATACTCTCTTAGAATCATCATACTTAAATAAGAAGAAACAATATAAAAAATTAGTTTATAGAATTGAAATCTAATAATCATTTGCTTAATTGTTAAGTTAAACTTAAATGAATATGTATGAACCACTAGGAAATCCCTATTGTAAATTTAGATATTTATAGTGATATTTTAATTATTTAATTTAACTATCTTTGATCATGAAAAGTTTTGAGAGTTCTATTAAATAACATATTCCATAATAAATTATAAGAGCAGCAGAAAAATTTGAATCACTTTTTGTAAAGGAGACACACCATCATTAATCTTAAATCTTATATTTTAAAATAATGGCCAAAAATCAAAAGAGAATAAAAAAACAATTATAATAGGAACCTAAAATAGGATTATCTGAGTTGGGTCATTTACAATAAACATTAAGAAAATCAGGAACATTTGGAATTGAAAACTCTTAATCAATTATTGTAAATATATTTATATATTATAATTCTTTAGCATTGCATGCAAATATTAAAACCAGAATTTGAGAGATAAATATATATTGATGAACTCACAACTGTAGTTAGTGAACAAATACCTTATGAAAATTATGATTTTATCTATGATTGTTGTGATATTAATTTATGATAATATTCATATATCATAATTATTTAATCTATTATAATGATGGTTCATTTGATCTTAGTATTCCAATAATCATTTTTATATATCTTTTTATGGTTAGAACAATATATGAGTAGAATATATAGTTTTATAAAAGTCATTTATTAAATTAAATAATTAAGTGTGTTTTTAATAAAGCAAATCTTATGAAGTATTTAAATCACATCAAATTGATTAATGATAATGAAATAAACTATTTAGTTTATTAATTATTCTAAATTCTAAATATAATTCATATAGATAAAAAGAATAATTAATAAATTAATAAATAAAGTGTTGATTTTTAATTCTTTTATGTATTTTTAGATTATCATAAAATATAATATTAGTTTTAATGAGAATTAATTTATTTGATTGAGTATTTATAATATTTCATTTTTGTAAATAAATGAAGAAACTTTCTATTTTCTTTTAAAGATTGAAATACAAAAGAAGAATATATTTAATTTAAGGATATTAATAAATATTACAAGAATTCTGATAACGAATTCCTTTTTTTCTAGAAAATATAAATTTTAAATATTTAAATGTTTTTACTTATCACAAAAAAAGAAGGAATAATTTTTTGATGAAAATGAGCTGATTTAAATATGTGTCATTTAAGATGACTTCAAAATAATTGAAAATTATGGATTATTTGATTTTATTCTTAAATATTTATATAAGAAATAAATTATTTTAAGGTTATACATTAAAATTTAGAGTTCTTCTATTTAACTAAATCTATATTCTCTTTAAAAATTGTATTATACCAAAGGGTTAATCATCATCCTAATATTAAATCAGAACAGCCTTAATATCCAATTTGATATATAGCATTTATTTGAATAAGAGAAGATATCAATATAAATATAATATAAAGTACATAAATTTAATAAATTTGCTTGACATCTATATAATAGTAGATAGAATATATTATCGATAATTTATTAGAATAAATATTAGAGTAATAAATGATTATAAATAATTAATATTAATAAATAAATAGAATGCTTTAAATTATATAAATACAAATTACTTTTACCTTTTTGAGGGGGTGAATCGTAATAAGTTGATTATTAAATAAATTTTAATTTTTTTGAGGAAGAAAATAATGAATAAATAATATTCTATTAAAGTTTAGGATTATAAATCAGAATTGATAAAAACTAAATACTCAAATATATAGAGTTAGAAATTCGAAATGAATATTTGAGATAGATAGAAAGAAAAACATTATTCTTATCATACTAATAAAAAAAGAGATAAATAATTATAAATTATTAATAAATAAGTCTTTTATGGAATATATTAAATGATTTAAAGCTATATCAATAAATTTTGAATAATATTATTAAAATTTGATCTATAATACTTATCAATAATCTAATTTTGTATGATATTCTATGCTAGTTAATAATTTATAATATTATATATCAATCTATATTATTGAAATGGTTAAGACGAGCTTTAGAAATTTTCTTATTAAATAAATAGTGATACAAAAGTTGAACCAGAAGAGTAGATGTTTATAATAGACATTAAATAATATTAAGGAATGTGAAAGAAGTATTTTTAGAATAATGTTCTATACTCATTATTAAAAATAAAATTTTTTAGAATGGGAAACAGTATTATTAGAATACTAATTAGATATTTGTGGGATTGATGAAGAAAAAAAGCAAAACTTATAGCCAGAGTCTAAAGTGATAAGTACAAGAACGATAAATTAAATAACCATTTAAATTGTGTAAGCAGATATTGTAGAGGAATTAGTAGATGTAGTAGGTAAATTTAAAAGTAAATTTTAGTGAATTGTTCTCATGAACCAGCCTGGTCATATATATCAAAACGGTAATTAATATAATGATCTATTAGTGATAATAATAATAAAACAAATGAACTCCTTTAATAAAGTATTAATGCAGCTCTATAACAATAGTGAAAATTGGAGAGTTAATAATAACGAATACAGAAAATGTCAATTCAGTCTAAATATTTCATATTAGATTGCCAATTTACTAAGTAATGATTTTATATAAAATAAGGATGCAAAGGACTTATTATAAATATTTAATGCTTATAAAGAATGTCTAAAATAAAAAGGGCATAAAACCATTTCTTTTACTGAATAGAATACTCCAAATTTCCAAATACCTAAATAATTTCATGCAGAAGTATTGATAAGAGCGATTCTTTCGTAAAAAATAGTTAATTATAAAATAGAGCAATATAAGAAGAAGAAGTAGAGTTTGAGTTGATAAAATTTGTAAGTTTAGATTAATTAACTCTAAAATATTTTGCCTATGAATTAATGAAATAATTAGACGAATTAAAAATTCCTGAATTATTTAAACTACGATATCAATAATTTTAGAACTTTTTATGTATGAAATGATAAATATATAAATATTTAGAGAATGGAGAAGATACAAAATAAGAGGTCTATCTTTTGAGTACTGGAATAACTACAGAAATTGAAGGTGTTGTGGAATAGTAATGACTTTTTAGTTAATAATATTTATTATATATATATTTTAATTAATTTTTGAATACTAAATTACATAAACTAAACATAAGAATCATTGTTAAAATTGAACTTTTTAAGTAAATTCTATTTCATATCCAGATAGTACTTTGATTATAGCAATAAATTATTTCCCAGGAGGCAGTTCAATATTGAGTGTTACTCCTCTATGAGGTTTACAAAATCTTAGACCATAAAATTTATGGAAAGATATTTTACTAATTAATTTAACATTTGATTAATTGTCAATAAAATAATAACCCCAACCATCTAATCTATCTAAATTATAACAACTTTATATTTTTGGTTATCCCATAGTATCATAACTTCTTTTAGGTTATTAAACAAGACCTTTCTTTATGAAAACACTTGGGAGCATTTCAGGAATCTTTTTTATTTATTTAAATTCAAGTTTTTCAATTCCATATGAAGATAGAACAAAGAAAAATTCTTAATGATATTCCCAAATTACTTTAGCAAATACAATATATTCACCTTTTGTTAAAGTACATTTACACCATACTTCTCCAAATTAACTTAATTTACCAGCTACATATGTATATGTATTATTTTCTTCTTTTTTACAAATAAATAATTTTGCATTACTATATTTTGGATTTCCTTAAAATCTTTAATTTCTTTAATTTATAGTAATATAATAATCTCCTTCTTTAGTAATTTTAAAAGAATAATAAACAGCCTTTTTTTTATTTGATTTGATTTATGTTGCAGAATATTAATAATCTTGTTTAACATGACAAATATGAATATCTCTAAATTATTACATAAATGATCCAACATCCATATAAAATACACCAGAATCTTCTGTATCTAATTTTAATTCTTATCTTAATTATGGAGTCCATAATGGACTATCTTATCCCCAATCTCCTGTCCATTCTTTTTTTCCCCAAGGGTTTCTTAATTTCAAAAGTTCTACTTATCCTCTTTTTGGATGATTAATTTATCTTATTTTAAGAACAGAATAAGCATGATTTGGAACCAATCCTTATGTAATTGGTTAAATATCACTACTTTAAGTAGCTGCAACCATAATAACTTTATTTGCAAGACATTTTCTAAGTTGAGCAATAAATTCTGGAGATTGAGTCCATATAACTTCAGTTGGTGCTCCAGTTAATGCTCTAAGTACTTCTTACATTGAACCTGATGCACTATTTTGATAAGATCCAAATAATTTAGCCCAAGCTTTCTCTAATACCATAACCCAAATAGCATTATTTTTAGCTTTAGTAAATATGGGTGTTAAATTAGGATAAACTGGAAAGTAATCATCTACATAGATAGCTTTCCATATTCCATCTATACATAATCTTATACAATATATTCCTTATTCATTAATTGCTCTAGTAATAAAAACATCTAATAATAAATCAGGTCTTCTATTTCCCAAAGCAGAAATTGAAGCCAATAAATAACAATTTCCTAATTATCCTTGTATGATATCTTAGGGTCCAATATATTTTCCAAGACCAAATCTTTTGTTATCATTAGCTTTGGCAAAAAATTAATAATCTCCATTGAAAATAACATTCAATCTTTACCATGTAGCTTAATAATTAGATCCAACACTTCTATCGTTAGGACCAAATCTAAGATCAATATAATTTTTTTCTTTAATTTTAAGTTCATCAAAAGTTTTAATGAATTCATTCATATTAGATATTTACATATGTTATAAAGTAACTTCTTCAAATTAAAATTTGCTTATTAATATGTCTTATTAATCATTTGATGATTATTGTCTTTTTAATTTGATTTCTTGAACTTCCTCTAATTAAAATGTAACATATGTTAACATAAATTGATTTAATTATTCTTGATTAATTTACCAACCACAATCCTTAACAAAACAGACACAATAATCTTCATAATATTTTTATATGCAATCATAACATAATCTATGATCACATATTTCATTATGAAATAAACCTTAATTATTAGAATGACAATAATCACATTTATATGAAACTGATTCTGTCATTCTATTATCAATATCTATTTTGATTTCTTGTTTTTGTGGTTAGATTTAAACATTTTATTATATCAATTTTGATTGTTATTATTTTTGTTATTACACTTGTTATTATTGATTTACTTATGCTTATTATCCTTATTGTTATTTAGGGTTAATGACCTTTGCACTATTTTATTACTATAAAACTCTATCTGTTAATTTCTACATTTAAGATTTAGATTTTGTTTAAATTGGCACAGGAGAACGTTCTTAAATTGATCTTCTAGGTTGAGTATTTTTCTCTTATTTTCTTGGAGTATTTAAGTTTTAATTGTTCTATTTTACAGCTGTTGCTTTGTTTTATTGAGATGGTGATGCTATGATTACTACCAATTTTACTCAATTTTTTTGGATCTCCTGCAAACATGGTAACCTGTTTACCAAATACCATTTGATTGCTACCAGATAATTTTTGGAATTGTCTATTCATAAGATCTGCTATATTCAGAAAATTAGAGCATTATTTCTCTGAACAATTCGAACCACCTTCAGCAGTAATTTGATCTATGCATTTATTACAATATAAATGTCCACATTTTGCTTTATAAGATGAACTTTCTTTTGTCTCCAATTAACATTTCACACACTTAAGTGATGACTTTATCATGATAAAAATTTATATTTAATTTCAATTAAAATGATAAGATATAATATAGAGTAAGAATAGAATTCATTAGGTCAGATAGAATTCGTCAGATTTTACTTAATCCAATATTTCATGTTTCTAAGTTTTATCTTATTACAAATTTCATCATTTCCTTTAATAATACTTGAACTTTTTCAAAATATAAAGACTCCATTATAGACTCAAACTCAAAATAATATTTGTATATTAAGAATCTAATTAATTTATTTAAGTCAATTGCTATCTTTCTTAGTATCAATTATGTTTTTGTATTTAAAATTATTAATTTTTAATATTGTATCTAAAGCTATTAATTATCAATTGATATATAATATTTTTCTCATATTAATAAACAAAGTTTATAACTATTTAAATACCTATAATAAAATCCAGCTTTGATTATTATCATATATATTATCACTTTATAAAAGTAAATTTAGAATATTTGAATCTATTAAAAATGCTATTAATTAATAAATTATACATAATTTGACTTATGAAACTATTAATCAATAGAGTTGAATGAACTAATTAGAAAATCACTTGTATTCAATTTAAAATTTTATAGTAATTAATTAATTTTATTTTTTCAAGAAATTTTTTTTTTTTTTTTTTCTAGATTCAATCTATTCATTCTTCTTAGCAATATACTGGGTATATTTTTAATTAAATTTCTTATTCCTCATTTTTTTTTTCTTAAAAAACTTTGTTTTAATATGTTTTTAAAGATATACCATTATCTTATAAACATTAGTCAAATTCTAATCTTGTGATTTTTGTATAATCAATTTTAATAAAACTTATTCTTTCTTTTTGAAATTTTTTATTTAGACAATTAAAGCAATATATTTTAGAACCTTATTTAGGCTCAAAGTATTTATCTCTTTAAGTTTAGCATGAGCCGCATAATCTAGTTGTGTTTTATACATTTTATTATTTTCTTTTATATGATTATTCATTTTTATTAACTAATTCATTTTCAATTACCCTATTTTAAATAGATTGTTTAGAAATTTTATACAATCCTTAGATACTCCAATATTTATAATGAAAGGATATTGGACTATTTAATTAAAATCTTATAAAATACCAAATCGTATAACAACCCTCAGATAATTATTCTAATATGTAAACAATAAAATAATTTTATTATCCCTTCTTCAAATATAATTATATTGTGACATCTTTGTCTAATTTTTGTTTGTCACATCTTAAAAGATTAGTAATTTTATTGTAATTATTTTCTATAATTTTTTTAATCTCTATAGCCCATTATTATGAGATTTAAATTGTTTCTCCATTGATATGTTTCACTAAAATAAATGGCTCTGATATCATATATTATATTTATATTAAAAATTTATTTTTTCTATAATTTTCAAAAAAGATAATATAATAGCTTCAATCATTATCCTAAATGAATATAACTAAACAATAAATAAATCTATAATATTTCAAAATTGTAAAAATTTATGATATATCAAACTAATCTATTTGAATGATGAGTAAAATTTCTGAAATTTTAAGAATAATTATTATTATTTATTCCTAATCTGTAATCTTGATCTAATTTTTCATATATAATACAATTTTATTTCTAAGGATAATATGATTATTAAGATTAAGGTTAGTATTTTTGTAAAGTCATATCATTTCTTAAATTATATTTATCATTTAATTATTTTTAATTTTCGTAAACTCTTTTTTAAATTGTATCAGTAGTAACATTTCTTTTTACTGCAGAACCTTCATTCTATCTGAGTCTATCAATATTTTAAAATTTCTAACTAATACTAGTTTATTAATATGGTTATTAATAATAATTTGATTATGTAGTTTTGGGTAGAGTATTTTCAAAAATAAATTCAATTTCAACAGGATTTGTAGGTAAAATTAAGTTTTATTTTATTTGTATTTTTTTTGATGTAGATTATTCACATTATGGACAATTTTTATATTTTGTTAAAATACAACATACTCCTATTTCATGAGTTTTACAATTTATCTCTTATTTCCTGTTATAATAAGAAAATTATTATTAACAATTTGTACAAAATCCATTATAAAATTAAGATTCTTATTAATCTAATAATTTAAATTCATCTATTTATTAATATAAAATTATATCCTCAAGATCTGTCTAAAAATCTTATTTTGCTTATTAAATTGGCTATTATTAAATTTATATTTTTTAATTTTAATTCTATATAATAAATCTATTTGTTGAAATAATATCCTTTTATTATTATATTTGAAATTCTTCTTTTTATTTTGAATTTTCTTTTTTATTACTACTATTTTCAAATAAATTGGTTGTTGAATTTTTAACTGAAAGTGATTTTTCTTCTTCAGTTTTGTTATTATCTTATTACACAAAACTGTCAACTGTATTTTATTCAATAATCTTTTCTTCCTCATGATTTATAATATGATTAACTTAATTATTATTAATTTAATATTCAAGTTTCTTATCAATTTAAGGCTCTTCTACTTTAAAATTTTCAATTTTATGGGATTCTTCTTTGGATGCAATTTATTTTTTCTACTCAATTATTTGATCAGTAATAAATTTATTCAAACCATTAGTAAAATATATTTTGGTAGAACAATCTAAACATTAATTAGGTATTTTTGAATTTACTTTTTAACAACAACTTAAACAAAATTCATGTTTACATTTTAGTAAATATAAATTTTTTAAAGGAAAATTATTTTAACAACCTTTACAATTTGTAGTAATATTATTACGAAATTTTAAATATTCTTAATCTTTAGATGATTAAATACAACAATTTGAATAAAAAGAATCTTTAATGATACATTAATAGCAGACAGAATGACCACAATTTAATATATATTTTTAATCTTCAACAGCATTTGTAAAACAATCTTCACATTTAAAATATTCAAGTTTTTATTAAGAAATATTATTTTATGTATGATATTACTCTGATCTTGATAAATCCTATAATTACTTAATGTAAATTTAGTATTCTTATGATGTAAATTTTTCATAGCAATTGTTTACTAAACATTTCAGTGTTTAATATCTAAAATTAGTTTTTGATAAACATTAATTACATAATTTATGATTACAAATTTTAACTTAAAATAATTTATAGACTTATATTGTATTACATTTCTAACATTAATCCATTATTCTAGATTCTAATTCTTATATAGAAGTTTATTAGTATTATTATATTTGATTTTACTTAATATTTTCTTACTCATTATTTTCATTTTTAGTTTTGATTAAATAATTTTAAACTTCCTATTAATCTATTTTTTACGTGCAAACAGAAACTAAACAATATTTTATTAATTTGTTTTTATTAATACAATCATAACAATATTTATGTTTACAAATTTTCATGATAAATAATTAATATCTAAACTTTTTTAAACATATATTACATTCCTATAAAGGATCATTAATAGTTGTGATTTATAATTGATTATTATTATCTTGATTTTCCAATTTATATGAAATTTATTATTTTGTACTTTCATAGTATTATTACAATTCATTACTTCTTTAGTTATATTCTATTAGTTTAAGCAATTCGTCCATGAAATTTTTCAAAAATGGTTTTGTACATATTATTGAACAACAAGAATATGTTCTACTTGATTATTTAATACATTTATAACAATGTTAATGTTTACACTCCAATGTAATTAATTCAGTTTTAGTAGAACATTATCTACAATATTTTGTAGGTATATTAAAGATTAATGGTTCAGGAATCAAATAAAAATATTTTTAACGAGGTGTAACTTTTAAGTCAATGAAATCTTTATTATCTCTACCATAAATTACATTATTAAATGAAATTCTCATTTTTAATTATGCAGCCATTTTATCATATGATATTTCCTATCCTTAAAATAATCTCTTTTTTTAACAAAATTCAATTAATAATTATTCAGTAATTTCATTCTTCTAGTCTAATTAATATAGTTTTTTAAAGAATATCTATATAGGATTCATTAGATCTTTGGTTTATTTGATCAAATTTACAATCTCTTAATATTTTGATTGATTCTGTGAGCTAGTTATAAGTTCTATTAAATCTTAGAGAATTTTTGGTTATTTTCTATTTAAAGCAAAATGTATCAAAGAACATAATATAGCTGCATTTTTATTATATCCCATGAATTGTAAATACTTGTAATCTTTTAGAGATACATCATTTCTCCTATCTTCTTCTGTCATAGGCCATATTTAGAATAATTATAAATCATAAGACATTTGTATTATAATAATTTTATTGTTTATAGAATTAGATTAATTTTAGAAGATAGTTTAATTTTATATTTGAAAACAAAATAGGAGCATAATCAATCTTGCTTTCCGTCTTTTTCATTTTAAGAGAGTGGTAAATATAATGATTTTATTTCTTTTATTTTTTAAATAGAATACAAAATAGATCCTAAATAACTTATAATAATTCCAGCAAGAATTTAAAAGTCATACTCTTCTTTCAAAAAGAAGAAGGAGTAGGAAGTAATCATAATATCCTTAATGTTGTGAGTGATAGCAATAGCAATGGGGGAATTGTACATATTACACAAATTGGTTGAATAACACAACATAAATCCCATCAATGAAACTAAAGTGAATGCTATGAGGAATTATTCACTCATATATGGTGGACTCATAAATTCATGTAATTCTTATGTTGCATATGCACCAATAAATAGAAATGGAATTTAATTACAAGAATTCTAGAAGAGTAATTCAAGAGGATCTATTTATTTTTCATAATTCAATTATTTTGATTTATGTAATGCAAGAGCATTGAATACATTATTTAACATAATAAGTCCATATCCTAAATAGTTCTCATCTAAATGTTCCTAACCTTAATTAATCTAAACTATATATTGTACCAGCAATTATAGCACCTAATGTAATGAAGATAACAGACATAAAATTAGAAATCTTCCAACTCTTTTGCATCATAAATACAAATAAAATCAGAGTCCTTCTTAATGTCATATACATTGAGATGTTCATTATTTGTAATCCCTTCATTCCAGAGAATGTTTATAAGGAATAAATGAATGAATATATTAATGTATCTTTTGATGTGTGATTTCTCTTTCCCATAAACAAGCATATTATAGCTGTAAGAACATTCTCATACAATAATAACTCTAAATAAATAAAGCATTGTTACCATGAATGTCATCCTAAATTGAAACTTAATCCATAAGTATTTCACACTTAGAGAAAAACAAAATGAGCATCCACCATATAATATACAATAAAATAAACCTAATATATGTTTCATATTATTAATAATGAGAAATTTATATATATATATATTATTAGATTTACAATTAAATTAATAAGACTATTATCAACTAAAGAAAACAACATTCTCTTGAAGTTCTGTAAGTACTCTATTAATTGAATAGATGGAAAAATCAATTTATAAAGAAGTATAATTTATTAGATTAAATAGAAATTGAACTATAGAAATGAATCAATATATAAAATATATTCATTTTTAAAACTATCTCTAATAAATGTAAACTAGTCTTTAGATAATTAATGGATTACTGGAAACTAAAAATATAATTAAAATTATTAAAATTCTGAAAATTCTTTCCATAAAATATTAAGTCTTTGATTTTGGCAATTCAATTCATATTTTATAATAAAAAATCATTACAATTAATGAATTTCAAATATATTTATTTACAAAGTCTCTTAAGATATAAAATATAAAATATATAGTAATTTTTATTATTAAACAATTATCTCCATAGATATGAATTAATATTTTAAATACCATAATACAATTAAATAACTCTTATAATTCTTTTTAAATTAAAAAATAGACAATATATTAATATTGAATGAATACATATTTATTAAATTGTAAATATAATTAATGTCTTATTTTGATGAACTCAAACTTTTATTTAACTAAGAAACCTAATAAATACCTGAATTGAGTCGATTTGAAATAAAAGGTATTTTAGGCAAAGGAGCATTTGCTACAGTTTTCTCTGCTCTAGATAAAGTCCTTAAGATTTAAGTAGCAATCAAGATGGTAGACAAGAAACTTTTCAAAAATAAGGAACAACAAGACATCATACGACAAGAAGCAATGATGCTTTAAACACTTGAACATAATAACATTGTCAAAATCTTAGGAGTAAGAATTTTGATCTTTAACATAACTTAAGTTTTTCGAGACTTCTTTGAAATTTTTTATTGTAATGAACTAAATAGATGGAGTCACTTTGGAAACTCACATAAGTAATATCAAATCAACTGAAGTGGTTTCTATTACAATCTAAATTCTTAAGGCACTGAGTTACTTACATCAAAGAAACATTGTACACAGAGATATCAAACCTGAAAATATTTTAATAAGTTATTCAAATTCAGAATTAAAAGTTACTTTAATAGATTTTGGTTTGTCAGCATCTCTAAATAGAATTTAAAATTCAATGAATGGATTGATGTATCAAAACTGTGGAACACTCTTATATTAAGCTCCTGAATTAATTAAAAAAGCTAATTACACTAGAGTATTTTAATTCATATTACATATTTAGTCAGTAGACATTTGGGCTTTAGGCATTGTTGTTTATCAGATGTTAAATTAAGGTTAACATCCATTTTATGAATGCAATGATACAAAAACTATTTATGAGAATAAAATCAAAAATTCATCACTTAACCTTTAGTTTAATCATAATAAAGATATTAACAATTTCTTAAAAAGAACTATTGCTTATTTACCTGAACATAGATTAACAGCTGATCAATGTTTAGAACATCCATGGATTACAGGCAGAGGTGATATTTCAGTTCCTATTACATTGAATGAAATCATTTAATGTCAAGTAGATAAGGAACAAAATATTACAAAATATATAAAAGTAATTCTGTTTCTAAAATACTTGATTTTATCATCTTCCTGTTATAAAACACCCTATAGAATTGAAGCCAATAAGCTTATTTAAACAGGGTCTCTGACAGAACATATGTCTGATCTATCAACTGCTACTATTAATTTTAAGATACGTCCATTATATATAAAATCATAGACTAGATTAGATAAGGATGAAAAAAATGATAGTTTAAGTAATAGTAGCAGAAATACAAGTGACATGTTTCCAGATACAATAGCTTAGGTTAATACACCTGATAATAAGAAAATGTTTAGAAAGAGTACTTCAATGAATCCTTAAGAAATTATGATTAAACAATTAAATTAAACTCAAAAGAAATTAGTTAATTTTCCTAATAAAGAAACTAGTCCAGCAATTAAAACAAGAATACTTTAAAATCCTTAAGGTACTATTAGTTCAAGATTACCTCATAATGATAGTTGGAAGAAATTACAAAATACTAATTAAAATAGTAGATTAAGAATTACATAGAGACCAAATTACTAAAGGAATCCTACATAATTGTGAAATTATTTTAAATTGAAAAAAATTAATAATTTAACCACTTATATTTATGATTCCAAATTTCAAAGTAGATCAAAACTGTTTTCAATCTTTTTTACTATAATATACATAAGAATTATTGAATATTTATGTATCAAACCTGATGAATTTTTAAATAATAAAAATATATTACACAAATTATAGTATTTTGTTTAACTAATTAAAAATATAATTTAAATACTTATATGATTTACTTAAATAAGTAAGTTTATTAAAGAATAATAGACTTATATAAATTGAATAATATATAATTTTTATTTAAATGATGATGATAAATCATGAATCTGGTTATATTTTAGTATCATTTTAATTAGCTTATGTATTACCTTCAATTTCACTTTCTGGATAAATCAATAACTCAAAGTCTTATTCCTTAAATTATTATATTGGTATTATATGATTATTATCTTATATTTTTAATTGATTTTGTATTAATTTGGATTCAGTTTAAGAAATAGTTTAATCATCATTACTTTTAACAATTGGAGGATTAGTATTATTTGGAAGCTAAGTAAAAATAATAATATACAATTGAATTTAATTTATATTAATAATCTTGATTGATACTACAATCTAATTTATTAATATTCTATTATTCTTCTTTAGCACTATCAGCATACTATAATTATAATGGAATTCCATAATGGTGAATTTATTGTATTATTTTGGAAGGTAATATATTCTATATCAAAAATTATAATCTAGAAATTTCATAGATTTAATTAGAGATAGTTAATTTGATTTCACTAATTTGGGATAATTTTTAATATTAATGTTTAAAGGTTTATAAATCCAATTACCTTCCATTTTTTTCAACTTTTTTAATATATCCAAATATATTCTTTGTGATTTTAACATTTTTAAATTCAGGATAATACATTTATATTACATGATTAATTGCTTCAAATTCTAATTAACTTTGATTCAAAATAATTACTAAATATGATAATAACAATAATGTAGATGCAATAGAACCTGCTTCTGCTAATATTTCACTTATTTTAGTATAGACAACTGATATTTCAATTTAAATATTATCTATTTTATATAAAAATGCCATATAAACATTATATCCAAATAATCCATTATAATATTCTAAATCTAGAGTGGCACTAACTACACGATATTCATTAATGTACATATAATCATTAGTGGATTCAAATAAAAAGCCTACATCTACTTATGTTTAAGTAATTTAAATATAAGTTTATGTCTAGTATACTTTACTAATTTAGAAGGGAATGATTTATTCTCTTCCAATTATTTCGAGATTTTCAGTTTATGTATTATATTCTTTGGCATAATATTTAACAACAAGAGCATTGGTGGGTTAATTTGTAAATTATTTGATAACAGTTTCATTAGCACAAGCCTACCCTTCTTATAAAAAGCTTTAAAGACAAGCTCCGAAAGTAAGCATAACTTCATATTCAGGATTTGTTTCATCTCTTGTCTCACTAATTGATAAGGATAGATTAGAGAAACTGATGATATGAAAAGTATCTTCTTTGGTAGTAATTTGATAGAATGGAACAAGAGGTTTATCTAAGGGAATTCCATTCTTGAAAACATATAAGAGAGGTTGAAGAACAAGTGCATCTGGATTAAATGGATCAATCATAGAATAACCAAATTTCCTTAATTAAACATCAACGAATTTTTCATTGAGTTAAAAATACTAATTGTTCTCAACTTTTGATGATGTAGTTATTTTAGGTAGGATTTATCCTGTTCTCCATTGAATTATTATATAGAGTAAATATGCAAAACTCAACCCATATAATAAAATAGACATGACTCCTCCCCAACAAGTTTTATATTGAGAAGTTGTGTATTTGATACTAGGTTAGAATGCCACTCCAAATTGATCTATGGTTTTGAGTAATTTAATCATAAAGTATAATAAAATATCATGTAATTTTATTGATTTCAAAGAATTATGGTATCAATTATACATCAGTTTTATCTTTCTTACAAATTAGTAATTCAAAATCTTAATCAATGAGTTCCTATGAACTATAAATATCTGATTTGAATTATTAAAATGTCTCAGGTTTATGATTATCACTAGGTAATATAGTATTATGAGAATGATCCTATAATATAGTTTATTATATCTATTGATGTTATTATTAAGTAATTTCAACTTTACTATCATTTGATGGTGCCTAAATTATATTATATTAACTTACTACTCTAGAATCCTTAAACATATCTACATCTTAATTATCAATATCATTATCTTCTTTAGTATTTTCAATAAAATTGTTTTCTTTGATTCCAATCTAATGACAAGATATAAAATTGGATCTACTTATTATAGATTATAAAATAAATTAGATTCTTGAGATTTCATAGATTTAATTAGTTATTGTTAATTTCATTTATGCTACTGCTTTTAATTTCCCATAGTGTTAATTAAATTTATCAATATTTAAATTTCGACCCAATAATTCAATTCTAATAATCTTACCATACCAATTCTTTCGATATTTTAAATATTTAAGATTTGGATAAAACATTTAAATCACTTATGAAATAGCTTCATTTTCTAAAAAGTATTAATTAGTCATTATTACAAATGCTGAAGTCAATAATAGAATAGAAACTATTGATCCTGTATCAGCTAATACTTCATTTACTTTTGGATATTGTATATATTAAATAGATTTGATTCCATTCAATTAATAATTATTGATAAAATAAGTAGTAGAATTAATAACACCAGAGAAAAACTTACTATTCACTTATTAACCAATTGTAGAGATATCTAAAATAAAATCTCTTTAATAAGTATTTTCAAATAACAATCCATTATCTATTATAGTTTCTTACATTTTTAAAGTACTTGTTGAAAAATATACAGAACTTGGATCCAAAGCCACAATTACTTCAGATCCAAATGTATTAATCTTTTCTTATTGAGCATTAAATTATTTTATATAAGTAGTGAATAAAAGTGTATTAACTGATTAATTGAAAAAGCTTTTTCTAGTTGTTGTATTAGCACATTTTAATTATGTATTATTTATTAAAAGTTGAGGAACACAATCAATCAATATAATCATGTACTCCAATTCTGGTGATTCAATTGTTCTATCTTTACTTATAGCTAGTGTAATGTTATCAAAATATATTGTTACAAATTCATCATCAGTTGTATTATTTATTATTGGAATACTAGGAGGAGTAATTAATTAACCATTAACATATTAAAATATTAATGGAAGCATAATTATATTCTAAGGATTAAATGGATCTATATTTGTATCATTCATTTTTCTCATTCTAATTGAAAATAGAGGTTCATCAAATTAAATTTATTAATTTTCTATTACTTCACTTGATATTGTTATTTTTGGTAACATACCACCTTCCTTCCAAATAACAAATTAATAAATGAAATATCCTAAACTTATTCCATAAAGTAATATAGATAATATTCCACCTAAAACTGTTTTATATTCACTATCTGATGTTATACTAGGTTTAAATACAACACCAAATTGATCAAGATCTCTAAGAAATTTCTTTATAATCTCACTTAACTTAGTCATTATAATTAATAATTATAAAATAGACATAAAAATTCTGTTTATCTTAAATTTAATCATAAACTAATATATATATATCTATTTATTAATTGAAATATAAAATAGAAATAATAAAAATTAATTCAATATAAACAATAATTAATAAATAAATACAAATCTATATTCAAGGTTATGTTAATCTATTGTTTTATATTTTTGTATAACTAGAATTTTTTTTAGAACCAAAATAATATTGTGGTGTATTCAAATATGCACTTTAATTTTAAGAAGATATAGAATTTATATCCATTGTTTCATTTTTTCTTAATATGGTTATCTATCTTGGTTTAATGTGTACAAATGAATAAAAATTATATTCAGGAGTTTTCTAATATGTTGGTGAATTTTAATAACTTGATCTTAAAGATTCTACTTTTTCAAGACAATCTAAATTTATTCCTATTTATCCATCTTATAAAATAGATGGTCTGATAAATCTCTTCATTTTTAATACCAATTATAATTTCTATTTCAAAATCTTCATTCTTATCTTCTTAGGTTCACAAACACCTTTATATATCAAATCTTGTAAAGCTTAATTTTTTCTTTAACGTGAATGTCCTAAATTCTAAGATAATTGTATCTTCAATGATGATACTTATCTTTTCACCTTATTTCTCACAAATTCTGATATTGCATTTTATTAAGTCAAAGGATTTGTTCTATCATAATCAGTTGGTAATTTTAAATATACATCTTCATATCTAACTAAATCTTCTTCTTCATTAAGATCTTTAAATAACATTCTATGAATTCTATAAGTAGGTAATATAATTTCTATTCCTGATAAAATAATAGAAGCTAAATTCAATGCTTAACAAAGCTTTCCAGAATTAAATACAAAATCAAGCCAAAATTACATTGTTGAAAATAAAATTGGACTCAAATCAATTAAATATAACATTTCTGTATCAAGATGACTACTTTAAAAAGGAGGTTTAGAATTCCTTCTTAATAATAGATACTTCTCAATCCAATAATAACTCACTAATCCTACTTATCCAAATAATATAGATATTGGTATTAATGGAGCGAAAAAAAAAGTTAGCCAAGTTGTTTTACAAAGATATGAATATTGATCATAAAATTAAACTTAAGGACCTTCAAATAATTTATTTGCTTAATATTAATCAAGATCTTTGTTTCTCTCAATTCTAAATTATCTAATTTTCTTAAATAAATAAAGAGGGTTGAAATATAAAGATAAAGGTATTAGAATTGCATTTGTACCTGAAACATATAAGATATCATCAGCTATTCCTCCTTATTATTAAATAGCTAAATTGCTTAATTAATTTGGTTCATATTTGACTTATGAATTGTATGAACCTAGAATATTTATTATCATCAAAAGTAAACAAGAATTTACAAATTGTACATAACTTAATTTCTATGCTATAGATGTATCTTAATAAGTTTTTGTTACATGTCTCTCTTAATTAGCCAAAAGTGTAATAAAATAATATATTAGACCTTCTACAATTGCAATAATTAATGATTTTGAGAATGATACCATTGTTGTTATTAATAATTAATTATTATCTGATTATAAAAAACTATTCTATATTTATTTAATATTATTACTTAAAATACATTTAAACCATATAATGTACCAAGAGATAAACCAAGTAAAAATAAAATCACAAACCAACTTATTATTTTCCTTTTTAATTGTGTATTTTAATCAATACCACAATTCTCCCAAAATACATCATCAGGTTCAGGTGCTCTATTTATATAAATTAATTCTCCTTTAAAATAAAATCCTTTACTATCTTTCTTATTGATTAATGACTTTATTGCAATCATTAAGGCTTCCCAATATGATAATTTAGTTTACTCCAATAGATTTTTTAATTCTATATAAAATTAATCTTAACTCTTACACTTCTTTGTTTAAAATGTAATAAATGCAATAGGTGTTGTCTATCTGTAACATCCATTTTCAATTTCATATTCAATTATCTATTAAAGTTGAGAAATTTCTTTAATTTAATTAATAATCTTTTCTCTATTTTTTGTATTATTGTTTTCTAATAATTTCTCTAATTTTAGTTTTTCTCTACCTTTATCAATAAATTATGATATATCATAAGCTATATTAATCTTCACAACTTCATAATTATTATTTGGATCAAATTCCTTACAATACTCTTCTAAAGCATGTTTCAATTCCTTCTCATCATAGTTATTTTTTGGTAAATGATTTAATATAGCTGTAAAATCAGAAGGTGACAATAATTCCTTATCTATTGCAAACTCTACTCTTTTTTATTTTTCCCTTATCAAAACCATTGATATTTTCATAATGATAACTGAACATAGAAGAATAGAGGATTAAATTATTTTATAATAATTGTCTGCTTGCTTATTAATGAATGACAATTAAGACAATTGAGAATTAAGACAAATCTTTGTATAATGATGACAAATCTATTAACAATCTTTAAAGATTTCAAAAAAATGATTGAAATCATCATGTTTCAATGGACAATTCTATTCACAACCCTTTTTTTACCATAAAACATATGCATAATTATTCTCTGAAATGCAATCATTACCTAAAATATTCAAAATTATATTTGGAATCATAAAGCATGCCAACATTAAAAAGTACATCATAATTACCAAAATCATTTGATTAAAATATAATGGAACTCCTTATCCCAAGAAGGCTAAATCTAAAATCTTTATTGATAATGGTAAAGATATCTTTGAAACACTGAGTCCACAACATGGACAATATTCAGAATTCTCGAAACTATAACCGCAACTAGTGGCTAACTAAAATCTTATATATTGTAACCTTATGTTTCAATGCATATTCCTTTATAGGTGGTTTTTAGAACAAATCAAATTTTAATGTGTCACCCAAAAATTTTGGATATTCCATTTTATTATTTTTATATAAATGTTTAAGTTTATTGAATACTACATTAGATATTAGATTATTATTAAATCAATATTCTTATATATTAATTAATTAACTATAAATCATTACCAAATTACAAATTTCCTATCTAATCCTGTAGAAATCATAGTCTTTATATCATCTGTTATACAAACTGAAGTATGCTAAAATATATATTATTATATATATATTACTTTTGTATCCTATATCTCATAAACAGAATGCAAACTCCAATCTCTAGAATTCCAAAATTTTATATTTCCATCATAAGAAGCACTAATTAAGAATTTACTATAAATTGGTTAAAATTTTAAATCACTTACTAATTTAATATGTGCAGGTATCTTTTCTATTACATTTCTTCTTCTAATATCCCAAACCCTTATGAAATTATCATCCCCACCAGTAGCAATATGATAACCATTCATACTAAAATCACTAGCTAATATTCCTTTAACATGACCAACAAATGGTAAAATACCTTTACCTATTCTCAAATCCCATGCCATTCCAAATCCTCCTAAATCTCCTGTAAATAATAATGAACCATCTGGATGTAAAGTTCCTGAATATATTGCTCTAGAATGTCCAGTTTATACCATTAATTCAGTTTAAGTTTCAATATCCCATAATCTCCATGTCTTATCAAAACCCATACTTATCAATCTTTTTCCATCTTAATGAAATACTACTTTATTTATTCTGTCTTCATGGCCTTTTAATACAATTGATTTTTATAGCATTCCCAAATTCTCTACTTCTACCTAATCCAAATCTAATGTCCATAATCTAATTGATAGATCAGCTGATGCAGTTGCAACATTAGCAAAAGATTAAGATGATAATGTTAATAATGATTAAGGATGAAATGCAATAGAATGACATTTTGTTAAATGTCCCAAAAAACTTGACTTTAATGATGCACTTTCAATATCCCATAATTTACATTCTCCAGATCCACCAGCAGTTGCAAGATATTTTTAATTTGGACTAATAGTTGATCTAGATATTCCTGAAGAATCACCAAATTAAGACATTTATATTGTAAAATGATTTACTTTTTACATTTCATCTAATACTTCTTAATCTTCTAATAATGCATCAACAGTTAATCTTCGTAATCTCTATTTCTCAACTCTTAGAGCTGCATTATGAAGTGATAACTTAGCTATTTCTATTCTAGCAGCTCTTAATTATTCTATTCCTTCATATAAGAAGTATTCATTCTCTAAATTACCCATATTATGATTATTCTATTGTTTAAAAAATTAAGGTAATCTACCATATTACATCAATTGTTCTGTTAACAATGTTCGTAAACGCTATCTTCTATCAACAGCACTTTCACCAAAATATGTTACTGGTTACCCTAATTATCGTAATTATGATTTGATTTCACTTTCTTAAGTGGGTACCATCAATTTACGTGCTTCTGCCATTAATTTCTATTTTCTTTCATTTTCTTCCTATTGCTTTTATTATCTATCAACATTTTCAGTTGTATAGGATATAAATGGTAATGATTCCTACTGTTAATGTATAATAGTAGGTGCTCTAGTACTCAATTAAGATATTTAACTTAAGTTATCAGTGACTCTTTATCTTTCTTATTATTATAAATTCATAGTTTAAATTGAAAAACAAAATTTCTTAAAAATATTAATAAAAATAGAAATATCGATTGCTTTCAATTTCTAATATGCTTATTTCTTTTTATAATAATAATTTAATATTTATTTTTGACTATCCAATTATAGACTAAATATCATCAATCTTCTAATTCTCTACTTTCTTAATTTGTTTTAATATTAAAGTTTTTATGATTCACTGCATTCTTAAACAATAGTTTAAACTCTTATTGATAATTATTATTAACTATTTATGACTCAGTTATGAAATTAAGTTTTATTAGAGTTTCTGATATAAAAATTGCTTATATTAAATAGTTGCATAATCCATTTTCATTGAATTTTATCATTTCATCTAATAGGAAGAACGATAATAATTGATATCAAATTATTATAAGGAAATTTGATAAATTTATATAATTTTTATAAATGGCATCAAATAGATTATTATGAATATTGACGAAGAAATATAAAAGGTTTATTCTTTACTTAAAAATTCAGCTGAAACTCTAGAAGATGTATTACATAAATCATTTGAAATACCAGTTGACAATTGGTCAAAAGAGAAACCTGCATTATTATTTCCTGATTCTGGAGATGGTTTATAAGATTTATTAGAGTTAATGAGCAGAATTGATAAAAACTTAGATTAAGTTCGTGTGAACATTAGATAATTTGAATTAAACAAATTCTAAGTAATAAAAGAGGAAGAATTTGATCCACGCTATTCCTAACCTCTTATTGATTATGAGATTGTACAGAATGCCGAATAGACATAAATGAATAGAATGAAATCGAATGTGAATAGATTACAACGCCAAATTTAGGCCTATTAATAAAAATATTAATAATGAATTAATTGGGCGTTCTTCTTCTACTTGATTCACCAGAGAATTTATAATTCGGAATTGATAATTCTCAATGGATAGTCGGAAAGAAATTCAAAGGAATTCAAGGTATACCCTTTGGAACCCATTATGTTCATTATTCATTAAAGGAAGAAGGCTATTAATTTAAGTAAGGATTCTTCTTCATTGTTTCACCAGAAAACAAATACTTGGTAAAGTAATGGAATAGTGAATTACAAGAATTTCTTACTTTCAAAGATTGTGCACCATATATTCATACTTTAGAAATGCATGACTTTGATTTATATTTAGGAGTTTATCCAATGGATAAATATGAAATATGGAAATTATGTGTGAATATGATTAATAGAAAGGTCTTAGATAAATTGGACCCTATAAAAAATATATGTGTTGAAGAATACAATGATAAAGACATAGGAAATAACACTCCTTTACATACTACAATCTATTATACTGATATACCTAAATTAAAGAATCCAAGTAAATCTCAGGGATAATAATTGACTGCCTTAAATTTTGATAAATCAACAATAGTAGAAGAATTATTGAAATCAGAATATCAAAATGATTATAATTTATTTTTGGGAGAAATCTAATATGCATTTGTTAAATTTTTATTGGGGGAACATTTTGAATCATTTGAATAATGGAAATAATTATTAATTTTAATAACATCATGTGAAAGATTGATAGAAGAATAAACTAATATGTTTATTGACTTCATACCTATATTTTATCATTAATTACAACAAATGCCTAATGATTTTTTTGTTGATCCCATTAGTTCAAGTAATTTCATTTAATCATGTATTAAAAATATGATCGAATTATCATAAAATGATAATCCAACTATCATTAGATAAAAAGTATTCTAATATAATAATATTTAGTTAATACAAAGATGCAATAAATTAAAAGAATTAATTAAAATTAAATTTGTATAAAATGCTGTTTAAATGGATGATGAAGATGAACCAGTTGTAGTTGAAGACTTCAATTTTATTTAACTATGATATAGATAATTATAAATATAATCAAGATTATTGTTAAATTTCATGTTGCATGTCATGTCCCTCACTTTAAAGAGTCTTACTCTTTTATAATCGCGTTGGTTAGATGATAGAAAGCTTCTTCTTTTCTTCCTGCACAATTGACTTGACTCTTGACCCTCTTCTCTTTTCATCTATCTTTAAGAACCTATCCACTCTTTTAAATTACACCCAAGCCTTTCCATCCATTAATTCTTCTAACTTCATTTAATAATCTAATTTTTACTTCCATATTTATTTCTTCCTCTGAATACCCATTTTCTTTTACTATCTCCCAAAATGCCATCCACTCTTCCTCTGTTATATCTCCACTCTTATCAAAATCTACTGCATCAAATAAGGCTTCTGTATTTAATTTTGCAAAGTTGGATTTCCTTTATAAGTTATTTTAATGGTTACCAAAATTACTCCGTTCCTTATTTATCTATGGTTCCATTCCCTTTGATATCAAGTTTTTTAAATATTTCGCTTGCTTTTTCTCGAAGTCTTTAGCTTAAAGGCTCGTGAATTTTTGCTGTAGTGCAACCCATTTTGATTAATTTATATGAATAAATGGAAAAATCAATTTGTATAGAAAAGAAAAGATTGATATCATATTAATATACAAGTGAATTACCATTCGAAATTTTAAAGTTAATAGTGATATTTTAAATTGAATGACATCAATAATTTACCATGATGAAGAAATCAATATTATATAATTGATCATATTGTTGAATTCATATATCCACTAATTATATATTATTCTTAGAATTTATTATATAAAATTTAAGTTTCTACCACATTCTAATCATAAATTCCATTCAAAAAAATATAGTTGAAATTTTTTATGTTAATTAAATACCTAGAATTTTAATCTCGTAAGACATAAATACAATTATTTAGATTTTTTAGATTTTAATTTATCAATTTTATTTACTTTCAAATGGATGAATTTATATCTATAATATAAACATATTAACAAATTATCAAAATTTTTAGAATAAATTATTCACTAAATTCATGGATGGTAATGAAGAATTCTTTATATGTAAATATTTTAGTTTTGACTTAGTATATGATTGAATGTTAATGATTTTGATTATTTTAGAATAATATTTAAAAAAAACTTATTAAACAATCTTAAAATTTATAATTTATTTATAAAAAATGTTTCATTTATTTTATTTTTCTATTGGTTGTCTATTGATTAAATTTTATAATCTTTTTATTTCATTTTCTAACATTAGAATATGAAATAATAATGGATCCACTTTGAAAAAAGGAATTCTTTCAAAACCCTCATCTTATATATCATCTATTCTATAATTAAAATATTTATTCAAATAACAATTAATTTAAATATCTGTTGAACTAAATTTCAGAAGTTATAATTTTCTTGGATATTAATTGATATTTTGCTAAAACTAGAAGACCTAGTTTAAATTTTCAAAATCCAAGACTTTAGTAAACAATTTTTTTAGAATTATATATAAATTCTATGATTGGCATAATGAATACTAAATAACTCCTTCAATTGAACGATTGATATATTTTTTTATATCTACTCCTAAAGATACTATTTTTATTTGCTTTTATTAAGCCAAATTAATTTTTTATGAAAGTTCTTGGTATTGATAATTATAAAAAGAGTGATTAATAAATATCAAAAATTTTTTGTAATGGATAAATTTCTCAAATTAATCTAATATATATTAGAATACTTTAACATTACTATTTGTCGATACTTAATCACAATTATCAATTAAGTGTTAAGTTAATAATGAATATTCATAATCAGTCCATGTAGTAGAAAAATTTGATTTTATGATTATTAGAGCATTATTTAAAATTGCCAAATTACAAATTATCTAACATTCCTTACATATTGCAATCAATTAATATAAAAAGGGTTATACAATTTCTAGTAGTATTGCCTTTGACATTGAACTTAAATCTAAAACAACCTCAAAAAGATAAAGAGACTTTCCTCCTCTATTTTTTCTCCTCAATATATCCCTAGCAGTTCCATTAGTACAAAAAAATTTGATGATACCTTTTATATCTATAGTAGTTCCTTTTGATGATAAAGAATATTTTGTAAATTTATTAATCTCTAGTAATCCTCTTAAGCTATTTGCTTCTTTTTAGTCTATCTAATAATCTAATCTAAAAATTTTTTTTTTTAATTCCTCTTTTTCTTGATGATTATAAAACATTTATTGTTTTAATACTGATGATTATTGTTAAATTTGAATTAATAATTCGAATATATTATTCGAACTATTTATAATTTGTCCATTTTTAATATCTATTGTGTTAAAATGATTTTGATCTTGAAATAGAATAATAGTATTCAATCCTTCATTTTATAATTCAATTTTACATATAATTGACATTTCAAATAATTATTTAGTAAATAGTAATACAAAATCATTATTATTTTAAGCTTTTTCTTTTACTAATATAAAATCCTAATTACATTTCCCAATAAGTGCATGTAAAATTTTATCAAGAAGATCAATTGTTAAAGTCTCATCTTTTTGCTTTAAGAATATTGGCTAATTTTATCCAGATAAGATTAAATCATAATTCATATTAAGAAAAGATAATTGTAATAATAATTATCCAAAATCTTAAAGAAATTATTAATCTACATATTAATCTATGATTATAATTCTAAATGACAATTAATTGATTGAAACATAAGGTTTTGTATAGTATCTCCAATATAAGTAAAGTTAGTTTTCTGCCATTTAAATTAATTAATTATACTATGTAAATAACCTTCTCTAATTACAATTATCTTCTTTTAAATGTTGATCTATAAATTGGTCACGAAAGTAATGATTTTCCTTTTCTAAATTTCGTATTTTAGTAAAATAATAAATGTTAGAATTGAAATAATCATCGAATAAACCATTTACATTACTTAAAAAAATTTAAGGAAATAAGCTGAATAATTTAATGGTTTTATTTTAAATATTTTAATTTGAATTTGAATTATTATCAATAGTTCTTATTGCATGTTATTTTAATGTTAACTAATTATTATTTGAATTTGTTTATGCTTAAAGGGTTTATCCATTATTTGTATTAGATGATGTTTATGTTAACTAAGTATTATTTGAATTTGTTTATGCTTAAAGGGTTTATCCATTATTTGTATTAGATGATGTTTATATTAACTAAGTATTGTTTTAATTTGTTTATGCTTAAAGGGNAGTATTATTTTAATTTGTTTATACTTAAAGGGTTTATCCATTATTTGTATTAGATGATGTTTATGTTAACTAATTATTATTTTAATTTGTTTATGCTTAAAGGGTTTATCCATTATTTGTATTAGATGATGTTTATGTTAACTAAGTATTGTTTTAATTTGTTTATGCTTAAAGGATTTATCCATTATTCGTATTAGATGATGTTTATATTAATTAAGTATTGTTTTAATTTGTTTATGCTTAAAGGGTTTATCCATTATTTGTATTAGATGATGTTTATATTAACTAAGTATTATTTTAATTTGTTTATACTTAAAGGGTTTATCCATTATTTGTATTAGATGATGTTTATGTTAACTAATTATTATTTTAATTTGTTTATGCTTAAAGGGTTTATCCATTATTTGTATTAGATGATGTTTATGTTAACTAAGTATTGTTTTAATTTGTTTATGCTTAAAGGATTTATCCATTATTCGTATTAGATGATGTTTATATTAATTAAGTATTGTTTTAATTTGTTTATGCTTAAAGGGTTTATCCATTATTTGTATTAGATGATGTTTATATTAACTAAGTATTATTTTAATTTGTTTATACTTAAAGGGTTTATCCATTATTTGTATTAGATGATGTTTATGTTAACTAATTATTATTTTAATTTGTTTATGCTTAAAGGGTTTATCCATTATTTGTATTAGATGATGTTTATGTTAACTAAGTATTGTTTTAATTTGTTTATGCTTAAAGGATTTATCCATTATTCGTATTAGATGATGTTTATATTAATTAAGTATTGTTTTAATTTGTTTATGCTTAAAGGGTTTATCCATTATTTGTATTAGATGATGTTTATATTAACTAAGTATTATTTTAATTTGTTTATACTTAAAGGGTTTATCCATTATTTGTATTAGATGATGTTTATGTTAACTAATTATTATTTTAATTTGTTTATGCTTAAAGGGTTTATCCATTATTTGTATTAGATGATGTTTATGTTAACTAAGTATTGTTTTAATTTGTTTATGCTTAAAGGATTTATCCATTATTCGTATTAGATGATGTTTATATTAATTAAGTATTGTTTTAATTTGTTTATGCTTAAAGGGTTTATCCATTATTTGTATTAGATGATGTTTATATTAACTAAGTATTATTTTAATTTGTTTATACTTAAAGGGTTTATCCATTATTTGTATTAGATGATGTTTATGTTAACTAATTATTATTTTAATTTGTTTATGCTTAAAGGGTTTATCCATTATTTGTATTAGATGATGTTTATGTTAACTAAGTATTGTTTTAATTTGTTTATGCTTAAAGGATTTATCCATTATTCGTATTAGATGATGTTTATATTAATTAAGTATTGTTTTAATTTGTTTATGCTTAAAGGGTTTATCCATTATTTGTATTAGATGATGTTTATATTAACTAAGTATTATTTTAATTTGTTTATACTTAAAGGGTTTATCCATTATTTGTATTAGATGATGTTTATGTTAACTAATTATTATTTTAATTTGTTTATGCTTAAAGGGTTTATCCATTATTTGTATTAGATGATGTTTATGTTAACTAAGTATTGTTTTAATTTGTTTATGCTTAAAGGATTTATCCATTATTCGTATTAGATGATGTTTATATTAATTAAGTATTGTTTTAATTTGTTTATGCTTAAAGGGTTTATCCATTATTTGTATTAGATGATGTTTATATTAACTAAGTATTATTTTAATTTGTTTATACTTAAAGGGTTTATCCATTATTTGTATTAGATGATGTTTATGTTAACTAATTATTATTTTAATTTGTTTATGCTTAAAGGGTTTATCCATTATTTGTATTAGATGATGTTTATGTTAACTAAGTATTGTTTTAATTTGTTTATGCTTAAAGGATTTATCCATTATTCGTATTAGATGATGTTTATATTAATTAAGTATTGTTTTAATTTGTTTATGCTTAAAGGGTTTATCCATTATTTGTATTAGATGATGTTTATATTAACTAAGTATTATTTTAATTTGTTTATACTTAAAGGGTTTATCCATTATTTGTATTAGATGATGTTTATGTTAACTAATTATTATTTTAATTTGTTTATGCTTAAAGGGTTTATCCATTATTTGTATTAGATGATGTTTATGTTAACTAAGTATTGTTTTAATTTGTTTATGCTTAAAGGATTTATCCATTATTCGTATTAGATGATGTTTATATTAATTAAGTATTGTTTTAATTTGTTTATGCTTAAAGGGTTTATCCATTATTTGTATTAGATGATGTTTATATTAACTAAGTATTATTTTAATTTGTTTATACTTAAAGGGTTTATCCATTATTTGTATTAGATGATGTTTATGTTAACTAATTATTATTTTAATTTGTTTATGCTTAAAGGGTTTATCCATTATTTGTATTAGATGATGTTTATGTTAACTAAGTATTGTTTTAATTTGTTTATGCTTAAAGGATTTATCCATTATTCGTATTAGATGATGTTTATATTAATTAAGTATTGTTTTAATTTGTTTATGCTTAAAGGGTTTATCCATTATTTGTATTAGATGATGTTTATATTAACTAAGTATTGTTTTAATTTGTTTATGCTTAAAGGGTTTATCCATTATTTGTATTAGATGATGTTTATGTTAACTAAGTATTGTTATAATTTGTTTATGCTTAAAGGATTTATCCATTATTTGTATTAGATGATGTTTATATTAACTAAGTATTGTTTTAATTTGTTAATGATTAAAGGGTTTATCCATTATTCGTATTAGATTATGTTTATTTCAATTAAGTATTTTTTTAATTTGTTTATGCTTAAAGGGTTTATCCATTATTCGTTTTAGATGATGTTTATGTTAACTAAGTATTATTTGAATTTGTTTATGCTTAAAGGGTTTATCCATTATTTGTATTAGATTAAGTTTATATTAATTAAGTATTCTATTAATTTAGTTAGGGTTCAACTATAAATCTATTGTTGATATTAGATTAATTTTATATAACCTAGTTAATACTTTAAATTGGTTATTATATAAGAAATTATGAAAAGTTTTACATAATTGATGTCTAAATCAATTCACCTCTATTTTAATCTATTTAATTTATTTATGAATATCCATAACTGTTGATAGTTGATGTTTAGGTAAACTTAATGTTATTTAGGTTTTATTTTTGAACTATTGAATCTGTATAATTTGTAAACTTTTATTCAAATTCTACTTTATTGCTTTATTAATTTTAATATTCAATTAAACTTTTTTTCAAATTTTTTTCTTCTTATATCTCCATTATTTTCTACTATTAATTTTCCCTTTTTCTCAAATCCTTATCTTTTTTTTAATTAATATTTTCCATTTCATAATGAATTTAATCAATTTATCCAGAAATGTCCAGATTTAATATTCTCGAATAATAATCCTTAAATTACTATTTTTTGTTATAAATTTTTTCTTTTAAACTTTTTTCATCTTTAATTTATTCTCCTTAATCAAAAATACTTAATAATCCCTAAATTTTTTAGATCACCATATCAAAGTTTTCTTAAATTTAACATATATTCCATTAAATTTTTTTTCTTAAACTAAATTATTTGAATATGAAAAATTAAATTTTATATTCGAATATAACTTCAAAATTCTTATCAAATCTTATTTAAATCTCAAATTTTCTGATTTTACAAAATTATAAAAATATTTATTTATTAATCATCTCTGGTAATTTATTTACATTAAATTTCAATAATCCTCTTAATTTTTATTTCTTCATTAATAGTAGATCAAAACATGCTATAAAAAACATATTATTCAAACTTATTTTAAAATTCAAATTAAAACCTATCCCTTTTTTATATTTTGCTGAAGTTTTTATACATTCTTAAAATAATTTAATCTAAAAATCTCCATCAGCTATAAAGCTTTTATCTTTTTACTCTATGATTATGTCGAACATAATATTAAAGATAAAATTTGGGATATTAATTGTTATTTCCCCTTTACCTAGATATTAATTTTCATTATTATATAATAGACAACAAGACGAAAAACGATCCCCTTATTCTCGAGTTTCTATCATTATAAAAACCTGGCGATACTAAGTAAACAATATATTAGGAATAGCTAAAATATCAAATTCAATTTTAAATTTCGAAAAATCTAGTTTATCAAATCTTTACAAAAGGCTGAAGAATTTAGAATTCCCAAACTTTTCCATTAATTCATTTGGAAAATTATAGTTTTAAGAATTTTAGTCTATTTATCCATTAATAAAAATGATTTGATTAGCTTTGGAAAATATTTAAAAAAATTCTTTTGGAAAAATGGTGCCTTATTTAAAAAATTCTAAAGCAGTTTATAAATTGATATTAACAAAATTAAAGGCCCATGTTTTTGGGATAAAATGGTTATAATAAAATATAATGAGGTCTGCATAACCAGCATAAATCTTTGCATTTAAATTTGCCACAGATGTAAGATTATTTTAATGAAATTATAGTTAATTGGTTCCCAAAAAATTGAACTACTCTTATCCAAAAGCCTTTTTGAAAGCTATATCAAACTTTCCTGTCATTAAACCATTCTCGAATTAAAAAATGCCATCATATACCATATATCCAAATGTGTGATAAGAATACTTTAATTACAATTCAATTTAAGAAATGCTTGATAATAATTTTTTTCTAAACTGATAAACACTTTAAAAATTTCCCTTTTGAAAATGAATCTGTTTGCTTTCAACAAGAAAATGTGTTTCAAATTAATAAGAGATGTCTAGATCTATATTTAATGGAATAAAAAATAGAATTTATTGAAGTTGCTATTTAAATAACGCAGTGCAATTAGCAAAACAACTAAATCCTGTTCTTTTTAATTATCCTTTTTATTTAAAATTCAAGTAGTTTTAATAACATTTATTTAAATTAATTTCAGTAACAAAGGGTAAGTCATTTTTACTTGAATATATAATTAAACAATCTGCTTTTTCTAATTAAAAAATTTAGTCTAATTCTGATAAATTTTCAATAATTTCCTTAAATTAAGTTTTATAATTTTCAAATTAATATTAGAAAATTAATGAAAGTTTGGTTTAATTTAAATAAAGGTTGATGTTGTGATTATGCTCAATAAGTTTGAATATTATATTTTATTATTTAATATTCAGATCAATTATTTGAAGTTCTTTTTTAGTGATAGAAAAATCTTTGTATTCTAAATTTAATAATTAACTCTAATCCTTTTGTTATATATAGGAAAATATTTATTCAGCACTAATTTAATTATTTAATTTTTTGAATATAAAAACTTATTTATTCTAATCATATTAAAGTATTATTGGAATATCAAAAATAGTTAAATTACATGTTAAATTCAATGTATGAAAATTGTTTTCTTAAATTGATTTCAATTGAAAATTTTAAATTTTAAATAAATGCCATTGAGAGTTTATATCTTTTTAAGACTCAATTGAAAATATTTTGAAATTAAAATTCTAATCCATTGTTAATTTACAGATAAGATTTAAATTAATGTCATTAAAAAATTCATATTAAGGTATTTTTAATTAATAGTTTTGATTTAATTTTTCTATTAAATATATCAGATTTATATTTTGTAATTCAAAATGAAATTCTGTTTTATAATTTAATTGAAATAGATCTATATTTACTTTAGTACTCAACTTAATATTGTTAAAAATTTCTAATTCAAATTATAAATTTGATTTCTTCTCTATTTGATTTTCTTCACTTAAGGAAAATATGAAGAAAATATTTTTCAATTTTATAGCCTAAATACAATTCCATGAAAACATTTTGACTTCATATTTTAGCTCAAATATAGTTTTATTATTATAAAGACCTAAAAAAACTTTAATTTCATCAAGTCTTACATTTTAAAAACAAATAAAATTCATTTATTAATTAAAAACAGTGGATAAAAAATCTTTTATCTAAAATTTAGGATTTAATTAAAATTTAGCTTCAAGTCCGTTTACTTCTTTATTAAAAACCAGATTAAAAGAACCTATATTGTAATCTTTAAGTAAACATATTCCTGATATACAACTGTCCATCCAACTTTACTGTTTGCAAACTAACTATCCATTCAAATTTTTTAATGTTATATAATTTTATAGCATTGTACATTAACTGTTTTTTATTTATAATAATATCGAGTGGTGCCACTATGGAGTCTTCTATAGTATTAATAAGAACTCAAAATTTTCAATATTAAACTCTACTTTTTTTTAAGTCAAAGTTATTCCAACACTATTTTTTAAGAATTCATTCAAACAAAAATTCTTTATTGTATGGCAATTAAATTTTAATTACAAACTTGAATTTTTAGATTCATTAAATGTGTTGGATAAAAATTATAAATAAAAATTGATTTCTTACTTAAAAAAAATGGCTTTCATTTCCAAGATTGCTTAGACATTCTTTAAATTATCAGATGAACTAAATTGTAATTAAATATTTTCTAATGATAAATCAACAAAATGCTGTTTAATATTTTCTTTGACAACTTTAAACTCTCCATAAAACTGTTGAGATATAATATTGTAATTAAATCTAATAATTTAATCTAATTTAGGTAATAACCCTATATCTTCAAACTATTATCCAAATAAGCCAAAACCAAAACTAATAGGATGGATCTACATTATTAAAGGTTCATTTTCAATTTTTAAATCTAATGGTCTATTTGGTGTTAGCTACAACTAAAATCTATTTAGCGTCATATTCATAAATTTTATTAAACCATTTAATTTAAGTTCAAATATTTAATTTTTTCCTTCTACATTTAAATTACATTAACAAAGCGTTAAGATTTTGGATACAATCCATGGATTTAATAGATCAACATTAAATTTCAACTCAACTTAATCACTCCATATTATATAAGATTCCTGAGAACATGTTAATTTCTAAATTATAGCTTCTTACATATTTTATTGCTAATTTAATTTCAATTCTTAATCAATTTTTTACTTTAAATCGGATTAGAAGTTTTCAAATCTTAATTTATATTCATTACAGCCAAATTTTTTGATCTGATGAACTTCATCTTCAAATTATTAATTAAGTTACTCTCCTTATTTTTTAAAATTATCAAAATCGAATAATTATTAAGAACCTTCATTCCTCTAAAATTATATAGTTTTTAACTAATTAAATCCAGATATTATTTATAATTAATTTTTCAAATCACTTGAAAAAGCATTGATAATCTCTTTGAACATAGGTGAATTTTTTCCTCTTTTGAAAATCATCGCAAGACATCTATTCTTTTCTTAAGAAAAGAAAGATTCAAAGTCAAAAACAATCTCAATTTCAAAAATAAATTTAAGGATTTCAATGGTGCAACTCATAGTATATATAGTTGTTTAAGAATCAATATGACAAAGTATGTTCATATTTTCAATTTCTATATGAGCATTCTTAAAAATATTTATATTCCAATTTAATTCAAAAATTAATTCAAAATGCCAATATAAAGCATTAGTTATTAAGTCTAATTTCTTTACAGTTGCCTTTCTGCTCTCCACAAATTGCTAAATTAAGAAATTATTATGATCATAATATTTCAAAAATATTTATTTAATGAAATTTTAACAATTATTTTAGTGTTATTCATTAGATAATTGTAATTTTAAATGAGTTTTATCAATTAATGCTGTTAAATTACAAATATTATTTTATAATATATGAAAAGAACATTGAATACTTCCATTTAAGGTAATTTTTTATTATAATAAAATATTTGCTAAAATTCTATTTATTCTTATGGAAAATGGTAACTTATAGATTTAAATAGGATTCTCACATTCCAAATTTATTTCTATTCTACTCTCTTTGAGATCTAAAAATGAGGCAAAATTATGAGATTAAATGATATCAATATTTGAAAATAAATGGAAACAATTTTAATCTTAAAAAATATAAATTTAATCTTCTTTTGGGATTTTTATAATTCCCCTAAGAGAATTTAAATTATCTACCCTACTAAAATGCCCTTTTTTAATAAAATATTTATTTAATTCAAGTTATAAATCAAAATTTATTGAAAATTAAGTAATATAAATATTATCTTTATTTAAAGCGATTTATCCAGATATATTCTTTAATTTAAGATTAGGGATAAAGGATAATGTATATTTACTCAAATTAAAATTAAAGAAAATTTCCACTTGTTGATCTAAATAAATTGAGCATTCAATGTCAGATTTTGAGAGCATATTTTAAAAAGTCTTAAAAAACTATTCATAAGATGGTCCAATAAGAGATTTAATCATAGGAACTAAAATGAAATCTTTAGATTATTATAATTAAACTTACAATTTACCTTCAGAATTTAACTTTGCCTCAGCTAAAATATTTTAATCCTAAAATATGCATTTAGATTTTAATAACAAGTTTTACAATTCTTTGTTATTAATATATATTGACAGAAATAGTGGTTAAATTGTCATAGTTTGTTAGTATAATTAAATAATTAATTCTCCTTTAACTCGAATTTTATAACATCCTAAGTCATATTAATCCTCCTCCTACATATTTACTATCTAAATTTATTAACCTATCCCTTGAATAAATCTTTAATAATTTTAAATTTCTTATTCACTCAAGTGTATTTTTAAAAATTAACTAATATTTTATAAATCTATCAATTTATTGGGTTAATCAACAATCCTTTTTACAGAATTTGAGACTAATTTATTTAAAATTAAATCAGTATATTTTTCCATAATAGAATCAGCAACATTAAGAGATTTTAAATCAAAAATAGGAAAATATGGATTTTTTTTGGATTCATTAAATGCTGGTCCAAAAACAATTTCCATTATTTAATCATAAAATTAAAATCCATTTTATTAAATCATTTTGAATGCTTTTATAATATTTCTTAAATTAATTAAAGCATTTGTATGTTCTTTTATAAAAATGACTTACTTCAATAAATTATTTGCCAAAACAACAGTATCTTATTAAATGAATTATTACCCAAATCCTCTTATTGTTAAAATCTCAATAATATCAATAAAATTCTTTTTAAGATCAATTTCAAAATTAATTTTAATACACCTATTATAAAATGCAGGAGACAATTAATTTTAATCAACTCTTGTGGGATTTTATAAACATATTAAACGAAAATTATTATGAGGAATTATACAAGTATTAGAATCACCAAATTCATTATTATATAAACAAGGTTAATCTTCTCCTAAAGAATTTAATCTTTCTACTATCTCAGCTCTTGCTAAATTAATATTATCCAGAATCAACCAATATCCAAATTTACAACAAATTTTTAAGACTCCCTCCACATATTTCATATTCATCTACTTTTGTTATTATCCAACATTTAAATTTCCAAATTTTGATTTTATTGATATCCTCTCTAATTATTTTTAAATTTAATCATAATTAGTGTTGACTAAGGCATAACTACCAAGCAAATCATCTGTTTCTAAATCGCTATGTATTTGAAGTAAAATGAATCTTTAATTTAAAAGATTTGCCATTTTAATAATACATGAGGTTTTACCTGATGAGACATCCCCTTAACATAAAATTATTTTTTTAGAATTTATTGCTATCAATAGCTTCTCAAAAATGTTAGAATTTTATAAATTTATAACTAAAGAATTATTGGAAAGTTAAGGTATGATCTAATTAGATATAACCCAATTGAATATAGATTTAAATTATTTTCCTATTTACCTACTTATTCTAACTATATTGCCGCTTTGCTCTAAAAATACTTTTCGTTTATTCCATTCCTCTTAACTCACACCAAATTTATTTAATATGATATTTAGCACTTAATTAGAAAATTCTGTCTAATAAAAATGTTATACATATATAATATCTAAACAGACAATTATTAATTCTAATTCATACTTATTATTATATAATTTTGATCTTTAAAATAAAAATTGTTAATTGAAAAGTTACAGTAGATTTTCCAAAAATCTAATATTAAAATCATAATTAGATTTGTATTATTATTAAGCTAATATAGCAAGTTCTTTATGCAAATCTAAAATAATTTTAAAATTAATTCCAGAATTTTTTAATTATATTATTTCATTTTAATATCTCTATTAAAATATACCTATTACCTAATCAGTATCAAATGCTTCAATATACACTTCACATAATAGATTTGATATACATTAAGGTAATTCTTATCTCCCTTGATATGTAGAAGGATTCATCGAACATAAAAATAGGCATTTTTCTTTATTGTATTTGCTATCTTTTATAGTAATTTCTTTTTCATCTGTGTTAAATAGAGCTTGAAGTGTGCTTAAAATTTCAGGAGATGCTAAATTAATTTCATCAAATAAAATTAGGCTATTTTATACTAATGCTTATGCCAAATAACCCTCTTAAAAAACAAATGAAACTTTATTATTTTCTATCTTTGGTGCATAAGAACCGAATAAATCTTCTGCACTCAAAGAATCTGAACAACATACTCTACAGAATTATTATTTCATAATCTTAGCAAATTCTTATGCAATTGCAGATTTTCCTACTCCAGGTGGTCCAACTAGGCAAGGTATATATTATGTAGTAATAGCTGAATATATTCTTTATAAGATTTTATTAGTAGTAGGATTGATTATAATTTTGGGAGAATTGAAAAACTATTTTACCTTTAATTTTTGTTAAATTTTATTTTAGGCTTCTTTATAGTGTTCATGAAGATCAGGATTTTTAACAACTTCTTCAAAATTTACCTTAAATTTATCCAAAATAACAAATTAAAATCCTAATGCTAATTTTTATTAATATGTAGCATCATCCAAATCCAAATTCAAAAAGCTCATCCATTAATAGATTTTACGATCAGATATATTTTAATAGAAAAATTCTTTAAACTCTTTTGTTTAAATAAGAAGGTTCTGTATATACTATATGATTTAATTAAATTAAGTTTATTATGGAAATTTATTAAGAATATATTTTTTATAAGAAATATCTAATTCTTATGTATAATTAATAATCTATGGAACTTGAATTCGAATTTTAGTTAATCTTGATTACAATGCATCACTTAATTAACCTCCAAATGTAGTATTCATTATTGCTATAACAAAAAATTCATTATGTAGTTTAATTTCTTATCCATTTACTATAAAATGTGATTCAATTTCCAATAATGAATTTAATCCTTCTATAACAGATTATTCTGCCAAAGATATATTTTTTAAACATACAACTCCACCAAATCTAGCATTAAAAGTCAATCCTCTTTCAACAAAGTGAAATTAATTACCAATATTTTGAATAATATGATTGAAGAACTCTGGTTAATTGTATTTTTATATTAATTCTTATAAATAATTTTAAATAGGTTTTTCATTTAGATTAAAATTAATCTATTTTCCATAATTGAGTTTCTTAATTAAATTTAAACAATATTGTTAATAAGATATTAGATTATGAGACTCCATGCTTCCGATTAAATCTGTAATTTCGGTTTAAGAATTAATATAGATTAATTCAAATGGTTATGGATTCTAAAATTACACTAATTAAGTAAATAGTTTGGTCAAATATGTTTTTGATGAAGTTTCACCAACAATTAAAATATTTTCTTTAAAATAATAACAAAATGCTATTTTACATAATACTAATCTTTAAATAGGGTTTAGACTTTTATGAGCAATTACATATTTTGAATAATTTTTATTAATTATAAGAGATATTTCAATTTAAGCCTATTGATTTTTAATTGTAAAATATAAGTTTAATCCAATTTTATTTATATCACATTCTAAAGAATATTCTTCAGATATATCTTTAGGGAAAAGTATCATCTAATGTAATTATAAGATATTTTCCCAATTAGGTTGATTTGTTGAGAAACTTGTTTTCTCTAATCGATTTCTAAATTTAATGAACTACCTTAAAGAAAATTAAGTACCATTGTAATACAATTGTTTTTCATCACCATTTTTAGGATATGGTATTAATTTAGTTAAAAAATATTCCATAGCTTTTTAGATAGAGGTCTAAGTTTAATTTTACATACTAGGTTATGATTCTGTACAGATTTTAAGTACTTCTTCGAAAGTATAATTAGGAACTTCAACTATTATAGTTTTAGAAGCTAATGTTTCTGGGAGCTAATTTCTACCATTATATGATGGAGGGTTTTAAGCAAAAAAGATTCTAAATTTTTCATGAACCTTAATAATTTGATTTGAAACAGGATCATGAAATTCTGATGGATATTTTGCTATATTAGCTAAAAAGTTGAGTATACTTGCATCTGATAAATTAGCTTCATCTATAAGAACAATACCACCTTATTCCATCCCTAAAAATAATGGACCTTTTTTAAGTATAAATTTTATCTTATCTTTTTCACATGTAGATTGAAATTATCCCATTAAATCATTTATATCTGTATTTTAATTCATATTAATATAATGAAAACTAGTTGATTCAAATAATTTACAGGTTTATTAAAATGTAGAAATAATTTTTGTTTTACCAACTCCTGCTGATCCCTATAAAACTAATGGTATTTTAGCAATAATAGCAAATGCAATAATATCTGCAACTCTTTTTCTTGATTCAGTAATGACAAAATTATTTTATTTACCATCATTTAATAATAATTCTTAATAATGAATGGGTACTGCTATATTTTAATTAAAAAGTGATTTATTATCTTGTAAACTTAAGGCTATGAAGAAATCTAAACATTCAAAATTTATTTACGATTATTTTTAATTAAATTAAGATTTACTATATTTCTCACTTTCTAAAATTGGTTTTAAAAATCTAATTATCTTATTAAGTGATATTTAATCAATCTATCCTCCTAAATTTTATGAAGTCTTGAAAGATCCCAATGTCATAAGTTTTTCATTAATTTAATTAATATTATGTATAATTTATGATTATCTTATTTATTAAAACAATAAAGTAATATCATCTAAATTAACTTTAAAATCTATGTATAAACTTAAGAATCTACTTTTTAAAGTTGGTGTAATTTTTTTTTCTAATTACTGAAAATCAGATGATAAAGCAATAATAGCAAAATCTTAATGTCTTTAATATCTTTAATTTTAGACTAATAATTAATTAAATTTCTTTTCTAAAATTCCATTTAGTGATTCTGTTAAAGCACAATCAGGAGCATCAAAATTTGTGAGGATTAAAACTTTTCCTTAATGGAAACATCTTGTTACAGGTCCTAAAATAAAATCAAAACCATTCTAAGTTGGTTGATACTTTCCAAATAAATCTTCAGTAGTTGTACTAGATGATAATTCTAATACCTCATATTATTAAATATTTAAAATTTTTAGCCAAATAAGAACACTTGATAATTTTCCACAATATTATTATCCCACAATTAATGCTGCTCTTTTAGTTTTATAACACAAAGTTAACATTGGAAACAAATATTTATGAAAGGAGAGAAATTTAAGTGGTTAATTTATATTCCAATTTTATATATAAGACTCTCTATAATCTTTAGTTTAAACAAATAACATATTGGTATTAGCAATAAGTTGATTATTATCAATTTAATAATTAATTATATCACGATATTTTTATAAATAGATGAACTAAGTTGAGATTAGTTTCATACAATCATTTAAAGGTAATATTTCAAAGATTTACTCTTTTGTTTATTCAACAGATAGAAAATATAGATCAATCATTTATACTATATCTCTTAAAGTAAATAATCCATCATCCATATTTTTCTATTTAATTTCTTCATATATTATCATTATCAAAGAAGATAATTATTAAGTTGATATTTCTTGTACTAATTATTCATTTAATTCTTATTACTTCTAATCTATAATTTAATCAATAATGAAATTTAAATCATTCAAACTCATAGGTTCAAATTTAATAGAAATAAATTGACTCATTAATGATGGAGAAAAGATATTTCTAGAGGCTGCAAATTATGAATCTGTTGCAGGATTTTAAGTTAAAAAGAGTTTAAAATTTTAATGTTTTCTTATTGTTAAGGTCCCATCAACTAAATCTTCATGAGAATTAATTGAACTACCATATATAGTAATATATCCAATTTCAAGAACATCTTCAATTACTCTAAGTATTGAATCACTTGCCAAATTAGCTTCATCCAAAAGTATCCATAAACCATCTTAGACAGCTTTAGCAAAAGGACCTAGTTAGAATTCAAATTTAAACCCTGGTAAAATTTCAACTTTACCAATAAAGTCAGAAATTTAAGTAAATGAACTAAGATTCATTATTATTAATGGTTATTAATTTTTATAAGCCAAATATTAAATTATTGAAGTCTTGCCACAAGCAGCACTTCCTTCACATAAAATTGGATTATCTCCTTTGAGTGCAGCTTCTAATTATTTTAAATGATTCTTAACACTTTAAGTTTCAGCATAAGTATCCATCTTTGGAATTAACTCCTTAAATTTTGAATTCTCTTGATAATTAAGATTTAAAATTCTAAAATCTACTAAAGGTAAAAACCGATATGAAAAATTTAGATTTATTATATTTTTAAATTTTGGGCTCAAATTATAAAAATCTGATTCATATTATTGAATTAAATGTTCAGTTGATTTCAAAATATTTGGATCAGTTAAAATACCTTAAATAGCTCTCTTTTTAACCTAAGAAGCTAATGATAAGGTTTATGGTTATGATAATTATGATTATTTTAATTATGATTATTTTAATTATGATTATCTTATTTATTGATATGCTGGCATCTCTTTTAAGATTAATTGATTTTTATTGTCTAATATTATTAAGTTTTCATTTAAAAGAGAAATATTAAATTATATGATATTTGGAATATTTTGAATTTTTTATGTGATCTAAAAATTGGAATTAATTGAATAAATATACAAGTTTTAGTTTTAATCAAGTAAAATGAGTGCTTGTTTTTTCCTTTGATATCCAACTTTAATAATACCTTGAAGTGGATTAGATAGATTTTACTTAATTTCTTTTTCTATTCTAAATTCTTCATCAAACTTAGCTAACATTATTATTAAACTATTAGTTTTATATTAAACCATCAAAAAATGATTATCTTCTTATTCTTAAATTATTTAACAGGAAACACAATTATTAAATTTCTAGACCTCTATCTAATTCTCTATTGCTAATATTAAACAAACTGAATTATTGTCTTTTTCTTAATATTAACAAAATATTTATGTTAACTTTTTAGAAATTAAAAATCTATTAATTTAATTAAATTCTGCTTATATATTTGTTAAGATTTTATTTAACAAAATATCATATAAGATAATGTATTTTTCAAATATTAATGCACAAATTCTACTGTTACACCAATCAACCATTCTTAATTTAATAGCTGGAATCTTTATATTTTAAAAAGGAGTAAAAGATTATTCTAAAGTGGCTGAATAAAGTTTAGTCACCTATTCTTGTTCTTATTCTTCAAAAATGAGTAGAATTTATAAATTTGGATCACATGTTACAGTTTATATATTCTAACTTATTATCAGGTACTCCCTAAACAAAAGGAAATCACAATCAAAAATTAGAATTGTTGAATTTGATATATTTTTTGATAGAATATTAAGCTTAGAACCTGATAGTGATAGTTGTTAAGCATTCTAAACCTAAAATATAGTATTCATTTCTATTTTATAATTAATAATAAAAGATATTTGCAGAAAATTTGAATTAAAATCTATAAAATCATATTTATAAAATTATTTAAACACATCTTTAATACACATAAGGGTTGATATATGTATATATCTCATTATTAATTTCTAAAATAGTAAGTGAGATATTTAATTGTTTGATTTATCATATTTAGAATGTTCCTCAAACTTATTATTTTCATTATTTAATATTATTAATTTCATAAATAGAAATTGAAAACTAGAATTATTAATACTATTGTAAATTATGAGAAATATCAAAGACCTATATTATCAATATAAATACATACAAATCTTAGTTAAATACCCTTGTTTGATTTCTTTTTGATATATTTATTAAACATATTTGATGAAATCTATATTAAATTTCATCTTCTTAAATTAATTTAAACCAAAAATTACAAGTATTAAAGGACCATTCTACTACACATACTACATTGTTTCAACATAACTAAAAGAATATGAACTCCTTTTATTTAACTAAAGTAATAAATACAAATAACCTATATTTTTATTTCATATTCTATCAAGATTATTTTTATGTAAAATTAATATTAATAATTAATGATTTATTTTATTGATAATACTTCCATTTTATTAGCTTTAAAGAATATTAAATTCTTCATTTCTTAATAACTTAAATAAATTTCTTTATGAATTTTGTCAACTATATTATTTGTAACAAAATAAATAAATTTATCATAACATTTATTTGGTTGACTTTAAATTTATTATAGATTTTTTCTAGAATAAGTTTTGCTATTACTTGAAAATTGTGATTTTTTAACATAAATTTAATAGAATTTGATAAATAATATTAAATATAAATATAGAATTAAAAAATTAAAATTAATTACACAAGTAATTCAAGAGTGGATATAAATATCTATAATTATTAATTATCAATATATTTTAAACTTGAATAATAATTTTTGTAATGATACTATTGTATTTTTCTATCAAGTTGATATTTTCTCAAATATCTACAATCTTATACAAAAAGTTTTGGGAATAAAAGATTCTTAAAATATAAGATTTCTTATATAAAATAGAAATTTTAATAATTAGACATTTAATATTATATTATGTTTAAAATTAATATAATTTTATAACTTTTATCATATTGAAGATGAGTATGAAGATAATAAAAAGAATTAAATAATAAAGAATTAAAATATTAAATAGAATACTAATATAAATATTACTATATATATATATATAAACAATAATTAATTCATTAATAAAGAGAAATTCTATGTTTCTATAATTATTAAATAAATATATTACCAATTATTGAATTTAATTTGCTTGTTATTTAATTAGATTTTCTCCTGATTGAATAGCTTATTATTTTTGCTTTTTTTCTTCAATAATTTAAATCATAAATTAGGAGATCTTGTTTTAATTAGAATTTTTGTTATTTTGATGATGTAACATCTCTTGAATTATGTTTTCAATATTATTCATCCTATCTTTTACATCTAGTAAAACAACTTCATTTTAGCTATTTAAAGAATTATGTTAAATCTCTTTAAGTATCTATTCACATTCATTTAGTATAGAATTAATGTCTTATGAATCACAATGAGTTTTAACAGAGAATTAACTTTTTTGATGAGGTTAATAAGGAGAGTTTACTTTAGCCTATGCTGAATTTTTACTACCAGAAGATGTACATTTGATCTTCATTTAAATGAAAGTTTGAGATTTAGTCAACTTTGGAGTGAAAGAACAAGAAGGATTGATTTAAATCTCTTATGAGGATCCAAAAGATGGTCTTATTTATCTAATTGCACTCATATAAAATTTAATTATTATTACTGATTCTATTATTTTTTACTTTAAGAATCAAACTTATATATTAATAATAATTTATTACCATAAGTTAACTTAATACTTTATAGAAACTCATTAAATAACAATTCATAGTATACTGAATAGTGAGAATACAATCTATTTTATAAAACTCAAATAAATTAAAGCTATTTCAGTGTTTAATTAGTTACTTAATAAGAAATTGTTTTTAGAAATATATATAATCGCATTTTTATAAATAAACATGAATAAATTTTGAACCAATTTCTGTAGACAAAACTGCAGTCTAAATTATAAAATAAAACTGCCATAGTTATAAAAAGATCATTATATACAAATAATCTAAATAAACATATATTTTAAATGTAATTAATATTTCAAACAATTATAGAAATTGTATTATTTATAAGTTATATTATAACAATCATAATTATCTTAATTATTCCTACATATAAATATATAGAATAACATATATAACTTTTTATATCTTCTAAATATTATTAATGTATGAGTATTATTCAAAATATTTGTTTAACATATAATTCAATTTACTGTTTTATTTATTGTTTTAAATTGAATCCTCTTTTATATTGATTTTCTATTTAATCTTGATTATATATATATTAATTACATTAACTAAATTTAATTCATTTACACTGAAATATTCCTATTTTATGTTTTCATAATTATATAATTATATCTCATTTAATTATAAAAATTAATTAATAAATTACTACTTATAACTTATGAATAGTCTAGTTAAAGAAAGAGATCAATCAGAAATCATGATCTTAAACAATTTAGAAGTTCAATCTTAAATCAGATCTTCAATATTCCAGTCTAAATTATAATAATCAATCTAAAATATTAGACAATTGACTAAACCTATTGCAATGCATATTGAACCTCAGATCTTGCCTCTTAATAAACCAGATTAGGAAACCCCTATTAAAAAGTCTTAACATTAAAAATTGAGTTCTGATGGGTTTACTACTTAGACTAAAGGAAGTTAAGTATAAAATCAAGTAGATTTTACTCAAAAATTAGTTCAAAATTAATTTGATTTAAGTTATTCTTATAGAAAGAAGGATAATTAAATGATCAAATCAACTGATTATTAGAGAATCTTTGAACATTATCATCATTCTTCGATTGTTTAAATGATAAGTTCATATGAAGAATGTTTTAAAATTTTAGTAGAATGCAATGATGCATAATTATTGAGAATCCCTAGTAATTTGATTTTGGCTATATTAAAAGAAAGAGAGGAATTACAACATTAATGTGTTATGTTAAGAAGAAAACTATATTAATTAGACAGAGTATATGAATAATAAGAAAGAGTATACTAATAATAGAATGAATGAATGATTGATATTATAAATTATTAAAATAATGTAATTCAACTTTTACTTATCAAAATGTATGACAGTCAATGAAAATGGGATTACAGTATTAAATGGAAATTAAAAGCGTAATCCTTAATTAGATGATATTATTACAATAATGGGTGAAGCTTCTGCTTTTGTAATTTACATCTATTTTATAAATTAGGCATAAAATTTGAAATAAGTTATTACAAGTCCAATTAGATTCTTTTAAACAGATTAAAAGATGTATATTAAATCAGAAGGAAAAGTAATTCTGTGAAATATTTGTCAGCATTGTTTAGGGATTCTAAAAATAGGAAGAAAAAACTTATTTTATAGAGATTTAAATGGAGTAATTAAAGAAATCTAACCAATTTGTGTTTTAGACTTTTATGTACATGAATCAGTTCAAAGAAAAGGCATAGGCAAAGAACTTTTTGAAGAAATGTTAAGATAAGAAATGTTGAGACCAGAAAAATTGGGATATGATCGACCATCACCAAAATTATTGGGATTCCTTAAGAAGTACTACAATTTATAAACTTATATACCTTAAAATAATAATTATGTTATCTACTCCCAATATTTTGATAATAAATAGACTAATATTTCATAATAATAATTTGCATAAAAAAATCATTAATAATAATAAAACCCTTAATTAGTTAACTAGTAAACATAATAATAAAGAGTTTAACCATAATAAACTCCATAGAAAATGGATTAATTAGATTAAATGATGCAATAAATGACTTTAGAATCAAAATAATAATATTAATCATTTTAAAAAAGTAAAGCTTAACCACCTTGGGCAACTGATTAAAAATAATTTTAAAATGTATAATATATAATGATTACATTTTAGATGTATTAAACAACAACTGGACTCATGTCAGCTTAAATTCATAAAAAATGACTAAAATCAATACTATTTGAAAAAATTATAAAATAATAATAATAATTTTCAGCTAAATTCTTTTTGATTAAATTTCTTAAATATTTCAATTGGAAATCTTCTTTAGAATTTAATGTAATTCAGTGCTTGATCTTATAAGTAATATATATATGATAGTATATGGAATAATTTAAATAGATTTTTACATACATTCATAAATTTCATTATTTAAAATAATATTTGAATGAAGAAAATAAGTTTATTACTAATATTCATTAAATATATATTGTTTTTTTTTTCTTGATAATTAATATATATTATAATAAAACAGCTCTCAGATACTAATTGCATCAAATAACTCTTGTTTTTTCATTCCTTTATGACACCATACAACATGTATATTAGAATAGAATTCTTGCAATCTCTTAATTCTAACATATTTTAACAAAAATGCTTTGATTGTTTAATTATCGAATTCATCTGGGTACATGAATACATATACTGAATCTCCTATTTTTAAATCAATTAAATTATTATTTTCTATAAAGAAATCTTTGTATTCTACTTTCATATCTCCAATAAAGTAATCCAATGGTAATTCTGTACAAAAGATCTTACCTTATGAATATGCAAGCAATTCTGGGTAATATAATCCTAGATCAGATAAGAAATGTTTTTGATATAGTATGTTTATATTCATTTTTTATTATTCCTATTTTTAATTAGTGAGTAAATAGTTTAATCTTTATAAAACTTCTTATTCATTTGTTATATTCCACTTTTTTATTTTCTGAATAACCAATGTATACACTAATGGTAATGCTTCTGCTAAAGTAATTTATTCTTCTTTTAATGTAGATGTAAAATGTTTATCTATGATATTTTGATTATCAACTATGATTGAACATGCTAAACTTTCAATTGATTTTCTATAATTAGTTCTCCAATTTTTAGCATTAGGATCATGTGTAATGTTTCGAATGAATATACTTTTATCAATATTTTTCTCCATATAATTAATTACTTCTTGACTCTCTTAAAGTTTTTGATTAAATAAACTAGTCATAAGAAATGGACCAAATTTCTTAATGATAGAGCTAGGTGAATCTAATTATTCTGCTTTACCAATTAATTCGGCTAAATTATGTTTCAAAAATGAAAATTTCATATTAAATAATATATTTGTTTCATTTTTTTTAAAATACAAAAGTATTTTTTTTATAATCTAATTTATGTATTAAATAAAATTACAATAATAACAAATGTACTTATTCTTATTGATAATTATATTATGATTACTTTTACAATATAATTATAATTTTTCTATTTATAAATCATATTAAATGAATTAAATATATACTATTTATAAGTATATTCTTTTTATTCATAAATATTTAAACTCAATTATTTATAATTAATTAGAAAGAATAAATAAAACTATTATATTCTTAATTTAAATCAAAATATTAGAATGAATGAGAATAATTTAAACTATAAATAATAATTTATGGCTGTATTTATGCAGATATATATGATCATTCTCCAATTTAATCTTGTTCAATTAATTATTCAGCTTATTATACAGCATTATTAATCAAATCTTGAGGGACATTTTGATGTTTACGTCCATTATTATCAGTAATCCAAGTCATTTCATATTCATATTTCTTCTCTTTGAATTCTTCATGTGCTAATATTAACCTTAATAATATTAATATATATTTATTACATCTTAGCAATATAGACTAAAGCTTCTTAACATGTAAGATCTTTGAAATTTCTTCTTTCAAATTCAGATTTACAAACAGCTCTACCTTTTCCATGAGTACATGCATGATAAGCATATTTGTTTCCTGATGGTTCAATCATGTACAATTCATAACCATCAAAAGTATTGTAACTGGCAATAAATGCTGAAATAATTAGATGAATATTAATACTTGCAGATCCAAAGGGTCTTACTCCAGAATACATTGTGTAGGCATGAACATATTATGCTACTCTATCTGATAATACATGAGCAGATGCAGGAATTGCATACATATCTTAATATTAAGATGATTCTGCTTTTGCTCTTTATAAAATGTTTCTTCCATCTGGCAATTTACCACATAAAGCCATTCCAGTTTAGAGATCTATATTATAGATTCTCTTATTTGTATTGTCTTCCAATAATCTAGAAAACTTCTATTTCTCTGCTCCCAATATGACTCCATCTTTACATTTCACTCCAATCACAGTCCTAATTAGATTTATTCAAATTACTCTGAATTCTCAACTGCTTTTGTTGCATATTCTACCTAATAGATACGTCCTTCCTAAGAATATGTGGCTACTGATAAATCATACATGCTTCCACTCATTTTTTTTAAAGATAATATTTAAATTAAATCACATAAGTATTAATTTATAATTTATAATATATAATACTAATGGGATGTATGAATGCTTCTGGATATATATCAGGACCTATTGAACCATTCTATTAATCCAATAAATCAAATTTTGAAGCATTTTTAATTGAATAATTAACACTCTTAGGATTCCAAGAAAGTCAAATTGTAATTTCAAAAACAATAGAAATCAAATTCATGTATCAATTTATCATTATCTATCCTATAGACCCTATCTTAAAGAATTACAAACCTCTATTTAATAAGACATCCATTCACCCTTTCATAATAATATATACTTGATTCCAGTCTTAACCAATTAACTAAGAGAAATTTACATCAAAACATCAGAATTCTTAATTAGATTTCAAGATTACAAATTAAATACATTAATAAATAAAGTTGGTCTCAAATATTAAGCTCTCCTTAGAGTAGGTGATCTATTCCCAAAATAATTAAATTTAAGATTTTATAATAATTAGATCTCCAAAATTCAAATAGATCCCAATATCATTATCATTGTCATAAATTAAATTGATATTGGTTATGCACTTTTACAATTCATTAAAGATCTTAATCAAATATATTTACTTGTCTTTCGTTATGATGAAAATGATAATTAAAACATTAACTTATTCATTGAAACAAATTCATTACAAAAGTATCATCTCTATAATCCCTAGTTGTTCAGTAATAATTGGTGTCGATGACAAAGAAGATAGATACAATACTATTATTAATCTTTATACCAAAGTTATCAAAAAATAAAAGAAAAATTAGAATTCTGATTCACATTCCAGAATACTTACTCAATTCTTAAATCAAGAAGATCAAGAGTAATTTTGGGATGATGGAACTCTCATTTTCAATTTTTTAAATTCAACCCAAACTCATATATCCACCAATACATCAATAATTACAATATAGAATTACAAAATCATTACAATAAACGAATTTAATACTAAAGACTAATAATTTCATACTTAGAAGTCTTTACAAGATAAAAAACATATAGATTAATATATCTATAAGTCAATAAAGTAAATCATGATTAAAGAACTTATTTAAGCACTTTAATTGAAATCTTCTTAATTCTCTCAATATTTCAAATTAAAATTGTCAACACAAAAGATTTATAAAGATTTGAAATTGTAATAAAAAATTTATATGTCTTCACAATTGAAATTACAAAATGTTAATGAAATTGAGAGTAAAACTTAAGAAATATTAACCATCATCAAAAAAGCTTCTTATGATACTTTAATTATTAAATAATCTTCAAAATTCTAATTACCTAATAAAATAAGAATTTATCAGATTTTATAATAAATTTTCATAGATCAAGATATTAATCAAGTATAAATTATGATTAATTCCATTTTACATATATAATGGAGTCTTGGAGATGAAATCATTAATAGTCAATTCAATATTAAAAATTAGAATTATTAAAATTATAAATATAAATGGAAAATGATTAAATTTTATGATAATTTCAAAATCATCAATCTTGCTCAACCTAAAAAATAATAAGTCTACTTTTAAGCTAAATAATTGATAAAATGTTTAATTCGAAAATCTGATTAAGAAATAGTAAATAAAATTACAAATTAAATAATACTTGATAAATGGAATTTAAATGAAGAATACTATCCTATTTGTGATGTTTATTAGATTTCATTTATTAATTCAACTTCAGTTGATGAAACTTCTCAATATCAAGAGAAACTAGATAAAATAGTAGTCTCGTAAGAGGTATTCAATTATCTTTATTATTATTAAGAATTAATATTTGATCATCTTTTTAATGGATTACTAGGATCCTCAAAGGATTAGTTAATTAGATTAAATAATTTCTCTCCCTTTACAATTAGATATCAAATTAATTATTTTAAGCAATTCTGAATTTGATAATGATAATTTTGAACAATTATTGAATAAGAAGAAAATTGAAAAAAGAATATATTAAAAAAACATTTAATTTTGGTTTCCCATTTAATCCTAAATAAATGAAATGCCATTTTCCCAATATTTGGAAATCTTCTATAATCTCAATTAAAAAGAAAATGTCATTATTATTAACAATAAATAATTATTGTGTCATAAAATAACAGGATTTCATTTAATAACAATGTTATAGGAGAGAAATTATTAAGATGATGATAAGAAATAATATAATTATTATTAAAGTAAAAATCAATAGAGAATTGTAAATAATGAGTAATTAAAAAAAGTAAGATAGTAATTGAAATAAAATATTGAGAAGGAAATTAAATAATAATAATAATTATCATTATAGAATGAATAGGATCATTAAACAAATATGATATTCGATTTTAAATGGGCAAAAGAGAAGACTATTAAGTTGGATGGATAGTAGAAGGTATCAGTTGTTTCTAAACAATACTTAAAACCTATATTCAATAATAATAGTGGAATATAATTTGAAATATTTTAATAGATAATATCTAATAAACAATACGATTTTCAATGATTTGGTAATAAATATAATAAAAACTTCATTTATTAATTTGAGTTTATGTATTTTATAATAATTTTATTATTATTTTCTTTTTAAAATAAGATATTTTGATATTTTATTTAAGATGCATTAATATCCATTAAGATTTATATGATAAATGAGATAAAAGAAATAAGAAAATAAAAAAAGAATATTTATTATTAAATAATAACGTTTATGTAAGATTGAGGTGAATTAAATTGAATTATGAAAGAATGAACTTGATTAGATTAATTAAATTCTTGTTTATTAATATTAATAAAAAATGTAATAAAATAACCGTGTTATTTATGAGTTAGAGGATGATGAGGATATAAAGTAGGCTCCATTTCCAAAATCTTAAGTATATGATGTTTGTAATAATGAAAGGCGATAAAAATTGATAGAAAATTAGGTGCAGCATCGTATATAAAATGGGGAACACTTTATAATTATTACTTCTCATTTGATTTAAAAAAGGGTAGACTATTATGTTACAAGACTCAACAATCTAATAGTTATAATAATTATTATTCTTTGAATAAGGGAGATTTTGTGAGAGATGAAGTTGATATATAAAAATGTGAATAATCTTTAAGAAAGAAAAAAAATTATTAATAAGCTAATGATTAGAAAGTAATATAAAAGATTATAATTTAAGTCAGTGATATATGTGAGAACAGCTAAAGGAAGAGTATTTAAATTGATGATAGATGAAAACGAAAATTATGATAAGATTTTAGGATATTTGCAGATTTGTTTCTCTTCAAAAATGTAAAATGTAAAAGCATTTTATGCTCTTTTGGGAATTGGACTTGTAAAGATTGATGGGAATGAATTTAAATTAACAACAGGAGTTGTAGTTTCTTTAAATGATTGGTCCATAAACAACAATAATAATTATTTGTTAAAAAATGATAATGGATTTAATTTATTAATAAGTAATATTGAATTACTGGGAGGTATAATAGGATCATTCTATAAATAACATGAAATCTTAGGAATCATATTTAATCCATCAACATAAACTATAGATATAATATTATTTGATAATTTTTAGTAATCTATTTTAATATAATTATTAGAAATCCTAAAGTTTTACATTAAGCTATATTCAAATTGGTTAAATTTTCTAAAAAGAAAGTGTTACCATCAGGTAAAGGTTAGTTATTGAAATTAAAAACTGATATTGCTGAATTCAATTAAAATGATTATATTGAAATAGCTAAAAATGACAATGTAAAAATATACATTCATACAACAAAATTAAATGTGGCAGATTATGCTTTAATATAAGGTAGTATGTTTTCTGCATAATATGTTGATGATTAAAATGATTTAGATGGAGATAAATTGTTATCAAATAATGCTCTTGAATTTTATAAGAAGAATTTTAAAAGATTGAATAATTAAGATGATGAAACTAAAGAATTCATTATTGTAAGTAAATAACAAACTTAAGTTTTTATGATGAATACTTAACCATCACCAAATAAAGGAAGTGCCTAAAAATAGAATTCATTTAAATTTGATGATATTAGTGATGAAAGTATTGGAAATGGATCAGGTGTACAAATAGCTAAGAGTATTAAAGGTAAGACTTTAGATGATGGTTTTGTTTAGTCCATATGAAGAGATAAGTCAATGGTGTCACCGATTCGAGTCCAAAAGTGTAATTTACTAGTGAATTTTAAGGAAATGGATTTGAATCTGCTGTTGATTATGCAAATGAATTGAATGAATAAAAATAAAGAGATAATGATAAGAATGAAAATTGTGATATCAATGGGAATGGTAATTGCAATAATAATAAATAAGAAGTATTTGAAAATTAAATGATTAATAATACAAGATAGATATAATATGAAGAGTAATAGTAAATAATAGTAGAAGTTAAAAATGAATAATAATTACTTTAGCATAAACCTAGTAAAACAGAATAAAATCAAGAAGAAGATTCAGATGAAATAGATCTTGTTAAAGTTTCAATTGTATTTGATGAAGGAGAACATTGTAATTATAGAGATTATAATACAATTATGAATTATGCATTAAATTTTAAGAAAGTTGATTATAAGGATGAATATAGAGTATCATAAGCTCATAAAAAAGGAGGTACAGCTTGTTAAGATGAAAAAATGATTGAATTAGCAAGAAGTGTTGGAAAGAATATGATAAAATAAGTAGGTCAGAAATTGCTTAGTGGAAATTTCAATTTAACAACAGTTTCTTTTCCTGTAATTTGATTTCTTTTTAATATTTTAGATTAAAGCTATGATACCTAAATCAGCCTTAGAAAAAACATTTATGTAAACAATTCTCTTTCCTTTGTATATGAATAAGGCAGCATCTCTATAAAAGCCATTAGAAAGAATGAAACTTAGTATAGTTGCTCTCATATCTAATTACATCTAGGCTAATTCATTTCTTAAACCTCTCAATCCCATCTTAGGTGAAACCTTTGAAGGTGGCTATGAAGATGGTACTTAACTCTATTGTGAATAAGTAAATTAAAAATAACTATTATTATAGATATCTCATCATCCTCCTTTATCTTATTTTCTTGTTTATGGACCAAAGAAATCTTATAAATTTTTCGGATATTCTCTTTATGAAGCAAAAGCAGGTTTAAATTCATTGACAATTTTAAATCATGGAAAAAGAACAATTTAATTTCTAGATCAAAAGATAATTTGTACTTTTTCATCTGAACATTATTCAGGTACATTCTTTGGAACAATGAAAAATGAATCTTAAGGAGCTCTTTCGTTTATAGATGAAGCTAATAGTATTAAATATTATATATTTAGATTTAAATTGTATTGTTTAATTGGGAAAAGTGAAAAATAAACCAACAGATTATTTTGAAGGTGAAATTAAATAAGGAAAAACAGTGCTTAGTAAATTATTTGGAAGTTATATGGGTTTTGCTGATTTTGATGGGATTAGATATTGGGATGCTAGAGTAATAAAACCATTTGCAATGTAAATATTGAAATCAAATTTGGAATCAGATCATACAAAGAGAACCGATAGAATTTGTATGATTGCTGGTGATATGAATAAGGCATAAGTTGAAAAGGAAAAGTTAGAATAATTATAAAGAAATGATGCAGCTTTAAGAAAAGAATTCTTAAAATAAAAAAAGAAAAAAGATTAAAAATGATTAATATATATTATTAATAATAATGACCTCTATAACTTAAAAGATTATATCCAAATTTGATCCAAGACAAGTAATCTATCTAAATCTAATCTTTTTTAGTATTATCTAAGTGGATGTATTGATATAATTGTTGTTTAATAACATAATGGATCCTTGAAATCTACTCCATTTCATGTTAGATTTGGAAAATATGATGGTTAAGATTATTAAGTTGATATTATTGTAAATGGAAAATTAACTAATGTGAAAATGAGATTAGGAAAAGAAGGTTCAGCATACTTTGAAAAAAGTACTTATTCTTCCGGTTATTAATCTGATGATACATTTTCTGAGAAAAATTCGTATAATTACAAATCTAAACAATTTAGACTCTTTGATGAAGCATCAAACTTTAGATAACCACATCATTATAAAAAACCTGATGATTTATTCAATAGTGATAAGAAAAATAGTAATTGGCTTCAAACTTTAAAATTTTGGGGAAAAGGGTCTAATTAAAAAAAAGATGATGGAGTTAAGATTGAAACACAAAATAACCTTAAAGAATTTTAATAAGTAGATACGTCATCTTTAGTAATTTTATTATCATCATATTAGGGATTATCATAAATATAATTACAAAAATAATTTCAATAGTAATAATTAGAAAAACATATCTAAACAATTGATTTTGAGAAAGACAATATTACTTATAGTGATAGAGAGACCTTATCTCCACGTTAATCAGTTATGGAACTCTCTCTTTGTGGTCAATATTAAATTTTATAATAAAATTTAACATAAACTTAAAAATTGCAACTATTTGAATAACACAAAATTTCCTTTTCAATATTTGAGAAAGATTCAATTAAAATAATAAATCATAAAGATCTCGTTTTTAAAATAGGAGATAAGTTCTTTAGTAGAGAGGCTGGAATAATATAATTATTAGCTAAACAAGTCTATAATTAAGATATAGTTATTGATAGTTTAGATTAATAGAAGAAGTAGAATACATAATAATAATAATAATAATGGTATAGTGTTCTCTTTGGTAAGAAGAAAGGATCAGATTAAATTGAATAAAATAATAATACTTAAAGATTAAATACTAATGACTAAAGTTAAAAATAACATCAATAATTTAAATCTTAAGATAGACTTAGAAAAATGAGTGAGGATACTGTTGATACATTTAGTACAACTTCAATCTAAAAAAGAAGAAAATCATTAAGACCAATACTTAAACCTCATTCATCAATTTTAAAATAATTAGGATTATAAAAAGGTGATAATAAAATTACATACAGATTATGTATACCTAAAAAGAATGATATTGTTGAATTACATGGAACTATTTACTTGTATGATTAAAAAACTAAATTGGTCATATCAGATATTGATGGAACAATAACTAAATCAGATATATTAGGTTAATTAATGCCAAAATTAGGAACTGATTGGAATCATGATGGAGTAGCTAATCTTTATTAAAATATACAATCTATGGGATATAATATTATCTATTTAACAGCAAGAGCAATAGGTTAAGCAGATCAAACTAAAGATTTTATTTAAAATCTACAATAACAAAATACTAAATTACCTAAAGGACCTGTAATTTTGAGTCCTGATAGTTTGTTTCCTGCATTTAAGAGAGAAGTAATCGACAGAACTCCTGAATTATTCAAAATTACAGCATTAAAAGAAATAAGAAATTTGTTTATTGGAGAAAGTCCATTTTATTGTGGATTTGGAAATAGAATAACAGTATTTTAATATTTATATATTAGGATTCTACAGCTTATTAAGCAGTTAATGTAGATATAAGTCGAATATTCATAATAGATCCTGAAAGCAATATTCATAAATATAATACTGATGAAATTACTACATATGTTGAGATGAATAAGAATATCCATCTATATTTCCCTCCTGTTGATGAAGAAGAGTATTAATCTTAAAATTTCTGGAAGATTCCTATCAGTAACAATGTTGATATAAATTATTCATGATTTTTCTTTTTATTAGATTATATTAGTATTTCTAATAGCATTATTTAGTATTTATATTCCTTTTCTAATATATTAAAGCTTCAATCCAATTCAATTTAGGATAAGATTGCTATATTAATTTAAGAATAATTATAATTAATATGCAACTAATGAATTCGATTCTTTTGGATCTGATTAAGACCAGTATGAAAAAGTTGAAAATCTTATAAGTAATGCATACACAAACTATATGATAAAGAACTCTTTTTTGGATAAATAGAAAGAAAATTAGAGTATTTTGAATAGCAATAAAGTTATAAAGACCCAGAAGAGTATCAAAGGTGATAATTAATATGAATGCTATAATTTTAATTACAAAAACTATTAGAATTTGAGTATCACTCTTAATAGATTTGATTTTAAATATTCAAGAAATATTAATAGAATAATGACTAAGGTTTTTGATGGGAGTACTATTGTATAGATTTACAATTTAGTATCAAAGAAAATCAAAATGAAAAAACGCCTTTTAAATTAAAGAAGTTGAAGAATATTATATTTGATTTCATTTCAAAGTAAAAAATGATTGCATTTTTTGAATAAACATTAAACATGAAATCAAAGGTACTTATATTGTATTTATGATTAGTTGATTGTTATGAAGAGATAATTGGATCTTTTGCTCCTTAAAAAACATATAAAAATATTGGACATGGAATTTTAATTGAGATTTATTACAAGAAGCAAGGGAAATTGTTTATATGTAATTTGATTATTATTTTGAAATTTCAAAAGATTGGTTATTTTAATTCACATTATTTATATGTAACTGTTATTGATGAATACACATTAATATTAACTATTTTCATAACATTTTACTTGACTTCTAACTATGTAAGTAGTTTAAAATCAGATTGGAAGCATGGGATAGGCCATGATCGTTTAGATGAATGAATAGGCATAACATTTGATCCAAGCAATATCTAATAGTTGTTTGGACATTTTGGGTCAACAAGAAGGTATCTTCATTAAATAGAATTTTGAATTGTTTGAAGCAATCACAGGTATAAGATATATCAATTTTTAGGTTTTGAAACTCCAAATGTATATAAGGTTTATGCAGCAAATGATTAAGGGAAGAAGAAGAAGTAGAAAGCATTATTTAAATGCAAAGAGAAATCATCTACTTGTGCTCGTATTTGTCTTCCGTAAGTTCATTTTATTAATTTATCTATAGAGGTAATACAAGACCTTTTGAAATGAAAATCAACAATTATGGATGTAAAGACTTCTAGCCAGCCATGGCTAAAATGTTCTTAAAAGATGAAAAGAGAGTAGTTTTTAGGTTTAAGAGAGAATATTAATGCACATGTTTGTGTTTTAATAGGTATTTTTGTTAAGTTATCTAAAAATAGACCTCGTCTTGAAGTTTTATATGTAGAAAATGATGAAAACAAAAAACTAGGAACTATAGTTAATCCTTGGTATTTTTGCAATATTGGTTGTCATATTCTAGATATTAATGATAACTTAAAATATGTTGTAGAAGCAAGTTGTTGTTAAACTTATTTTTGGTGTAGATGTCCATGTAATTCTTGTAATAAAGTTGAATTCTTAATTAAAGTACCAAACGGAGAGGTTATCTTTATATATTAAATAATTAGGTTGTAGCTCATTTAGTGAAAAAAGGAAAAGACTGTTGTAAAAACATGGTTGGTGACGCAGACAATTTTAGTTTGATTTTTCCTAAAGGAGCTTCAAAGGAAGATAAAGCTTTATTATTGGCTGTCACACTTATGATGGATTACATGTACTTTGAAGATAAAGGAGGTGCTTAAGCTTCTATTGGTCCAGCATGAGATTATACAATAATATTTCATGTTATGATAATAAAAAGAAATCAAATTATATTAATTATATTAACAGATGAGTAGTTAATTTGAAGCTGATGATTAAATGTTATATGCAGATGATTCTTAATTTATTGAATAAATAACTTAGAAACTATCAAAGATTAGAAATAATCTAGGAATAGACATTTATGACTAAGAAAATCTGAAAACTCCATAATCTGAGTAATCTGATAGAAATAATGAGCATAATACTTTTGGAAGAGAAAAGAAAACAACAGAATCTAAAAATAATTTATAAGATGTTTAGGAACTTAATTTTATTACAAGCTCAAAGCATAAGAATAATAATAATAATAACAATAATAATGATTATTAATATTCAGGTTAAAGTGGCAAAGAAGAATAACCATATTAGATATCATAATCAGGAACTAAGGATGATATATTACCATAATAAATTAGTTTTTTGTAAAATAAATTAGAAGCTCTAAAATAAATTTGTAATATTTTGGTTTTTATTTTAGATCCGACATAAGGTTAAGATTAAGCTAGTTTTCTTGAGAGAGAGAATGTCTATTTAAAAATAGAATTGGAATTAAAATCAAAATAGGAGAGATTCTTAAGATAATAATTAACAACATTAACAGAAGAATATAATTTGAAATAATAATAATTACAATAAAGTGTTTAAGATTTAAAATAACAACATGAAGAATTTGTATAGGCTACAGATTTAACTTAAGATATTAAATAATATATTCTATCATTAGAATCAGATTTGCATTTGACTAAAGGGGAATTAGATTTATTTACATAAAGATTAGCTAAAGAATAATCAGAAAAAGAAATACTCTAGAATTAAAATAATAATATTCATAATAAAGCTAAAGAAGAATTCTAAAAACTTTATGAAAAAGCATTTAAAGAGTTATAATTTATGTGTTAAGCTTTGAGTTCAGAATTACTTACTGAATAAATTGATAAAAAAGTAAATAGAATTTCTTAATAAACTAATTTATCTAAAATGTATCAAGATCTCATTGATGAAAAAATGATTTTGGTATCTGTTTACATTATTTTAGGAAACTAAAATTGACAACCTTGAAAATCAATTAGAATCATATTAAAATAAACAATTTAGTATTAGTTATGCTCCATCAATCAAATCTATATATGAGAAAAGATTACATGTTATGAAACAAGGTTTATTGCATTGGAAAACTAGAACATAATAAATTGAATAAATTGTACTTTAATGGATTCAAAAATTGAAATAAGAAAATTAATAGTTAAAAACATCACTTATAAAGAAATAAAATAAAATGTTTGTTGTATTTGAAAATTTATTAAGAGAAATCTATTAATAATTTGAATAAGATAAATTTATTTAAATGGAAGAGATTAAAAAATTATAAGAATAAAAAGTAGATGATCAAATAAAAATTACAAAACTTAGATCAACAATTCAATAATAATAAAATAAAACTAAAAAAAGATGATAATAATTATAATTCAATTTACTCTTAAAAAAAATATTATATAAATATAATAGATTATCAAATTAAAACTAAGTCATATGGCTATGATCAATCCGTATTTCTTTATTTCATCTACTTTTCTCTTTACTCTTGATAAATTTATGATATTTTGATTTAGATATATCTAATTTAAAGATTAATGCTGCATAGTTTTAGAGTATTTTTTACCTAAAATAATATATTTTTTATATTTATTTTACATAAATCAAGAATAGTATCTATAACTTTATCAGTTAGCATGTTACTTGATAAATTTATAGTTTATATTTAATTATTCTCCTAATCATTTTCATTTTATTTCTCTATCAATTCAGTCAATAATTATTAAGCTGCTCCATCTTATATTTTATTTTTTGCCAATTTTAATACTCTTAAATTTTTTGTTTTTTTTATAATAGTAATTAAAGATAACAATCCTTCATCTCCTAATTCTGCTTAACTAAAATCACATTAATCTAAATTATCTCCTTTTAGTTTAACAATCAAAGGTTAAAATTTTTCATTAATTTTCTTTTATTTCATTGATCTTCTAATTGGTGAAGGAGATACTGTTCTTCTAGTAGCTAATGTAGTTGCTGAAGGTGATTTCTTTAAATTATTTAAGTATTAATCATCTAATTCTTATGATGTCAAAGGTTGATCTGTTCTTTAATGATTAGAATAAGATAATTATTAATATGGTTAATTTAATTATTATTACTATTATTGAACATATAGAAATTATTATTATTATTGTTATTATTATTATTATAATTAAAATTATTAATTTAATTATTATTTATATTATTAATTTTCTTAATATTATTTGATCCATAATTCCATTTAATTTTAATTTAAGGGATCTTAAATTATAGAACTATTAATATCTTTAAGTAATGAACATTCAGTTATTGATTCAAGTCTTGATAATGAATTTTCTAATCTGAATTGAGGATCTTTTTAATAAACAATTAAATGAGTATTAATAAATTATTCTAAATCACTTTTAATTTCTAAATGTATTTCTCTATAAGATGGTTCATCTATTTTTAGTAATATTTATTATTTAGTAGTTTCTAATTCCTTTAAATATTATGCACCAATTAACATCAATTCATTAGTTGAAGATATTGATATTAATTCAAATGGAATAGAATTAGATTTTTATTATTCTTCATAATAATGTATTCTATCTTTACTAGTCATTCTCCATAATTCTACTTTTCTTTAAACATCAATAAAAGCTTCTGTTATATATTTATTATAAAGTTCTTAAGAATGTATTATTTTCTCTTTGCATTCTGATATTATTTTATTTCTTTTGTTATCTAATATTTATGTTAATTCATCAAAAAATTAATTGACTTACTTGATCTAAATATCCAAATTAGATTAAAAATGTAATTCAATTTTATTAAAATATTAAGACATTTCAAATGTTTCATTTGCTGCTTTATCTAGTCTTTCTGACATATCTTTTAATTCATCAATTCTTCTAATAATCTTTTTTAATGCATCTTCTAAATTAACAACTTTATGATCTGCATGATCTCCAAATAATGCACATTTTGCACAAATTCTTACACGATGATCAACACAAACAACATCCATTTTTTCACCATGTTTCTTACATCTATCAGAATCTTATTCAATTTCTGTTTACTTTGGAGAATTGTTCATTACGATTTTTCTGTTTGTTGGTCTATTTTTTATTATCTATAACAAAGCAAAGTTTTTAGGGAATTCATTCATTTAATTTCTTGTTACTTGTACACTGCAATAATAATTCAAATATATTTACCCATCTTCTTTACATACAAATTAATTTCCATTTTTTAATTTTACAGTTAGGCATTCAGCACAAACACTGTGACCACAATCAGGTAATAGGAATGGCTCCCTTTGAATGGAGAAATATTCCTTGCAAAATTAACAAGCGAATAATTCAGAATTCATTATAGATTAATTTAATATGAGAAATTAATTATTCAATCTCATTACTATTTTCATTATTGAAAATAGTTAAATATTAACAATTATTCTTTAAATCAAAAAAATCACTAATCATTTACTCTTTATTATTCATTATTACAATTACATCATTATTCCTTATTACTCATTTTAAACATACTATTAAAACCAAATTGTAGAATTAAATAATTTACAATTATTAAATCATTTTTCATTAATCCTATTGTCGATTATACAAATTTGTTATTTTTATCAATATCTTTATATCCAGTATTAAACTCCATAATTTATTTTACTATTCATAATAAAATTATTCTTTAATTTTCTTTCTTATCTACTTCAATTTTTGAAAAACTTTATTTTTTATAAAATTTCATTTACAATAATTATAATCATTATATTCGTGTATTTTATTTACTATTTAACTAAATCATTAAGGTAAGATAGAATTAACTAATAATTTTTTCAAAAGGATATGCCTTTTTAAACATTCTATGAATTACCATAATTATGATTCTGTAATAATAGTTCAATCAAAATATTGATTCAATTATTATTGAGGCTTAATCATTATATTTGATTATTAATTCATTCTAACAATTGATTTAAATTCTGTAAAAATTAATTATTAATTTTTGATATTAATCAATTTTCAGAAGTTAAAAGATTTAATTGATTAACAGTAAATATAAATACGTCACATTAATTGAAAAAAAGCGTTAATATTTTACATTAAATAAATGAAAACTAAGCTTTTATTGATTATCTTATTATCAATAATAGTTATTCCAATTGAAAGTAAGAGATAATGTAGATCAATTTCAGAATATGCTACTGGAATTTGCTGTGCCTTTACTATGATAAGATTAATATCTAGTGATTCAAATATAGTTTATTAGACATGCAGAAACTAGGATATTGAATTTAAATTTATATATATTCTCATTTTTTTCACAATAAAATTTAGATATTATTAATCTTAATAATTTTATTATATATCTGAAACAATATAAGTTTAGGTTAAGTAGTAAATTAATTATATTTAAGAGAATTCAAAAAAATTAATTATTTTATTTATTAAAATTTTAATACTATATACTTATACATATATCTATAATATAAAATATCACATCCAAGGAATTGGCAACTCATTAGCCAATTCAATAACTTTTTATTTTAGAGGCATCCATTTATCCTAATTTTCTGTTGCCCATTATTTTATGTCAACTGTAACAGTCTAAACCAATTCGACTGATTATTTTATGATTTCAGCTATTCTTGTGAAATGTTCTTTAGTAGCTTATCTAACTGACAATGGTATTGATCTATTTATTAATAATATAAAATACCCTATTCTTAATGCTCTTTGATATGGAACTGTATCAAAAGGAACAAAGTTTTTATTACATTATATATTAATTAAACTTAAGATATATTCCATTTTAACAGCATCAACATTTAAATTTCTTAAGTCTAATAAAATTAAGTGATTTTCAGTTCCTCCTGCAATCAAACCAAATCCTAATCTCTAAAATTCTGCTGCAAAATGTTTATTATTATCTAAAACTTACTACTATAGTTATTTAAATGATGGAGATTAAGCTTCTTTTAATGCCACAGCAATAGCAGTAATTGTATGAAAATGTGCTCCAGCTACTAATCCTGGGGCAACAGATTCATCTATTCTATTTTTATATTATAATTTATAATAAATTAAACTGCCTCTAGGTCCTCGTAAACTATCTTAAAAAAAAAGGAATTATACGATTTATGAGTAGTAGTCATTACAACATCTGCAAAAGGGAATGGAGATGGAATAACTCCTGCAGACATTAAACCACTTACATGAGCTATATCTGCTAATAAAATAGCTCCAACTTAATCACAAATATTTCTAAATCTTTCATAATTGATTAATTTGCTATATGCTGAACAACCAGCAACAATTAATTTTGGTTTAAATGATTTAGCTAATAATTCAATTTTATCATAATCAATTTCTTATGTTTTCTAAAAGATTAAATCACACTATTTACTTCATTAAGTTAATAAAATAAGACTTCAAATATTTTACTAACAGCAGATAATTTCTTTTCTCCTACCTAATAACCATGAGAAAAGTGTCCACCTTATTAAAATTCCATACTCATTATTCTATCCTTTGGTTCCAATAAACCTAAAAATATAGCTAAATTAGCAGTAGATCCACTTCCCATCTATACATTAACTCCCCATTATTAAGAATCTAATTAAAATGCTGCCAATGCTCTATCTTGACATAGTTTTTCCATATCATCATAATTTTCTACTTGAGGTGCATATTTGCTTCCTTAAGGACCTATTGTAATAAAATATATTAAATATTACCTGGAGCATATCTAGAACTAAATACACATGATAATGCTTCAGCTACTGCTCTAGATGTATAATTTTCACTAGGAATTAAATTTATACTATTTTATTGTAAATCCTTTTCTTTCTCAATTAATTAATAAACTTCTTAATCTTATTACTAGATTGTTTGTTTAGAATCTGAGTGTAAATTAATCATTATTTATTTTTGATTAAATTAATTTATATCACATATATTTATTATGTCTTTATAAAATATTATGTCTCTTAATTTATAAGATTCTTAAATCCAATAATTGAGCATTTAAAAGAAGATATTCATTCATTTATATAGACAATATACATGTATATAACTAAAATAATAAACAAATTGATTATCTTATAAATAAGAAAATATATTAAATCCTTAAAATTAAATTTAATGTATAATGATCAGAATGAACACCTCCAAATGGTGAGACAACTTGATTTTTTAGTCCATGTTGCTAATATTGCCCCTTCATTATTTAAAGTACCTTATATATAGGTATCATTAAATTAATCTACATGGGCTTAATAATACTTTAATTAATTCGTATTATCACTTATTTTAATAAAGTTTAAAACTTAACCTGCTTACTTCATGATAAAGCCTTTATTAAAATTGTAAATAATAGGTTATCTTGAATCCCCTTGACTTATATTTTTTATGTAACTCTATTTCAATTCTTAAGTAAGTGAATATTCTCCAGTTTCCTTGTTTAAAATATAGAATTCAAGTATTTAAGAAATACTTGGTTAGAACACAAATTTATTATTACTGATATAACAGAGTTTGCTTCCAATTTAATTTGCTTAGATCATTTATTTGACCATCCAATTATTAAGTTCCTTTTATTCAATAACTAATATAAAATTAGAAAATCCACATGATATTACTTAATTTCCTTCTGGATTAATTGATAAATCATAAACTGCCCCATTTAATTCGTTTATTGTCTAAAAACATTACCATGAAGAATTAGATGATTATGACCAAAATTTTATAGTTTTATCTATGCTTCCAGAAATAATCACTGTATTTAAAGGATTTATTTTGCAACAGAGAACTCCATCCATATGTCCTTTTAATTTTTAAAGATATTTTGGTCTTTAAAGAAGATTCAATGATTCTAATCTTAAGAATGAATCATGAGAAGTTGATAAAAATAAAGATTCATTTTCAAAAATATTTAAAGAAGTAACGTTTCTTAAAATATGTGAAATAGTTTATATTTATTTTACTTCTCCTCTACTAAAATTAAATACTTTTATTAATGAACCCAAACTCATCAATAAAAGAGAGTTATTTTTATTAAATGTCATTGCAAAAGATACAGTAGCCTCCTAAAGTTTCATACCACTAATACGTTCCAAATTTAAATTCCATTCTTTTTTAGAATAGTCATCAATATCTCTTAAATAACTTTTAATATCTGTATATGCACATATTACTTATAATTAATTCAACTAAGATTATACACTATTGACATAAAAAGTATTAAGATCTTTGATCTATGCTTAATATTAAGGATCATAATTTGTTATTTTAGGATCCTTTTGATTTTCTATAAACTTTTCAATTTCTTATAAGAAACTATATTGTGCTTCTATAGTTTTTTGATTTTCTAAACTTTAAATCCATTCAAAAGTTATATTGAAGAATTGATCAATTTTTTCCATAAAATTTTATTTTATAGTTTGAAGGCATTGTTAAATTGATTCAATAATATTTTTTTACTTTTATACATAAGTTACAAATGTAGCAAGCTTATTTCTTTATTAATTGTCTAAGTATATTTTAAAATCATTAATTTTCATTTTTAAAACATATTAATTTTTTTCTGTATAACATTATTCACATATTAGTCTTTCTTCTTAAGGGCATTAATAATCCAAGATTAAGTGAGTGACTGGAGAATACCTCATGCACATACATTTAAAGTCTTCCAAATTTTCTATCATTTAGGGTTTAATCATTTAAATCTTTTATTATTTAGATAATATTATTGTACTTTTTAATATATATATATAATAAATAATACAAAATAAAATCAAAACTACTAAATCCATTTAATATAATTATTATTATAAAAAATAATACTTTCTAATAATCAAATTAGAATCAAAGAAAATTAATATTAAATACTTAATTCATCATTCAAAGAATAAAAATAGTAAAAACTATATATGTTTTAGTAAAGCAATAATTGATATACAAAAAATATATGAAATCAATTATTAATCATTTTAATCTAATATTTCATTTTATAATTACTATCTCAAAAATAGGAAAACATATATAATATATATATTGTGATTAGTAAATATTGATTATCACATAAGTGAAAATAAATACTCATATATATTTTAATCATAATATATAATTGTATTATTTATTATCCATTTTAAATGTAAAAATCTTATTTAACAGATTTTTAGATTAAAATTAACTAATCCTTTATTAAATAATTATCATTACAAAATAAAAAATATATATATGATTACAAAATATGATTTATCAATATTTCATACATTTTAAACTATAACACGATGTTTTATTTCTACTAAAATCAAATGAGAATTTTTTCGAATTTATTTGAATTTTTCTTTTCCTTACTAGTATTTCTTATAAAAAGAACAAATCCTTTCTTATATAATCATTATCAATTGCACAATGAGACCAATAGAGAGAATACTTATGTGAAACCAACCAAATTTAATTTTTAACTCTTAATTGATATGCATTTCATAATCATTTACATATACAAGTGATGTTAATGTAAACAATATTATGGATCCTTCAACAATAAATTATACTAAAAAGTTTTACATTTCAAAAACTTTGCGATAATTATAAACAATTTTGAGACACAAAATACAAATGAATGTAATTAGCATAATCTATAAAATCTCTTATTTTTATAAGAATACTAAGATCATAAGAAAACATGTTTATCTTAACAAATTTAAAATTTCATATCTTTTTACTAATAAAATCTTTTGTCTTCCATTTTAAATTGAAGTCTCTCTATTACAAGCAGAAATTATAATTAAAAAATAAGCTGTAAGGATGCATATACTTAATACAATTGAAATACTATCTCTTACATTAATAGAATCTATTGATTGAAGATATAAAAAAGTTTTAAAGAGCAAATCCCATCCATTAATTAATAATAATTTTTTGACACCATTAAAAGTGGCAAATTATTCTATGCTTAAGAGTGATTTTGCTAATTTGTATAATCCATTAGATATTTTTGCAACATATTAATTTTTAATACATTTAGAGAAAATAGACATTTTTTTAACAAATGAATTTGTAAATATGTGATAATAAAAAACTCTTTTCAACAAACTAATAATTGATATTAAAAGTAAACAAATTACACATTGAAACATCTACCACTATATATTTTCAAGGAGATCAGCATTAAGTTTATAGTAATTGAATTTTTCATAAGAAGATTTAAAATTAGATTCTACTTAGAAAAAAGAAAAAAAGTTTTAGATACTAAAATAAGCCATTAAAGTTTAACTCTATAACAAATCACCTAATTCAAAATATATCAAAAGGTTTTTTGGAAACTCTAGATTCAAGTACCTTAAATATTGTTGATACTGCAATATGTTGATAATTTATAAAAATAATTCAGATAAACCAAACAAAAGGGATACTATTGCAATACCTAATACAGTATATATAATCGATTTATTGACTTGTTACAATTTAATAGAATAGGCAGTTTAGACTTCATCTAAATAATTGGGTTTATTTAAGGTAATGTAATGATCATTAGGAGTTACTTACCCCCCATATTAATTAACAATTTATTAATTTAATTTGATCTATAGTATTGGTTTGAATTCAAGTAATGTAAATATTTAAATAGCTATAACATAGTCTGGATTTGAAATTTATGGACCTGCTTCTTAAATAATAGATATATTTAATTGTTATTTATCATTTGTAACATTTATAACATTTATTTCTATTGTACCACTAAGCACCATTTCAGATGTAGTCATAACTTATTCATTAAATTAAATCCTTACATATTATATATCTGATGTATAATTTAAAAATGTAAGTATTAATTTTGGATTTACATTAAAAGTACATTAACTAAGAATATCTATTGAATACTCTGAACATACCCAATTGAATTCAACCATAAAATTATAACAACCATCATTCGGTAAATCATTTCCATCATAACACATAACTATATCATTTTCCTCAAATAAAATTGTAATTTCTTAACATTAACCAGTTTTTATAAGTTCATATTATTGATCACAAATAAGACATTAACCTTAATAACAATCAAAACAATTCAAAGGACATTAGTATTAACAATTGTGACAGCCATCATATTCAATATTATTACTATCATCACACTCTTCTTATAAAGTGACATATTAATCACCACAAATTGAAACACATTCATTTTCAATTAATCTATATCCTTATTCACATTAATCATCATTACATTTTCCTTCTTAACAGTTGATGCAACCTTCAAAACATTAGAATTTGCATTCAAAGCATCCATCAAATGGTATTAAATTACCATCATCACAATCTTCAAAATCAATAATTACAATCTTATCTCCACATTAAGGATTGCATTAATTATCTATTAATTGAAATCCTCTTTAACATTCTAAACATTTCTTCAAATAACAAATATTACAACCCTAATCGCATTCAAAATTACAATTATAGCAACCATCACCTTCTAAATTATTACCATCATCACATTTTTCTTTTGTATATGGAACTAAAAATTAATCTCCACAAACAGGTAAACACTAATAATCATCATTTAATTCAAAATTGCTTAAACATTCCAAACATTTGCCAAATTAACATACAAGACAGTTTTGATCACATTAAAATTTACATTCAAAACATCCATCATAAGATATATCATTTCCATCATCACATTATTCCTCTCCTACTATAAGTTTATCACCACATTATGGTTAACAAATATTATTAAGTTCAATAAAATTCCAACCTTTATAACATTAATTACATATTTCTTAAATAAAAAACATGCAACCAGGAAGGAAAGAGACAATAAAATTTTCCTCAAAATCGGCTACATAAATATCAATATCTCTTATATATAATTCCGTTTATAAGGATTCAATTAGAATCTCTGATATTAAACCTTTCCAATCATCTATCAAAATTTCTATATGCCCATTTTAATTGTAAATAATTTTGTATTAATTATTATTTAAGCAAATTTAAAAATTATTTGTATCAAATTTAAATAATCTTAAAAGGATTTATTATTTTTTTTACAAATATAGACGTCTTCTAAATTTCATACCATAAATATAATCACAATTTGAGCATTAATCTGATTACCAAATATTTAATGGAAATCCCAATTCATCCCATTAATCAAATCCACTAATTAAAGATTATTAAAAAGATTATGTATGTTTGAGCCATTTTAAACATTCTGGATATTCATTATCTGAACATGCAAGGCATTCATCTGGACATTTCTCTATACTTAATTTAAATGTTTTAATGCCCCATGATTACTTTTATAAAATTTCAGTTTTACATTCTCATTAGTTATATATTATGTATAAATATGTACCCAAGCACTTCTTTTTGTATGAGGAATTGTAAACTATATTGAATCAAGTTCATCATTATAAATAGATTCATCATCATCATCATCCTACAAGCTCCCAGTACCACAATAATCAGGGAATAAACCAGAATGTCGATAAGCTTTTTAGAAATACAAAGTATTATCAATTTCAATGTTTATTGAATCTAAAGTCCATTTATCTATTCTAAAAGTTAAAGATCAAAATTACATCCATAGCTCTATTTCAATTTTCAACATGTGATGAGGATCAAGGTCATTAAAAAATCTTGTAATCTAAGTATTCATTCCAAAACTCTTGGGGCCACCAAAAATGAATTCGAAGTTGCAAGTTCTGAACATTGCGATTTGCAAATTTGTGATATTCCAACCTAAAATAATAACAAAACTTATACAATCCTAGTTTTAATCATTAGCATCAAAGGAATAGATTTAAACAAAACAACTGATCTTATTCATATATGCTAACCAAAAAAATATGTATAGCATGTAGTATTTTAATTTAATGTAGTCGTTTATATTGCCATCAAATATATATAGTTAATTTAGAATATGTAATTTGTTGAATGACTTATGGAAAATATATTAAAATCTGATAATTTTTATAATTATAAATGTGAACACTTTAGATCAATTTAACATTTGTTATAATAAAGTTTATGTATTATTTAGATGAATTAAATGAAGTTTAAAGATTTTGTAATTATCACCTAAAAAAATCTATATAACTTTAAATCCTTTCTTCAATTTTAAATTACAAATTTTTACAAAAATTCAAGAAATAATATAAAATTTTGAAATTGAAACCTTCTTGGTTATTTAATTTTCTTTAAAAGTATATTTATATATTAGAAAAAAGATAATTAATAAAAATTAATCTTCTAAAATAAGTAAACAAAGTTTTAATTAAAGAATCTCCTTATACTTTTTATCACCTATAACTCAGAGTAGACTGTAGTTTTTAAGTATAAATTGCATACTTAAGCTTAAATTTAATTGTATTTTCTACTGTATATTATAAGATAAACAAATTTTATATAAATATAATTATAAAGAATTTATTCTAATTAAAAAGTTTATTGGAAGTGTAAGTTTTTCGAGGAATTTCAAATGATACAGCTGGTAGTTTTCTTAATACTTTGATAATTAAAATAATTATCAAAAATTCAATTTTGATTCATTTCTTCAAATGAATAAGAAAAAAGGGTATGAATACTTTTTTGTACTTTTATGTGGTGATGTTTAATTTAAAAATATTAATTATTAAATTATTAGGAAAACCTTAATTTTGCTTTGCAGGTTTAAATATTGGTATATGAGCAATGCAATTTTAGTAAATTATAATTTTATTTTAAAATGGAATTAATAATAAAAATTATTTAAAACAAATGTTACGCATGCTTAAATATTTAAATACCAGACCTTAATAAATTATTAGGATTTTAGAAATGTATTTTTGAATGGATAATTTCTTATTTATTAATATTATATTTTGAAAGTATGATATGAAATTCTAATTAAATTTTTATTAACCTTTATTTTTATAATTTAACATAATCAAATTTGATATATATAAATATATATAATGATTAATTTTTATGGAAATAAATTAAAGAAATTGATTAGTTGTTTAATTATATATCTTGAATAAATCACAAAATTGAATTATTTCTTTTTTTATTTACCAAAAAGATGTCACAAAAATAAGTAATTATTTCTCTAATTAGATAGCTTTATAATTATAAACTCATTCCAGAGTTCTCATACAAATAACATAGACATAATACTGCTTTAGCAATTAATTATTCAAATACAATGTTATTTGTTGCAGATGAAATAACTATTTTGGTGTTCTAGTTTAAAAATGAATTGAAAAAACTATAATAAGTTAAATCACATTCAAGTAAGATTACTACTCTAAATGTCTTTAAACAACAATCAGGTTTAATTTCTGCTTCCCATGATGGTTCAATTATTTTATGGTCTTAAATTATAAATCCTAATTTCAAGTATTTAGCTAGATTAAAAGGACATACAGATCAAATAACTTGTTTAGTATTACATCCTTTTTCAAATAAATTAATTATAAGCGGATCTAATGACAAATCAATAAAATTTTGGACTTTCAATTATTCATAATTCTAAAATTAATCATCCTCATCTTGGTCTTGCTCTTAAACTATATCACGACATAATGCCTCTGTTTCTGAAATATCTATAAATTAAGATGGTAATAAATTACTCTCATGTGCAGAAAAATAAATAATGATTATGAACTATTCTGACTCAAATTAATGGTAAGTAAAACAGCTGATATAAATATCTGATGTTGGAGTAAGATTGTCATTTATAAATGATTACTTATTTGCTTACTAACCATGGTCAGGGAAATCTATTCATATATATATATTAGATTCTATTGAGGAAGAATATATCAAATCAAGAGAAATCCCTATTTAAGGAGAAAAAGATCCTTGCTGGTTTTATTTTCCCTCTCTTTATGTTCCTTCAAAAAATATATTAATATGCAAGAATGGACATAAAGTGAATGTATTATAATTCACATTCTCTTAATTTGGCTGGAAATGCAATTTGGAATAAAGCATTGATTATGGACATAATTGGATATTCGGAACCTTAAGTGAGGATGGTTAATATTTAATAACAAGTGATTGGTTATCAAAATCAATTCAGATTAGATAATTAACTTAGTAAGAGGAAATTTAATAATTTGTTAAAAATAATATAAATTATTATTTATGAATACTATATTATAATTATATAATATTTCACTCCATTATATTTGGTATGTCCTAATATCCTAACAATTAATTAATATATTCTTAGCACACTAACTATATATTTCGTATTTTTATCTCAAAGAATTTGTATATAAAGTTTGAAAAATTAGAATTTCAATAAATTCTAATACTTTGTACTTTAATTAATTATTTTTATTCAGATTAAAAAGGAATATTTGAATAAGTTTAATGTATATAAAGTTAGAACATTCTATTGAAGATAAAGTACTAAATCATAAGTTTTTGGATCCTTTCTATTAGTAGAGCTATATTATCAATCATTATTTAACAATTGTTAACACATCTCTCCGTTTTTTTAAATATTCCCTCTTCCCTCCTTGCTTCTTTCATCAAACCCTTATAAAGTTATACTTAAACTTATAAAATATATTAAGTTGAAATTGTAAAATCAATCTACTTTACAAAGATTAATTTTTCACTAGTAAATATTCTAGACAAAAGGTTTAACCAAATTTCTTTTGCATATTAAAAGATGACATTTAGATCTAAAATTTAATAAGTTTTTGGAGAACAAAACTAATTCACAACTATAAGAGTCATTAAGAAACAAAAAGTTACAATTACTCTTTTCTTTTCAAATTAAAAAATTAATTTTTAAATAATTCTAATTATTAAGCATTAATGAATTTGATCAAAGTATAATCTCATAAATTTTAAATCTAATGTCAATTAATAAATAGGTTAGAGCTACTCGCATTAGTGTGTATATATTGCTTTATATACATAAAATGTCTTAATATTAAGCATAAAAAATTTTTTTTGATTCACTTGGGCTTTCCAGGTATAAATTATCTAATTTTTATTTAATTTTTTCTAAAGAAATTCTTGTGAACTGTTTTTTATTATGTGGAATTTTTGATGAGATAAAGGATTATGAAAATGGGAAGTTCGAGATTATTTGTCAAGAAAATATTCAAAAATTTATAAACATTATAATTTACTTTTTTAAATATCAAGCTATTTAGTGAGGATTATTAAAAATTAATGATTTTCTTAATTTAATACAGAGATAAGTATGTATTATATAAGCCTTTACTTTACGCTATTTATATTTAATTACTTATTAGATAAATATGACTAAATCAATTTGCAAATGATGTAAACAAATAATTAGTTAAAAATTTTCATAGCACCACATTAAAAAAAAGGATTACTAGTTTTTTGTTATGAATTAAATTATTCCTTATGATAAAATAAACATTTTTGTAATTTTTTAGGATATTTAAAGCATGTCTGCTTAATTAATGTTCTTTAATTATTAGACATCTATTTATTAAGGAAATCATATTAGAATGGAGCTTCTAATTTTCATTTGATTTACACCATTAATTTTATATAAAATCAACTATAAAAAGAAGGTGATGAAAAGGATTACGCTTATTTTTCATAGTCAAAAAGAAATCCAAATTTCAAGTATCTGGATAAAGTTACCATTTTTGAATAAATTTCATAAATATTTATCTTATCTATATATATCATAATAAACAAATATTTAAATTACATGATTTACAATACCCTTGTAGTGGGTGGATTTACATTATTTTATTATGAGATAATAATGCTTTATATTTTTCTTAAAATTGAGGTGACATCATAAGTGATATTAATTTTTGTTTGAATTAGGGAATGCAAAATACATTATTTATTACTTTGCACATTTTTTCGCTTTATATCAACTAAAATTCATCATATTTAATTCGACATTTGTAAGAATTATTGTAATAATAAATGTTTTTATTAGGGTTATTCATAGGTTACTTTAGCATCATAGATGCTTAATGGAGAATAAGATATGAATATTTGTTTTCGAATGTTAATTTTCAAGAAAGAATTAGAACAGATTAAATGAATTACCCTTTCGTTCATTTTACTTCATCATTTATGATTCCAACATAATTTGATAGGACAGCTAATTTTATTAGTTGCACAAATCCAGAAACAAGCTATATAACATTGAATTCTTAATATCCATAAGTTTAATAGTATTATTGTGAAATTAGAAAACATTTTTATAGCTCATCTTATTATTATGATCACTATTAAAGCTCTTTTTTAAAGGGATTTTTATCATTCGATTTATATTTTTAAGGTACTTGGACTAATGGAAAGGTGACATTTTCAATCGATTTATTTACAGGAGAGTATCTATATAATTCACCCTCTACATATGCACTTAATAGTTAATTTTGTGATGAAATTGCTTATGATATCAGGACAGTTAATTTTACAATACCTTATAATGTAAATGGTGATTTTTTATTTGGAATCCAAAATACAAATGAAAATGGCTAGGTTTCAATTAGGAACATATATTAAATGTATTACGAAATCATTTGTTATCCTTCATGCAAGTCATGTACAGGACCTAAATAAAATGAATGTACAGCATGTTACTTTGGAACACCAACGAACAATGTTTGTCTGCCATGTCCATCAGATTAATACTATGTTAAAAATGTTGGGTGTAGATTGAAATGCGATTCTATTTAACCATTATGTTTTAATGGATTTTGCAATGCTTGTCCAAGTATATTTAAGTTATTTAGTTTAGGTAATTTCTAATTAGGATATGTTATAGTCAATTAAAAAATATCTAATGATCCTAATAGTTATAAAGATTTTTTATAATGGTCTAAAATCTATGACCCAAAATTCATTGACAATTCTGTAGATGTATTTCATTATACAAAAAATGGTTAAAATATCTTACTCTATGGAATATTTAAGCAAAGCTCAGGAATTATGAGATAAGTTTCAATATCAAATGTATGGGGATATTATATGAAAGTAAAAATTATGATAATCATTTTCAATGGGTTTCCAATGGATTGTGGAATTTAATTCAAATTTATGGAATCATCATTCTTTTATTTCATATTTTTAATGTAATTATAATAGAAAACATATGAGTTCGATAACAATACTCTTGTTGGTTCCATATATAAGAATAGTTCTGGAATTTAATTGCACAAATTTAAGGAATTTTAAGAGACTTCTCTAGGTCCTTATGAATCTTATTCCAGTTCCTATAAATATATTATTGATGGTGTTTTTGACTTGCCTAAATATACTATTTTGTTTTCAGCTATTGGTAATTTTAGGTAAATATTTTATATATGAATTCTTAGCGACACATCATTTGGTTGGGCATTTTAATCAATTTGGTTTGGCACATAGAGATGTACAAATAATTGTTAAGCTTGCGATGTAAATTTCAAATGCACTTACTGTTCATCATAAACTTTTAGATATAGAGATGGAACATGTATTTCGACTTGTAATCAACCCCATTAGAATATAATTTCGGATTATTGTAAGGATTTAGATGATGAAACTCCATGTAATGAATTAATTAAATATAGATTCATAACTATTGATAAGAGAAGATGTGAATCATTTTGAATTAGATTATTACCCTGAATACACTTTAGTTTCTTAAAGAGGTTAAAATTTTTTAAAAGGACCTGATATATATTTTTCATATTTGAAAGGATTAAGAATATTTGGTGGTTAGTTCATTTGGGCATAAGCAAGATTTAGAAGAGTTCATCAAAACTTAGGTCCTCATCATAGTATTTCAATAGGTTTTTATGTATTTTTTGGTCCATTATTCCCTTCAGATGGAAAGTTCATCTATTAAATTGATTAATAGGATCCATTATACACATCCACACTGAATGCAGTTACTTTCTAAAATGGCACAAAATAATAGATCATTAGAAAGAAAATAAATCATTCTTTAAATCATTTAATATTAGAGTTAGAATGCTTTGGAGAAAACAATGAAGTACAATAAGCCTATTGTGGATTTTATAATTATTACTTAGCTATTCATTATTGTTAACCTTTTTGTTTATAATGTACTGATGAAAAAACTTGTACTAATTGGAATAGTACTTATAATCCCTCTTTAATTTAATTTTCTTAAGACGAATGTTAAACAAATTAGTATTTTGATGTCTACTAATTATTGTGTGTTAATTGTGAACCCAGTTGTTCAACTTGTAAATCTAAAACAGTTTGTTTGACTTGTATAAATCCTACTTATACTTTAACGAAGGTAGGATGTTTTTGTAAACTAAATCAAATTGAAGAATCCAATTAATGTGTTAATTGTCCAATTGAATGTAATTAATGTTCAAGTTCATCTTATTGTACTGAATGTTTATCTATAAATAATCGTAAATTATTAAATGGATAATGTATTTGCATAGATGGTTATTATTAAAAAGATTAAGATATTATATGCTCATTATGTGATAAATTTTGTGGTACTTGTTTTGGTCCAACTTCTAATGATTGCTTAACTTGCAATATTGAAGTGTTGAATATCTAATTAATAGAATCTACTTGTAAATGTCCAACCAATTCTTTTTATTAAAATTCATACAATACATGTACATTTTGTCATACAACTTGCTTAACTTGTCTTAATGACAGTATTGATGGCTGTTTAACTTGCGATTCATAATAAAATAGATAATTATAAGGATTAAAGTGTACTTGCACAACAGGATTCTACACATAAAATAATATTTGTATTTAATGTCCTAATAATATTGATGTATCACTTTTAGAATGTTATAAATATTGTGATAATGGTGATCTAATATGGAATACGAATACTTGTAATACTTGTGGATAAGGATTTAATTTAATATCTAATGAATGTGTTCCAATTTGTGGAGATCTGTTAGTTGTTGGGTATGAGTAATGTGATGATGGCAATAATATTTTAGATGATAAATGTTATAATTGTCAATTCTAATGTCCAATTAACTGTTAAACTTGTGACATAAACACTATACTACCTTGTCCAGATATTTGTGGAGATGGATTAATTACTGGTGATGAAGAGTGTGAGGATGGAAACGACATCTAATTTGATGGATGTTTTGATTGTAAATATTAATGTTAGACTTAATGTACTAAATGTATTAAGGGTAAATGTTCTGAATGTGCTACTTTAGGATGGTAAATTGATGTCTCATCTGAACCTTGGCTTTGTAAGGAAGTTTGTGGAGATGGTTTAAGAGTTGGAATTGAAGAATGCGATGATGCTAATTTCTATGACTTTGATGGGTGTCATAATTGCAAATTTTTATGTAGAATAGGATGCTCTTTTTGTGATTATGAACAGAGAAAATGCTTGAGTTGTGAATTTGAAGGATTTTAGCCTTCTGATTATTTTTGTTAACCTATCCTAAATGATGGATTGCTTGTATGGGATCCATATGGATTCTTTTATGAAAGAGCTCATAAATCAAATAGGTGTGATAATTGTTATTCTGAATGTGGATCGTGTGGAGGGGTTTTTTTCAAATTTGAATGTTAACCATTAGAATGTACTAGTTGTGTGAATAAAAAATGCTAAGCTTGTATTTCTGGACAAACTCTTTCAACTAATAATATTTGTTAACCAATTTGTGGTGATAATATAAAAGCCTATAATGAATACTGCGAAGACTCACATGTGTTACCGTATAGAGGATGCCAAAATTGTAGACCTAAATGTTAAGATTCTTGTTCTAAATGTGATATAATATACAAGGATTACTAGTATTACGGAATAGGATGTTTACAATGCAAAGACGGGTACAAATTAAATGACTTTCTATGTTATTCTAAATGTGGCGAATTTCTATTTTCATATGATAAGGAGTGCGATGATGGTAATTTAATTCCTGATGATGGTTGCCACTTCTGCTAATTGAATTGCCAAAAATCTTGTCTATTTTGTATTAAAGGAGTTTGCCTTGATTGTGAAGAAGGCTATGAATTAATATAGTCAAGATGTCATCCTATTATTAATTCTTTTGAATAATATAAATATTCCAATNGTGATAATGGTGATCTAATATTAAATACGAATACATGTAATACTTGTGGATAAGGATTTAATTTAATATCTAATGAATCTGTTCCAATTTGTGGAGATCTGTTGTTGGGTATGAGTAATGTGATGATGGTAATAATATTTTAGTTGATAAATGTTATAATTGTCAATTCTAATGTCCAACTAACTGTTAAACTTGTGACATAAACACTATACGACCTTGTCCAGATATTTTTGGAGATGGATTAATTATTAGCGATGAAGAGTGTGAGGATGGAAATGACATCTAATTTGATGGTTGTTTTGATTGTAAATATTAATGTTAGACTTAATGTACTAAATGTATTAAGGGTAAATGTTCTGAATGTGCTACTTTAGGATGGTAAATTGATGTCTCATCTGAACCTTGGCTTTGTAAGGAAGTTTGTGGAGATGGTTTAAGAGTTGGAATTGAAGAATGCGATGATGCTAATTTCTATGACTTTGATGGGTGTCATAATTGCAAATTTTTATGTAGAATAGGATGCTCTTTTTGTGATTATGAACAGAGAAAATGCTTGAGTTGTGAATTTGAAGGATTTTAGCCTTCTGATTATTTTTGTTAACCTATCCTAAATGATGGATTGCTTGTATGGGATCCATATGGATTCTTTTATGAAAGAGCTCATAAATCAAATAGGTGTGATAATTGTTATTCTGAATGTGGATCGTGTGGAGGGGTTTTTTTCAAATTTGAATGTTAACCATTAGAATGTACTAGTTGTGTGAATAAAAAATGCTAAGCTTGTATTTCTGGACAAACTCTTTCAACTAATAATATTTGTTAACCAATTTGTGGTGATAATATAAAAGCCTATAATGAATACTGCGAAGACTCACATGTGTTACCGTATAGAGGATGCCAAAATTGTAGACCTAAATGTTAAGATTCTTGTTCTAAATGTGATATAATATACAAGGATTACTAGTATTACGGAATAGGATGTTTACAATGCAAAGACGGGTACAAATTAAATGACTTTCTATGTTATTCTAAATGTGGCGAATTTCTATTTTCATATGATAAGGAGTGCGATGATGGTAATTTAATTCCTGATGATGGTTGCCACTTCTGCTAATTGAATTGCCAAAAATCTTGTCTATTTTGTATTAAAGGAGTTTGCCTTGATTGTGAAGAAGGCTATGAATTAATATAGTCAAGATGTCATCCTATTATTAATTCTTTTGAATAATATAAATATTCCAATGATTTTAAATGCTTGTAATCACATAAGAATTGGATTATGAAAAACAGCAACTTCGGATAGAATGATGTCAATAATTATATTAATTTATAGAATTCTTCTTGTAAATTTTGTTTGATTAATTGTGAGATATGCAATGAAGAATCTTGTATAAGCTGTGTAAAAGGATATTATTTAAATGAATAACAATAATGCTAATCGGAATGTGGTGATGGTATTCTAACATAAGATGAATAATGTGAATTGAATGAACAATATTGCTTTAATTGCAAATATATTCATCCTTAATATTGCTAAAAATCTATAAATAATGTATGCATAAATTGTGATGATGGTTATTATTTTGATGAACTTGAAAAGTTATGTAAATTATCATGTGGAGATGGTGGAGATGGCATATTAATTTATAATGAAAAATACTAAATACAATCAAAAATTGATTGTAAGTTTTAGTGTAGTGAAGATTGTTTGGTTTGTAAAAATGGATTTTGCTAATAATGTAAAGATTCATTTAATATTTGGAATGGATAATGTCACAAAGTTGAGAAATTAATTAGATCACAATTGGAATGTAAAGAACATATTTAGGGTTTATGTATATAATGTTATGAATAATATGTGTTAAATTTATAAGGTGAGTGCATACCATCTTGTTAAGACAGCTGCGTCATTTGTAAATTTGGATAATGCTATGAATGCAAAGAATCATACTATTTATATTAGAATACTTGTTATCCAGAAAATGAATGCTCTTTGTACTTTATTTCTGATTTTTCAGTATTTGATATTACTTGTAGAAATTTATAATCAATTGAAATATAAAGGAACAATCAACAATCTTTAGATTCTGATGAAATATCTAATCGCTTGTAATTTCTTTTTGGATATGATTTTGATTTAATTGATTCACAATTTTTTGAAAATTGGTTATTCTTAAATAAAACATTAAACGGCTAATAAATTTAAATAGTTGAAGATGAGATAATTTAAATCAACATAGATAATAATGATTCAGATTCATATTTTAATCTTTAAGAGTTAAATTGTAATACTGATTGTTTACTTTGTTTTGATACATAATGTATTCAATGCTAAATAGGGTATTTAATTGTTGACTTTTCTTGTGTTTCAAACTGTGGTGATTCATTAACAGTAGGAAATGAATAATGTGACGATGGTAATATATATGAGTATGATGGATGCTACGAATGTTAATATTAATGTTAGAAGTATTGTGAAATTTGCGAAAGAGGAAATTGTATTAAATGCATTTCTAATTTTGTATTTGATTCTCTCCAATAATGTCGTTAAATGGAATAATTATCAATTACTCAGAATTAAGATTGTCGAATAATTTAAAATAATCAATGCATATTGTGTGAACATGGAAATCTTGAGTCTATAACTGGAATTTGCATCTTAGATTACTATTTAGAAAACTAATGTATAGGTCATTGCAATATATGTTTAAATTAAAAATGTCAACAATGTGAGTATGGTTATTACGGAACATATTGTCTTGAGGGAGATGGGTCAAATCTTCCAATTGAGCGTTGCACTGATTTCAACTAATAATAATCATAAATTTGCAAATAATTTTAAGAATGTAATTAAAATTGCATTTACTGTGTTAATAAAATATGTTATCTCTGTAATGAAGGAACTTATTTATTTAATAATGAATGCATTATATCAAAAATTGATAAAGTTGCATATAAGAGTGACATTGAACCAAAATGTGGAGATGGAATTGTTTAAATTTATGAAGAATGTGATGATAGAAATACAAAATAGTTTGATGGCTGTTTTTATTGTAAATTCTCTTGTGATACAAATTGTTATGATTGTTTTTAAGGAATCTGCTAGACTTGCTAAGATGGTTTTATTTTGAATTAAAATCATTTATGTGATCCACTTTGTGGTGATAATTTTGTAGTTCCATTTTCAATAGAATAGTGTGATGATGGTAATTTCAAATCTCTTGATGGTTGTTATAAATGCAAATATGAATGTCTATCTAATTGTCTTGATTGTAATTAAATACTATGTCTTAAATGTGAAGAAGGCTTTGAAACCAATAAGTCTTATTGTGTTCCTATATGTGGAGATGGTATCATAATTTAATAATTTGAGGATTGCGAAGATTTAAATGATGAACCTTATGATGGTTGTTATGAATGCAAATTTTAATGTAGACAAAATTGTAAATTATGTAGTCAAGGGGTTTGCTTAGATGAATGTCCTGAAGGAATGATTTATGTTGGTGATATTTGTATGCCGAAAAAATGTATTGATAATTGCCAAATATGTGAGAAAGGAGATTGCTTTGAATGCAATATAGGATATTCTTATGATGGGTTAAAAAATTAATGTATTTAAGATAAATTATCAGACTCTTCTTTAAATGTATCAATGATTGAAATGGATGAAAACTTATACATATGTCGTCTTACAGAATGTGTTTTTTCACCAGCCCCTATTCTGTAAGTAATCTTAATTAACCAGACTTTTTCAAGATAATATGTGGAGATCTTCTTCGATTAACAAGTTAAATTGAAATTTGATGAAGAAGAATTAAAATTTCAATTCAATTTTACTAATTTAAAGTAAGGAGATTATATTATTACATTGCATTAAAAATAACCAATAAATTATGAAATAAATTTTGCTTCTTACATAGTTGAAATTGAAAATTTAGCTTCAATAAATGAAAAACCATTCTTGCAAATATTTTGCTCTTCAGATGTCATTAATTCTAATAACTAAACCCTTTAAAATAAATTTGCCTCTATCAAATTAAATTACCCTTAAATCTTATCTAATGAATAAAAATAAACATCTTAATTTATGCAAAATACTAATAAAGTATTCATGTATGGAGCTATCTCAGTTAGTTTGGTTTCATTATTTGCAGGAGATTCTTCATTCTTTTTAGAAACACTTAATGTATTATAATAATAATCTTTCTTGAAATTTATTAATGTTGATTACCCTGAAAATCTTTACATTTATTTTGAGGCTTCTGATATGTTAAGTGTTAGTTCATATTTTAGTTAATTAAATTTGGATTACTATTATAATTTCATATCACAGAAAACAGAACCTCTTTAAGTGAACGGAAAATTTGAACTTTATGATGTAGATCCTGATTTGATTATAAGTTTACTTCCTTAGGTTTTTTAATGTTCAGGTATTGTACTACTTTTGTTTTTGAGCAGATTAATCTATAGGTTATTTCATTTGATTATGTCCAAAAAATAGATCTATGATTACTTTAATTCTAAATCATAATTCTTAATAAAATCATTTTTAACAATATTAAATACTTTGAGAATTTAGATGAAGAATTTGATAAATTTAAGAAGAAATTTAAACTCTAACTATATAAAAATTTTCTTCTCATTAAATGCTTGGGATATACTTTTTAAATCGATATTATAAATTCGCTATACTTAATTTAAATAAGCTAGGGAATATATTCAACTGATAGGTAGTTTTCTATTGATATATACATATGGTTCATATATGATTGAATTTTTAAGGAAAAAGGGGAAGTCAGAGAATAAATATGATTTTGAATCAANAATTTGAGGATTGCGAAGATTTAAATGATGAACCTTATGATGGTTGTTATGAATGCAAATTTTAATGTAGACAAAATTGTAAATTATGTAGTCAAGGGGTTTGCTTAGATGAATGTCCTGAAGGAATGATTTATGTTGGTGATATTTGTATGCCGAAAAAATGTATTGATAATTGCCAAATATGTGAGAAAGGAGATTGCTTTGAATGCAATATAGGATATTCTTATGATGGGTTAAAAAATTAATGTATTTAAGATAAATTATCAGACTCTTCTTTAAATGTATCAATGATTGAAATGGATGAAAACTTATACATATGTCGTCTTACAGAATGTGTTTTTTCACCAGCCCCTATTCTGTAAGTAATCTTAATTAACCAGACTTTTTCAAGATAATATGTGGAGATCTTCTTCGATTAACAAGTTAAATTGAAATTTGATGAAGAAGAATTAAAATTTCAATTCAATTTTACTAATTTAAAGTAAGGAGATTATATTATTACATTGCATTAAAAATAACCAATAAATTATGAAATAAATTTTGCTTCTTACATAGTTGAAATTGAAAATTTAGCTTCAATAAATGAAAAACCATTCTTGCAAATATTTTGCTCTTCAGATGTCATTAATTCTAATAACTAAACCCTTTAAAATAAATTTGCCTCTATCAAATTAAATTACCCTTAAATCTTATCTAATGAATAAAAATAAACATCTTAATTTATGCAAAATACTAATAAAGTATTCATGTATGGAGCTATCTCAGTTAGTTTGGTTTCATTATTTGCAGGAGATTCTTCATTCTTTTTAGAAACACTTAATGTATTATAATAATAATCTTTCTTGAAATTTATTAATGTTGATTACCCTGAAAATCTTTACATTTATTTTGAGGCTTCTGATATGTTAAGTGTTAATTCATATTTTAGTTAATTAAATTTGGATTACTATTATAATTTCATATCACAGAAAACAGAACCTCTTTAAGTGAACGGAAAATTTGAACTTTATGATGTAGATCCTGATTTGATTATAAGTTTACTTCCTTAGGTTTTTTAATGTTCAGGTATTGTACTACTTTTGTTTTTGAGCAGATTAATCTATAGGTTATTTCATTTGATTATGTCCAAAAAATAGATCTATGATTACTTTAATTCTAAATCATAATTCTTAATAAAATCATTTTTAACAATATTAAATACTTTGAGAATTTAGATGAAGAATTTGATAAATTTAAGAAGAAATTTAAACTCTAACTATATAAAAATTTTCTTCTCATTAAATGCTTGGGATATACTTTTTAAATCGATATTATAAATTCGCTATACTTAATTAAAGAAGCTAGGGAATATATTCAACTGATAGGTAGTTTTCTATTGATATATACTTATGGTTCATATATGATTGAATTTTTAAGGAAGAAGGGGAAGTCAGAGAATAAATATGATTTTGAATCAAGAATATTTTTATCCTTGGATTTGTGTAGAAAATTTATATACCATTTTGTTTTGATTTTTTTTTAAGAATGCCCTACTTTGTAATTTTTATGTTTATCAATTATCAGCCTATCTTAATGCTTGATTATTAGCAAATATGAATAAAGTTCGATTTTGGATAAAATAATTTCAATACTAAATGAAAGAACTATAGCTATGTTTAGCTTAACCTGCTTTCCTTATAATGATATAAATAGGATATACTTTTCTAATGAAACTATCAAAAGTACAGGATTTATACATATGGGCCTTCTATTATTAAATTTGATTATTGTGCTTTTCAAATAATTGTTAATAAAATTGTAGTTTATTTTAAAGGGCTTGTATGCAAGAAAATAACCAGAACAAATAAAGAATATAATTCTAAATTTTTGATCAGACCTTGGCTAATGATGATAATTTTGTATTCATTATTAAA